AGAATTTCTCCATAGCATCATACAATTCTATTAAAGAACTGAAGATCATTTGGAAACTTTTTGTTCTGAAGACAATCAGGGATGTTTCTGCAACTGCAAATACCAAGAGAACAGCAGTGAACTCAGTGATTACAATGCAAAAAAAAGGGCCTCCCTTTCAGAGACAGAGGACATACACACCAAGTGGAGAGAGCTAGGAACAGGATAATATTAAGAGCAATTTGCAGAAAAAAATGAAATATATCAATACCATCACCAAGAAAATAAATAAAAAGGTAAGATTTTGCAAGTCAACATCCACTTCCCCCAAAAGACAATCCAGCCATCTATACATCAGCTCTCATGCCGATGCTGCAATGCTACCTAAACTAGCAATAAAACAACTTTCCACTTTGATTTAGTAGAGAACAACATGCACAAAAAGTGAAACCCAAGACCTTAACCCGGTCAGGAAAATGTGTTTCTGTGTTTCAAATTAAACTAGAACCTGATGAAAATAATTTGACTTAAGAAGGCAAGCTTCACCCTTAAAAAAAATGAGCAGTGATTATTCTGGAAGAGCCATTTAGATGATTATCTTTGCATTTTCCCAGGCAACAGATGGCAAAAGTCATGTGAGTTAACATTGCAATGTTTGCAATGGCTAAGAAGTTCCCACAACTTGACAGGCACATTCACCTCAGATTTTGTTACATGTACATTTTTAATGAATGTTCCCATACTGACCACTGCAGGTAAAAAATGCAATTAGGAAGAAAGACACTGCCATGGAATCTTAATTGACTAATCCCACTTTAAACCTCAGTGACTACTAAAGCATGTATATGTAGAGCTAAGAACTCAACAACAGTTCCTTAATAGCAAAGGTTTAAGGAAAATTACTGAAAAATAAGAGTGTCCTTACGACACCCTCTAGTAAGCATGAAAACAAGGTGTGCGTGTTCCTCGTTGCCCTGGATGTTGCAGAGGGCACAACAAAGAAATTAAAAGACAACACAAGCACTGCAGTGACATGGGCAGATGGTAAATTCTTTGACGACAACGGCTCTTCTAATAAAAATGAGGAACATCTAAAAAAAGCTAGAAAAATATTCAAACACACCTTTTAAATACCTTTCTATCCATTAAAAATAAAAAAAGCAACTACATATTCAGCAGTAGTACCCACTAAAGGTAAAACAGCTCAGGACTAGAACAATCTGCAATATCTGCAAATATCAAAATTACAGAAACCTTGAAAAGGAAGTACTCTAAGACAGGAGAAGCATCCATGGCATTTACTGAATTCAGCAACATGGAAATCTAAGTTTCTCAGCCTTCAGAAAAAAGCAAGCAACATTCAACTTGAATGCAGTCTTTGTGCTCATTTACGGAGAGCAGGATTTCTACCATGATCCGAAACAAGAAACCAAATGCCTTCTAAAATAGCACTTCAGAAAAGTAGTAGATAAAAATAAATTAATTATTGACAACATTAAATGCCAGCAGCAGTCTTACCAGCCAGAAGCAGAAAGAATCAGACACTAATACAGGACACACATACCAAAAAAAAAAAAAAAAAATAGAAGAGGAAAAAAAGAGGCAGTGGAAAAGGAGATGCAGGTGCTCACCAAAACCATGAACAACTCATGAGCAATCACATTTGACAAGAAGGGTCGTACTGTCCACACAAACATCACACAGCTGATGGAAGAGGCAACAGACACCAAACAAAAGGAAACCAGTTTCCACAGATGCATGGGCAGAAAAGAAAAAATATGCAAAGCTAAAGCTTCCCAGGATCACATGCAGTTTAAATATCATCAAGGCTGAGAAACTAAGTTCGCAGCCTTTGTTCCTTCCTCTTTCTGTGATGCATTATCCAAATTCATGTAAATCTTTTAATCACACTTGTATGTAAAACAGCTGTCTTCACTAAAGAATTTTAAGGCCTGTTTAAAGGCTGCAAGCACAGTGCAGTTCAGTAGCACAGTGTAGTTCAAGTCAAGGGATTGAATTCTAACGCCAGATCTGCCTTTTAACAAACAAGTTTTATGCCTTAGTTCCTTCTCATGGTTATTTCAGCAGGATTAGACTTACCACACACTTCACTGCAAGAACTCATGTCTCAGATGCCCTGTTACTAACAGTACACTATTTCTATTAAGCTTTAGGAAGGAACCTAAAACCTACCAAAGCTCCAAATGCTCTTTCAAACCTCCTCCTTCTCCTCAAGAAGCAGATTCCCACCTTTTGATCCTGCAGCTGTAAAATGGCAATTGTCTCACTGCAAGAAACAAACCTTAGCATTTGAGCTACACTTGACAAGTGGGAAAGCCCTGACATGACAAGTCTTCACTAACAACTGCTCAAATACTAGCCTCCTGTTTCAGATTAATGTGGAATCAATGAAGGCACCTAAACTCTATTTGAAGAAGAGCAGGTATTAGAAATTAAAACTGAAAAACAGTTAAGGTAAGCACTAAACATAACAGCACAGCAACATGCTTCACCAAGAAGCATTAGCTAAACCCCACAATACCTTCATTTTCTCAGTTAAAAAGAATACAATCACTGCAGCAACTAAATCTTGACATGATATAGGCTGTCTCTTGTGGGACTTTCATTTCCCCACTTGACACAAGTGCAGAAGGGCATTCACAGGCACTGTAGCTGTGTAAGCACCCAATCAGCAGACAGAGAACCAAACAGCTTCCTCCCCCCACCCCAACGATAAGAACTGGTGCAGACCAGCTTCCCCCTCCATGATGCAAACAACCCCTCCAAGTGCTCAAAGCACATGGCAAAGATTTCAAGCCTTTCAAAGTCAGCTAGTCACTTCTCCAATTTAACTACATCAGCTTACTGCCACCTAAATGCTGTGCTCATGTTCACAGGTAAGAGGGTATTTCACAGAAACTTTCCCTTGAGCAGTAACCTACATAACCCATCGACCTGGCCAGATCAGCAAAGGGCAAAATGCAGAAAAAACAGAAGGCTGCAAACATGTTTGCTCTGTAGCACACTCACATACTGAGATCAGGAGAAGAACACACCTCTCAGGAGAGCTCTGCCATGATGTGCAACATTCCCTTACCACTCCCAGATACACTCAGCTAGAAAGTCCTCAACAAGCACTGCCTTCTGTACACTGGCATCAGTCACTTTGCAATACAAACAGCCCCTGTCCCAGTCAGCACCGTATCTCCCAGCCAGAGGAATTCAGCAAGTCTTCAAAAGGAAAAACACACCTCACGGTACAGCTCAGCACATCCCACACCCGATTACCCACTATCTGAAAATAAGTGGTGTTCCTATTACCCATCTTACCCTCTCTACAGAGGGCCTGAAGAGCCATTCATTTCTGCCCCAGCCTAAACAGATCACAACTGGGAAGCTTCAAGGCTCTTACCAGACCTAATCATATCAGAGCTATGGCTTTCATAAAGTGCTAGGTGAGCTGTCATGGCAGCCAGTGCAGTTAAACACTTCACAGTGTTTTAAGTCCCAAATGTTAAAAGCAGAAGGAGTGTCAAAAAGCAGAAAAGGCAGGTTAATCCCTTATAACCACTTACATCTCAGGAAAATGGTGGTGTTGCTGAAGAGAATTTTCCCAAAGTTAAACTTCTTCCCCTGCAAAGGAACAAAAACATAAAAGAAATTAGTAAGCTTAATGTCACTGAGCTTAAGTAAACATAATCTTCCATTCTGAGTTTTAAGTCAATACAGCAATGAAAGCAAATGCCAAATCTGGAGCCAGACTTACTGGACTTTCCAGTCATGCTTCACCACCCCTTCAACGTACTCTTAAAAGATGCTTTGAGAGGCTTGGGGCTTTTTATTCTGCATACTGAATTAATTTCACATTGACATTTGTTGAAACGATTACCATTTTCTTGCTAATGAGGCACTCTGGACTATTCAACAAGAAAAATTTTAGTTATAAGAACCAACGAGAGCATTCGCCGTGATCCTTCAGTTTTGTTCACGAAGCTCAAGGGTCTCAGAGAAAGCACATATTACCCCCACCGCCAGGTAAAGGCAGATCTAATGTGAAGCAAAACAGCTCTCCCCCGCACAACTTTAGGCACACGCGGTTTGTCAGAAGTGCCGAAATTCCCTTCGCCTTCCCTAAGGCCCGCACCTCTCGGTCCAGCTTTCCCGACGCCAGGCCCCGCCGGTGCGGGCCGCCAGCACGGCCGCAGGGGGGGCGCGGGGCGCCTTCTCCCCGCACAGGCTCCCCCGAGGCCGGGCACCAGCCGGGGACACACTCCCGCTTCCCTTCCTTCCCTCCCTCCCTCCCTCCCTCCTTCCCTGGCGCCTCACGGCTTTCGCAGTGGCCGCGCTCCTTCCGCTGCCCATCGGATTATTTCCCGCACAAGCATTCTCTCCCCACCGCCACGACCAACCCGCCACAGAGGGCTCCAGCCTGGCAGCGGGCAAGGAGGCAGCCACAGCCCCGAGCCCGAGCACCACCTCCGGGTGCGGTCAGGCTCCACAGAGGCGCGGCCAGGGCAGGGAAGCCCTCGGCCGCCGCCGTCCCGCCCGAGGAGGACGCGCGGAGCAGCCACGGCCTCCCGCCCCTACCCCTGCACACGTTCGCCCCGACTGCCGCCACACCGCCCGGCCCGGCGGCTGCGGGGCCCGGCCGCGCTCCCCGCACTCACCAGGAGCACCGGCAGCCGCCATTTGGAGCGCTGCCCGGCGCCCGCCGCGCCCGCCAGCAGCAGCACCACCAGCAGCCGCAGCAGGACGGCTCCGGGCCGCCGCCGCCCCCCGCAACGCGGCGCCGCCGCCATCCCGCCGTACGGAGGCCGCCGCGCTGGCCGCGCCTCTTCCGCTCCTCGCCGGGGGACGCGGCGGCCGTGGGTCGGCAGGAGCGGCGCTGGGCGGAGCCGCTCCCGCCTCGGCCCGGGCTGTCACCGCCCCCGACTGTCACTCGCTGACGGGGCCGCGTTCGGGGCCCGCCGTGCTCCCCGGCTGCCGGCCCTGCCGCCTGGCAGCCCCCCGCGCCCTGCTGCTGCCGGCGGGCTGTCACCCCCTTTCTCCGCGGGGTCGCTCGGAGCAGCCCCGCCATGGAGGCGGCCACGCCGGGGGAAGTCAGGTAACGCTGCCTGGTAGGGCTCCTTGTCCGACCCTCTCGCTCCCCCGGTGTCGCCGGGCTGGCTCCCCCGGTTTGTGCGGAGAGCGGGCCCGGCCCTAGCAAGCGTGCCGAGGGTGAGGGGCGGGCGAGGGGGCCGTGGCGGTGCTGTCCCCGCCGCCCTGCCCGGCCAAGCTTCCCCGGGCCTGGCCGCAGAGCGGGACAGCGAGCGGCGTAGTCCGGGCTGCACCGCTGGAAGGCGGGTGGGCTGCAGGGTTTTAAATGCGACAGCAAAGTCCCACGGACCTGGAGCAACACCTGAAAGGACATATGTGTCTTCAGGCAAAAATGGGAAGGGCTAAATTGTTTAAATATATGGGTACTGTGTGATCTCCAGTAATAATCCAGGATCTGTAATTGGGACGGAATCAACGGGTGCCGCCTGAATTTTCTATGTTGCATGTATGTAATTAGTAAGTATTCTATAAGCATCAGTGCTTTGTCTGCCAGAACTAATACCTTATCTTTCCTCTGTGTCTGAGCTTAGCATGATCTGGAAAGTGTTTTGATGATAGACACTACTGGCAACCGATTTTTTTCAGGCAGCCCAAAATTGTACTGTTATCTAATAGATCTAAAAGTTACCCCAAGCCTAGAGGTAACAGTGCTGTCAGGAGGGCCATCAGAAGCCTCCCTCCCTTGTCGGTCCCACTGAAGGTAGAAGAGGAGGGTGCCGGGTTTCTTCTTTTCTACCAGTACTGCCTATGTCTCCATTCTTATTACTAGAACATAATAATTAACTGTAATGACTGCAGAGGGAGGTCTGTCTTCAAAATGCAAACCCCCAAGAATTCAGTCGTGCTGAAATTCAGCTCCATTAGTCCTAGCTAGATTCAGTAATTTCTTAAAGTTTCAAAGTTTAAAAGGAAATGGTTCAGCATGGAACTAAATGTGTAAGAAGTTCTTCCAATATCTAAACGCAGTTGTTCAAATTCCAACACGTTTTATGTTGGACCAGAGTTTTCTGCATTGTCTTTAATCCTGACTGCTCTTCAGGAGGACCCCTGACATCTCATCATTCAGCAGGTGTTTGGTGAACATAACTAAACTCTTCATCTGCTCTTTCTAGTGTACAGGATGAGGCTGTGGACAAAAGCACCTTTAAGAAATGCAATCAGATTGCTTTTTACAGGTAAGGAGAATTGTAGTGTAGAGTGGTGGTTATTTTTAAACTAGTAATATTAAAAGATGCAGGAAGCAGTTACACATTGATTCTTAGTCACAACAAGTCTGCTGTTTTCAGAATTTATCTTTCAAAGTCAGCATTCCACTCAACTGTCAGCATACAATAATCACCATATTTAAAAGGTGTAATCTTAAATCCAAAATGTCTTCTTTTAAAATTCAAAAGAATCAGTCCTCTCATCTGACTAAGCCCCAGCAATATTTTAACTATAGTTCCACTCAGATGCAGGTTGTTTTCTTGATGTGGATGTTTTTTTGACTATCTGTAGTTCAAAACAGCAAAACACTCAGTAGAAACCATTAGTCTGTGACAATAGCATACATGATTACAAGTCCTGTTGAGCAAGTACGTTGGCCAGAATTGAGTGTCAAATCTAAATTCTAGTTCACTAGTCTCTTAAAGCTAACCTTAAGTCATCTTTCTCATCCCATTTCTAACTGTGATACCTCTCCTCAACCCTTTTTACCTCCTATCCTCTATTGTCTTCTATCCTGTGCTGCCTGACTGAAAGGAATGATTTCTCAGTGTTACACCAATTAGTCACTGACATACTGGGTTTACAGTCTCAGATATTCATATCTGTCCTGCAGGAAATTATGTTCAGAAAACAAAGCAAAAAAAAAGACATTTTTCGGTGAGAACATGGCTCCTTTTCACACCACAGCTTTCTAGAATGTTACCACTTAACATAAAACCTCTAATTTCTCAGGAAGAGTTTACTACACATTGGTAAGTATCAGATCCTGCCTTTGCTTTGGTTTTAAAAGAAATCCTTTAACTGATTGCTCACATCTTTGTTCCCGTTTGCAAAGAAATTAAATTAGTTTACTACTGCAGAAGCTTCTTTTTAAGGTAGCCTTCAAGACACTTATCTTCAAATAGTTCATAAAACCTGGGCTTGGCAAGGAGCATTCTACAAACAGCTGAAAGAGCCTCTGTTTCAGGGTTTCTTCCTAAAAACATTACTGGGGCCAAAACCCACAGTCAAATCTCTGTAGTCAGCAGACTTGTTGAGAAACAATTTCCTCAGTATGTATTCAGGAGGTTACAATTACAAACATACACTGCTTCATCACCACAGAATGTAAAAGCTCTTCACCAGGGTTGCCAAGATATAATGACAGAAAATGAAAAACAGATTATCTGAGCTGAAATTTCTGGGACCAATGAAAGAACAGTAGCTGTGGAGCTAAGAATTTAATTGGACACATGAATTAAGACTACCATTGTTTATAAAAAACCTATAGAATGGCGATGGGTGACCAAACCCCTGTAACATCTCATTCATAAACATTTATATGTGCTCAGAACTATATTCCTTTTTTTTCCAACTTGAAGTGTTGATAACTGTATTTGAAAAAATTCAAGACAAAATTATTAAGTAAACATTTCTACCAATACTATGTCCCTCTATGTGACATAAACTACAAGAATTAGACCAAAAATAATTTTCTCTCTTGACAGGCGTCAGAAACTTTTATGTCCTGGAAAATCCTCGTATCAAGCATTGTTGGATTCAGTCACATTAAGTGATGAGAATGTCAAATTCCAAATTATTCATGAGGAGAATAAGGTGAGATCCCACCTTGCATAAGAGGGTGCTTAAAGAAAGAGCAGTAAATATTATCAACAAGATTGATAATATTTGCAGGTTTTAAGATTCTTCAGTGATAGATATTTAAGATATAATGCAAACTATTTGTTTGACAGCTTGAGGCTGTGCAAGAGAAAGAAGTATTTTAAGGAACTTAAAAAAAAATTAATGGCTTTATGAAAAATGTGAATAGAACTCTTAGTAGTTGAAAAATGGTTTTAATTCAGAGTTTTCTCCACTATTTCAAAATAATAAATTCTTTTCCTATAATGGAATATAGAGGACATATATTCCAGCACCTTCTAACCATACCTTGGTATTCCTGTGTTTGCTCAAAGGCAGTTTTTTGGAACAAAGAAGTCATCTTTGCATTTAAGATTACAAACAGGAAGAGGTGGGCATTCTATTTCTCTAATTTAACAGCACAGCAGCTGACACATTTACCCAGGGAACAGAAAACCTAACCCATGCTCCAATCATGAAAGTTTGAAACTACAAGTCACTTCCATGCTCTAACCACCACACTATGTAGATACTCTTCATAAAGGTATTTTCTCTCTCTCTTGTTTATCCTAACCTTCTTTGCAGTCAGCATAGAAAAAGGAGCCTATTTTTTTGTCTAGATTTTAAGGAATATGAAAGATTGAAGACTCTGTGGCTTCCTAGACTATCTGGGTGTTTATACAAAGATAGCATAATGTAAAATATGTCCTAGGAAGCAGTGCCTGGAACTCCAAATGAATCTTTTCTGTCTTGCCTACTTTTCTTCTGGTTTTATGGCTCTTGCATACTTGCATGCCTTTGAAGAGCAGGACTGATTGGCTTCCACATAGTGGGAAAAGATACCAGGCTAAAATTCTTCAGCCAGTTTTGTGTCTTAAAGGAAGAGAGATTAAGGGGAAAAAAAAAAAACACCCCACAGAAAAAATCAGACTTGTGGTGTCAGGATTCTCTGTGGAAGAAAAGTGAGTAATTTTTCTAGAACAGAGTGACTTCCCAGATCCCTGAACTAAAAAATAGCAAATTACAGTGAGTAGAGCACTATGAGCACATTTTCTTTATGTGTCTTTCTGACACAGCTGATTAGTGTCAGCACTGTGCATACTAGTGAAGACAGAGCACTGATGTTTTTACAAAAAGTCCACATCTCAGGATTTTACCACCCTTACATCAACAGCATAGTAGTCAAATTGTACCAACTTAGAGATTAGTATACTCTGCTGCTGTTTTCCATGTTGCTTGAGGGGAGAGAGCTATATGCACTTTGAAGATAAAGAGCTCACTTAAAAAACATTGCTTCTTCGAAGGGGTGAAGTAGATTTAGCTGGTGTAAATTCATGTGGATAATGATTTTTACTCAACAGTGCTAAAGAACATTAAATCAGAAAGCAGGCACGGTTGCTTTTTCCGGACAGTAAGTGTTTGGTGATGTTGTGTTAAAAAATAAATTGGTATTTTTAATCCCTACCAGTTTATTTATTTGTTTGCTCCCAGGTTCTTCTACAAGTAGAAATTTATGAAATAGAAGGCAATATTTTCAGGCTTAAAATTGATGAGGCTTCTCCTCTCAGAGCAAGATACAAAGTTCCTGATGTTCTTATAAAGGAACCTACCACCCAGAGGTAAGTAATGGGAAGATGATTTAGCACCTTAGTAACTTACACAGCTTCATTTGCAAGTGTTTTTCTTTGTCCCACGTTTATGCAACAGTACAGTTGTCTCTCTACAATACCAAGTTGTTACAAGAATCAAAAATAAAAATGCACGTGGTTCATTTACTTTCAAAAATTCGTGTTAAATACATAGGAGGAAGTTTTGTCCTACACAGAAGAAACCTGAGGCTATTTGACCCAATCAGAAAATAGCCTACTTGTTACAATGTATAGTTTTTACGGAAGGCATTATGTGTTAATGTGACAGGAATACAAGGTCTGGATAGTTTTCACAGCAGTTCTGTAGCCACTTGTTGCACTGTGCAGTGAGTCCCGAGCACAGCATGTATTTCTGGCGTTCTTTGCCTCAACATTAGCCTTGAGGTTTGTGTGATGCATGCGGATATTCTTAGTCCATCTTTTGTTTCAAATTGTTATTTAGTTACAGTGGATTTCACATGTTGCTGTTGTTGCTTTTCATTTGCCAGACTGTTCATATCCCACAAGGAGGCAGGTATTTTGGTGCTGTCAAGTGCTAATGGGGACTACAAACTTCAAGTCACAGCAAATCCCTTCCAGGTTGAGCTGCAGTCCAAGGGTGAGACTGTTATGAGCATGAATTCCAATGGGTTGTTATATTTTGAGCACCTACAGCCACCTCCCAGTGATAGGTACAGTATCTGTCTATTGCATCATCGTATGTACTGCTTGTGCTGTAGCTGAAGATAATTCTGTGGAATTGCAGTTTCTGAAAGCTCTTATGCATTAAATTCTGTATTCTCTTTTACTTCATAAGTATACTAAGTATATGGTGAAGTTTTAATAAACAAATTCTGGATCGACTAACTGCAGACTGTTTTAATCCCTTGCAGCAACCATGTGCAAAATGCTAACCTTATGGTAGTATGATGAGGTTATTAGTTTCACCTTTTTTATTACTAAACTTACTCTTTAGGTAAGTTTTATTCACTCTATAAGCTCTTGAAGTCAAGTTTTGTTCAACTTACAATGTGCCATGTAGCTGCAAGATTTTACAGGTCAAACACACTGCAAAGTGCTAAAAGGATGAGAAACCACAGTGCAGGACATGTCATGACTAGAAAAAACATAGCAAATGTATCTGCTATAGAGCATTATTTCAAAACCAGAATGATAAAGAAGTGAGGATCTGAGTGGGTAAAATGCTGACACATAGAAATAAACATGAAAGACCAAGAAGTCAACCTAACTCAAATATTGAGTGCAGGTTATTTTAAGGCATTGAATATTAAAATTATTGGCAAGTTAAAGCTCTCAGCTATAAAATCAATTTTCAGAATAGTCAAGCACCAAAACTCTTACATAATGTATAAAGCAATACGTAGTGCTATTTGAATTTTCTGTTTAAAATCCTTGCTTACATTAACAATAAACTGATTATTTCTATGTATTTATGTTCACTAGAAAAGCTACAGCACAAAATGAGGAGGCAGCAAGTGATTACTTTAAGGTAACTCATACTTACTGCAATCGCAGCATAAATGTTTTGTAAAAAAACAAATTAAAATTGCATTTTCTTGTCACCTGGTACTACATTTACAAATACAATCTAATCACTTTCCAGTGAAATTGAAAAAGGACCTAGTATACCTACTGAGATATCTTGCAAATTCTTAGTTGAATGGAGATTGATGTGTTTTAACAAGTCTGTAGAAGGCATCAGTCAGCTAGATCTAGCACAAAAATGTCTCTTTCCATGACCTTTTTCTTAATAATTTCTTTCTCTTTTGTTCTCTTATTTGATCTGGAGTAGATATGTAAAAGGGACTTTTGTGGTAATATTCGGTCATTTTCAAATTCTCTGTTCATTGCGAAGAGAGTTTCAAAAGAACAGTCAAAAACTATACCTCCACATATGTTCAGGCTTAATACAGATGTAAGATTCTCTCTGAAAAAAAGACCAGGTCCTGGCAGTGCATAGAGTGCACACTGCACCTTTCCCAAGAGGCTGAGTTATGGCCAGGATATAATTTTAGACTTCTGTAGAGCAGATGGCTGCTTATCCTGCTATCCTGTTATAAATGGCAGGAGCTATGTGCCTTCAGCATATTTATGGCTGAGCTCTGAGTTCTGCCAGGGAAGTCACACAGCTGCAAGAGGCCATGCTTATTCTGGGATGAATGTAGAAAAGAAAACTAGGAAACACGCTACAAAAAGTGGAAATTCTAGGACAATGAATGACAGAACACAAAGAGGCTAAAGGTATCAGTTATACACACAGGACTCCAGAGTGTCTGGAGAGGATTTTTTTTTGGTTGTCTCACCTTTACTGTTTGGGGGAGTAGGTTGGTTTCTGTTTGTATGGATTTTCCTGTTTGGTTCTTTCCATGCAGTTTTGCATTTCAGAAGAAACACATTTTGTACAGTGAGAGTAATTACTCACTGGAAGAACCTGCCCAGGGACTTAGTATAGTCCTCATCACTTCAGGTTTTCAAGATTTAGTTGGATAGGGTGCTAGATAATCTCATCTAGGCTCCCTTTCCCATTAAATGGACCAGATGATCTTTTGAGGCTCCTTCCAAAATGGCCTATTCTATCATTCTATCACAATCATAGTGATTCTATCCAAGACCTCGAGTATTACTTTTATGCTGTAACAGGTGCCATATGTGCAACATGTGCACGTCAGTTTGTTAGTGTAAATTGCTGCAGCAGAATCTAAGCGTGTTTTGGATTTATTTGTATTAACCATATTTGGCAAAAAAACAGTTAATGTATAAGTCTCATGAAAAAACATATTTTTCGTAAAAATACACAATGTGAGCAGTTGCATTTGCTAGGCTTAGACTATTTCTGTTTGTGCAGGAAAAACAAGAGGACCTAGGTCTCTGGCAAGAGAAATTTGGCAGTTTCTTAGACATCAAAGCTCATGGTAAGCCTCAACATAGTTCTGAAAACAGCTTTACTGCTTTGTTTAAACCTGTGTTCATATGTCTGTCTGCTTTCTGTTTATCTGCTTAAAATTTATCAATGTCTCACTTGCACTTGCTTTTCAGTTATCTTAACTTTGTTTTAATCAGAAATGGGTGATGGGTTACAAATTTGACAAAAGTATTGCAAATATTCATTAGATTTCTTTTCAAGAGGGAACACATTCAATGTGATCTATTTTATCAACTCACTACATGCCATTTCTTACACACGATCTGTGTTGTCTGAGTGTACATCTATATAATACATTATTTTCTTTGTTCTTTTTTTAGTATCAGTTCATAACATTGATTTCACCTGTAGTTTATTCTCATGACCTATCAGAAATCATGTTATCTAAGCATTAATAATTAGCACAAAGAAACTCTTTTTAAGTGAGGACTACAAAAGGAAATACTGAGCAATCCTAAGAGATAAAGAGGTTACATACACGTGAGAGCAGTAGCTCAAATACAGTTTAAATTATCAATTACCAAAATGTATGACCATCTGCTGTCTGTCTCGTTGTATTCTTTATTAATTAAGTTAGTTAGCTTTGTCCATTACCACTACCATGCAGAGTTCTATAGCAACCAGCACTACCCTGCAGCTGCAGTAGAGAGAGGGAGGTCTGAAAGCGATTCCTTTTGGTGACAGATACTTCTTAAGTTCACAGTCAAGATATAGAGGGCAGGAAGCTGTTGCCTCTGATGCTGTATCTGATGTATTAGGCCAGCGTCATGGTTTTTTCTGTGTTAGAGGAATAAAGTCCGTGTGGTCAAGTTCTGATCCTGAAGCCGCTGCTTGTCAGTCTACAGGATCTCTGGTCACCTGCCAAAAGTTGCCTTGGATTCTGTATTGTGACAAGATGATATCACTGTTAGGGACTCCTGTGCGTGCCACTCCGATGGCTGAGACTGAAGAGAAGACCAGTGGGAAACAGGCAACTCTGATTCTAAAGTCCACTGTGCTGCAAAGTTTAGCTTTTAGGTACTGGGATAGAAGCTGTAGATAATTTTAAGTCATTCACTGCAGAATAAAGAAGTTACCCATGATTATGTGGATTTGTTTGGGGAGATTCTGTCAAAGTGAATCATTTTATTTTCTTAAGAAGTTCAAAATCAGAATAAATACAGTAAAATCTATTTAAAACATTACCTCTGTGAAACAGAAGTAATAATGGAAGTGAAGTTGCAAAGAAGTATGAAAGAGTTAATTATTGAAACTTTCAGTTGTTTTATCCAGTTAAGTTGCTCCGCTCTGTTGCTTTCAGATAAGCCTGAGAATGGAGCTCTGTGTTCTCTTTTAATGTTATTTCCACAGGTCCCAGTTCTGTAGGCGTGGACTTCTCTTTACATGGATATGATCACGTTTATGGGATACCACAACACACAGAAACACTTCTTCTCAAAAACACCAGGTAAAGGTGCCAGATTGCTAATGAGTGCAGTTGGAGTTTTTTTGCAGAGGAGAGCTGTAACATTGTCTTAATAATTTAATGCAGACAACAGCTTGAGACATGTATATCATATAGTGTATCTTTTAGATTAATTATATGGCAAACCAAATTGTAGCCACTATCCGTGTAGAGTAAGTTGTTCTGCTTTCCCTTTCCACTCTGTAATTTCATAAATGGCCCCTTCTGTTCTCACTCGATTTTCCATTCAGTTTTTTCTGGACTTCAGGATCAGTCATGTTTTAGCAGAACTCATAAAAGAGGAACTTGATGGGAAAGTTCAGAAATCATATTTTAGGATTTAGGGCAAACAGTCTCACTAGCAGCAAAAATCTTGTTTGATTCAGATAGTGAGGACCAAAGCAAAGAAGCAGTAATCTAGGCTGCCCATATTTCAGCTCTGGATGCCAAACAAAAGGCCATAATACAGAGTGCTTACTGAGTATTCACCAAGTTTAGTGGAATGGCAGTGAAGTTAAAATTGGCTTAGTGCAGGATGCTTACATGTAACAAACACATCTGTTTGTTTGTCCTAGTGATGGTGATGCCTACCGGCTTTATAATTTGGATATCTTCGGCCATAAGATACATGACAAAATAGGCATTTATGGTTCAGTGCCCCTTCTCTTAGCACACAAGCCTAACAGAACTTCAGGAATCTTCTGGCTGAACTCTTCAGAAACACTGGTGGATATTAGTACAAAGGCAGTAGCTGAGGTGAGAATTATTCACTTTCCTCAGAATTAAATAACGAAACACTTCAGGGCAGGGCCAACAGGAATGTAACAACATTATTGGGGATTTATCTTTTGCTCCCTAATGAAGAATTGTCAGTGTCTTCCTCCTGTTCTCCCTAGTGCTAAATTTGTTGTGTTAAGCTGCTGAAAAGAACAAAGAGATGAGTTATATAGATCTCGTATGTTAACAGGTCTACAGGAGGAGGCAAAGAGGAAATATGCAGAAAAGATCTACACAGGTGTATGTAGCGGGCAGAAAAAAGGGTGGCCAGAATCTTGACAATCTCTTGGATTTGAGGAATTTCTCTGAGTTTTTAAATTCTTGGTATTGCCATACTTTTTTTCCTAGCAGGCTTATTCTGTGGAATGTAATTGACCTTCAAGAAACATAGAATGTGTGGCAAAGAAATTCACTCAAACTCTTGAAACACGAACATGAATTCTGTTAAAATTGAAACAATGAGGAAAAGGAAAATCTTGTGTTGTTTCAGCACTACATTATATGGTTAAAATTATTAATTTACTTTTTTTACTTATCATTTAGATATTACTGAAAGATCCTACAGAATATACATATATATAATATATATAATTACAGAAAAGCTTTAATTATTTTGCCCCTCATTACCCATTTTTCCTCATTAACTATTACTCTACTTTGTATGAGCAGTATGGAAGGTAAAGCATTTGTGAAGGATATATAAGAAACATTCAGTGTGTATTTCTAATACCTGCCAGCTATGTCTTAGTGAATTTTGTGTGTTTCCGTCTTTGCTCCTTCACTGAATAAAAGTTTGGCAGACAGAGATTCAGTTTTTCCCTGGTTTCCTTCAAAGCACATGTCATCCACATCTGCTGCAGAGACTGCTAAGCAGAGAGCAGTGCCTCTAACTGATGTACGCTGGATGTCAGAAAGTGGAATCATTGATGTTTTCCTGCTGATGGGACCCACTGCCTTTGATACCTTCAAGCAGTTTGCACAACTGACAGGTACTAACTCACATAATTGGAGTCTGGCACATTTACCTGGGAGATTCTCTGAGGAACTTGTTGTACTCAAGAGCAGGTTAATATTTACCTAGCCCATTGTGTGCAGTTGTTCCTAAGCTGCAACATGTAGAGCAAAGGCTGGTCCTTTGTGAAGACTGGCCTCTGTCCTTGTTTTCCCTTGCACTTGCAGCTGGTCAAACTTGGCCCTCATTGAGAAGCCAGCATAATTACTATCTGAAACTGCACCCTTAGAAGAAGAAGGGAGATACAAGGGGCTAAAACTGCCAGTCCCCATTAAGACAGGCCCCCTTATAATGTGAAAAGACTGAAGTTATGGAGTAATGTGTCCTGGAGACTAGAGAAATAAGATAGGTAAGTGTCCAGTGTGCCCCTTAGGGAAGGGAATATATTCCCATGCAGATAAGGGAAAGAAACAAGAGGCTCAGGAAGAGAGTAAAAAAATGGAGGAAAAGGGACTAATATTTTATGAAAGCAACATTCTTTGTGTGCTAAAGAGAATTAAAGTACCTAAATATTCCTGGTAGTTCTTTAGGCTGTTAGCAATGTTTCTTTGCTGCACAGATGTTATACAGAAAACGTGGTTCAGCTGAAGAGAAATAGAAAAGTAGCCAGGTTCCAAGAGGATCTCTCCAAGCAGAAGTGCACGCTGAGGAAGGTTTCCCAGCTCCATTTTCCTGTATGCATAGATACAAGCATGTTTGCTAATTTTAAAAATTCCTAACAATTTCAGTTCCAGTGGTTCTCTTGTACTGTAGCACCCATGGACCTGTTTACACTACTCAAGCAGTCACAGAAATTGCCTTCTACTGATTAAAATGTATGTAATTGTTTGCATTAATGACAGATAAGCTAATCTGGAATATTATTTATTAGAAAAAAGATGAAGAATAAAATTATATTGGTTACTGGAATAACACTTCAGCATCATGGAACAGCAAGTTCCTTTTCACTTTCATATTATCATTACAGGCCTTTGTTCTTTCTGACTGTTGAGCTCATTGTAATGCTCATTATTTCAAGAGTTCATTCACTTTGGTACGAAGAATTTAGGCCAGCATTCCCTAGCTCCAGAGAGACACATATTAATCATGTTAACTTTTTCTAGAGTCTCTAGATAAATTCTTGAAGGACATTAACAGTTTTATCTTCATTCATATACTCTTTCTAGGCACTCAAGCCCTGCCCCCCCTTTTTTCTCTGGGCTACCATCAGTGCAGGTGGAATTATGAGGATGAGCAAGATGTCAAGGCAGTAGATGCTGGCTTTGATGCACATGACATTCCTTATGATGTGATATGGCTGGACATAGAGCACACAGATGGCAAGAGGTATTTTACTTGGGACAAAAAGAAATTCCAGAACCCCAGAAAGATGCAAGAACATCTCAAGAAGAAAAAACGCAAGGTAAATAATATAGCAGGAAGAAAGAAAATATTTCTCTCTAGTGTCAATCTACCCAATCTGGCTTTAACCTAGGTACTTCAGATACTGAAAACAGCTTAACTACAACAGAATAGATTACTCTCTTTCTGTCTGGTGATGCTTACAGCATGCAAGCTATTGTGTTTAATTCAGTTCTTCATGCCATTTTATTATTTTGTAGTTTGTTGTGTATCCTGACCGTGGGGCTAAGTTTGACTCATGTGAAGCTCTGTTTTACAGAAGCAGTTCAGTGCTGTGGACATAGCAGAAGAGTTTTCTTCTTAACATGAGCTTTCACCATTGGTAGTTGCTGTACTTGCTTCAGCTTTGCTTTGTGTTTCTGCTTTTACAGCTAAAATATTTTCCTTATAGAGGTACTAAAATGTAGACAATATCTTAAAATTGTAGAATTGCTTAATTATTGATCCTGGCCAAAAGTCAATGAATGGGTAAGTGTTGAAATAGCATTCAAGTGTTATAATCTCTCAGTTGGAGCTGTAGTACTTTCTCAGCTCTACAGCAAAGCAGTTAAAGGCAGCAGAAAATAACTACAAAGTACAGTATCTGTTGCTGTTGTGTGCTACACAAACTAAAACATATTTAAACGTCTTAAGACATACAATTTTAAGCAGGCACATGAACGTGTAAGGCAGATATTTTCCCATTCACTGAATACAGCAGTGAAAAAAACCATAGTGTTTTTAGGGGTTGCTATACTTGCTTTTACCTGAAACAATGGATTTTGTTCTTTATTTCAGAGGAGTAAGCATGGGTTCATGCCCTCCTTGTAAATTCAGCTCCTATACGTAAGTCTAGCACAGTATATACAAGAACTGGTGACTGCTTTTTACAATTAGTGACAGCTGTCTTTTTTACCTGAGGTGAAATCATTCTCTGCCTTTTATCAAAAGTGAATTCTTACTGTTTTATTAAGCACAGTTGATGCTAATTTTCTTTATTTTCTTATCCTGTCAGCTTGTCGTCATTGTAGATCCACATATTAAGGTTGATCCCACGTACACCCTGTATTCACAGGCAAAAGACAAGGGATATTTTGTGAAAGACAGAAATGGGCAAGATTTTGAGGGCATCTGTTGGTCAGGTAAAAAAGCACTCTGTCTCCACATTTTAGCTGTTTATTTTAAAAATTTTGCAGAATAGTTTAATTGGTATCCATGGAAGCAGAATTAAATTCTTGCATTGCTTGCATTTTTGGTAAATATTAATAATTTCAAATGCCTTGTAGTTTCTTTGATATAGTCATGTTCTAATTGCCTCAGCTGTATAACTTCCTGTGTTACATTTATTGAATCTGCATATAGTACCAGTGCCTAGAACTAAAAAAAAAGGATTTATTTATGAGAACAGCCATTCCTCTTCCATACTTGTCTTGGATACAGAAATGCAGTCTGGTCTGTTGCAGTGAGCACAGTTTATGTAGGCTCAATGAAATTAAGTAAACCCTGGTACTGAACCTTTGACTCAATCATAATATAGTGATTTGTCGTATTATTTTTCATGAAAAGATCTCATTGGGTGGAGGCAAAGCAGGTTGCCCCACTTCTTTAAAAACAGGATGCCCACAATCCTGGCAAAGGAGCGATTATGGGAAAATCAAGGACATGTTACAACTTCTAGTAGCATGGCAGGATGTAGTTATTCAGCTTCTCAGTGATGCTTTCCTTTTTGAATTCAAAATACCAGGGATGTTGCCTTTCTCTGGCTTCTTATGCACATCTGAACATGTTTCAGGCTGTTAGCAGTCATCCTTAAAGGGTGCTGAGCTTCAGACCTCCAGAATCTGTGTGTCTTGATATGGCAAGGGGTGTATTGGGTTCCAAGTCAGCCTGGAATTTACTGTTGAGCTTTTATTTCAGAAACAGTAGTGACTACATTATTGCTTCTGGTGAAAAGCATTGTAGCTTTAGGCCAGTGTATTTAGGTGCAAAGACAATGCTTTTAAAATCAGGTAAATAATTGGGATCTCCCACCTCCACAGGTTCCTCTTGCTACCTGGATTTCACCAATCCTGAAGTGCGAAAATGGTATGCAGATCAATTTGCCTTCAAAACATACAAGGTTTGTATTTATTTGCTCTGATCTACATATCCCAGAAAGCCTGAAAATGGAGAAGAAAACAAAGATACTGGCTAAGCAAGTTGTTGGCTTTTGTAGCTATACTACTGTAATGTAGAGGAAAATATCTTGATAAGCTGAAGCAGCACAGAAGGATTTTCTCCATGGCCTTGTCTACACTAAGACAATTGGAATCCATATGCCACCAGTGAATGTGCTCACTTAGTTGCAGCCGTAGAAGGGACAAACTTCAGGCATTTTAAGAACCACCTGCTGCATAATCTAGTCCAGCTGCTGCTGTTTCAGCTTTTACTACTGTGATGGCACACAAAGAGCAATGTGGAAATGCTCTCTCATAGCTCATAGTCACTTCATTCTGACCATCCTGTCTAGTGCTAAAAGTGTCTGGGTGACCACTGCTGGACACCTCCAGTTCCCCCACCCTTCCACAAAGTTCTAGTTCGCAGTAGAGTTGTTGAAACCACTCTCCTAGTAGACATGCATGGTAAATAATTCCCAGGCTGCTTTTCCTCTCCAGTTTTTCACCTCTGGCCTTCTCTGAGTTTTTTCTCATGGCTGTTTAATACTTCTTTTTTCCCTGCCTCTTTTCCCTCACCAGAAGGCAGAAATAGCAAGTGCCTACTGAGTTTGTAAGAGTTGCAAAAATCATGTGGGCTTGCAGGCTGCTACCCTGACCAGAAGGGCCTCCAAGAGAGATGAGATGAACAACTGGCAGCTTCCAAGTGACCTCAGAAGTGTAATTACCACGTCTTGCTTTTCTGCTGCTCTTTCTAGTCACACCCCAGACTGATCTGACACCTGCTAGAGATAAACACACTAAGTCACAGCAGTAGCTCTGTCATGATCTAATTACAGCGCTATGTTACAGGGATCCACTAATATCCTCTTTGTATGGAATGACATGAATGAGCCTTCAGTCTTCAAAGGGGCAGAACTAACAATGCAGAAAGATGCTGTGCACTACAATAACTGGGAGCATCGGGAAGTACACAACCTCTATGGATTCTATCAGGTAGAGTATCTGGAGACACAAACAGCAGTTACTCCCGTGGAGTATGTCTAATGTGGTACTTTACGCAGTACTAGGTATTCTGTAACCTTCGTCAAGGACTCTGCTGGACTGGATATTGCAATATTTGAAGTAAACTCTGTGATTGGTCTCAAGAAAATGTGACATCAGTGCCTTTCTACCATAACAATGTAAATTACATGGACTGTGACTATGCAATATTTTTTCATTCAATTATATTCTAATAAGAATTTGTTGCTTTAATAATAGATATTATTTGTGGGTTCTTAATTTTTCTCACTTAGAACGTCTAAAGAGGCAGTCTAGAAAATACCCTAATTAAAGAGTTTGTCTTCCTGGCTTTTTACGTTCGTGATTTTCAGCAAATGGCAACTGCAGAAGGACTCATCAGACGTTCTTCAGGAAAAGAGAGACCATTTGTCCTCACACGATCTTTCTTTGCTGGATCACAGAAGTATGGTAAGGACTAGCTGGATGCCTTCGTTGCTGCTTTGTTCTATTTAGTTTGATGGATAAGAGTCTAGAGAGGACAGAAATTGTCTTAGAAACACTGACATGGTGAACTCATAAGAGTGCAAGTGATTAAAAAAAATTTAAAAATCAGGAGAGGCTGGCAAAGCATGTACAAGTTAAAGGCAGAAGAACAACCTGTGTCCTATGGCAAGCCACTGCCTGTTTTTTACTGCATATTTCAGGAACATATATGTATAAAGAAAAAAAAGTTGCAATGTACAGCAATTCACGAGTAGTTCATGTCTATTCTTGTCTTCTTTCCTTAACTGCAAGCATAAATTGAAGTAAACGCTTGGTTTTCCTCTATAATGCTGAACCTGGGTATTTGCAGGGGCAGTGTGGACTGGAGACAACACAGCAGACTGGAGTTACTTGAAAATATCCATTCCAATGCTTCTTACCATCAGCTTGGCAGGGATTTCCTTCTGTGGAGGTAATGTGTTTCTCACTATGCATCAAATGTGTCACTAAGCTTGGATTCCCAACATAGACTTCAACACAGATGGTGGAAAGCTCAACAGTCCAGTGCATTTCCAGGCAGTTTCACGGATCAGTCTGGTTTCAGAAGCCTGAAACCTGGCTGTCATCATCATTTCTCCGCTAGCTCTTCCGTGATGTTCGTGTCCATCCGGAGCAGCAGTCTGCAAGTGGTGTTCCATAGCACCATTGTGACAGTCCTCTGTCACTGAGAACAGCACTCAGCCTTCAAAAGCTCTCTGGAGATTTTTTTTAAAAGATAACTTGTTACACCCAGCAGAACAGCGAGCACACTGTGAAATGCATGGATTTATACACTCGGAATGTTTGTTAGCGGAGAGCTTCACAATTTTCAGAATAATTTCCAAAAATGTGTATTTTTATTTGTCTGCGCAATATCTAGCTGATGTGGGAGGGTTTATTGGAGATCCAGAACCAGAATTACTTGTTCGCTGGTATCAGGCTGGAGCCTACCAGCCCTTCTTCAGAGGTCATTCTAACATGGAGAGCAAACGGCGAGAACCGTGGCTCTTTGGGGAGAAGAACACCCAGATCATCAGGAAAGCCATTATAGAGCGCTACGTCCTCCTGCCTTACTTATACACACTGTTCTATCGGGCACACACAGCGGCTGAACCAGTTATGAGGTAAGAACGTAAGTCAGGAGATTTAGTGGTTATCTTCAGGAAGTTACTTGGAGAAGGGAAGTTAAATTAGCGTCTCTTACTTTTGTGATTACTTACTTGAATATTAAAAAATTTAAAAAAATACACAAAAATTATAATAATAGTGAATTCTATTTTCGTGCATTCTGCAAGCTTTACTAGGGTTCTCAGAGGAAAATTATATGTTTTTGTTTTCCAAATGACACCTGGAACACACTAATTCAATAAACACTTCACAGTCGTTAAGCATGTTTTTAAAAGACTGTAGACTTCAAACTTCCCATCATGATAAAGAACATTATTTAGTAGTCCAACCGGTATATAAAACAGTGCTTAATGGACTCTGAACTTGCTGACCTAAAAATGTAAATGCCATTTTGCCCCTCATGAAAACACTTGTTACTGCTTAATCGTTATTGTTCCAAAAGCTTACATCACATTAGTAGGTTTATAATTTATGTCTGCAGTATCCCTTCTAATGTTTCTCTTAGCAGAGCATCTAATAATATAGAACAGAAATGATATTAGAAAATAAATTTTTGTTCTACTGCTCTCTAACCTCTAAGAGTGTACCTCAATAGAGTTGAATCCAGCAATTCTTTCAACAAGAGATGAATGTCAGTAATCTCCCTGGTATTGATTTCTGTGTCTTTGAGGTTGCCCTAGAACTGCTCTTCTGCACCACATTTACCTTTACTTGTTCATATGCAGATACATCTCCTAAGTTTTAAAAACATAAAGATGGTTTTGGGAAGGGTTTTGAGTGATTTGTGTTTTGAAGATGATTTGCACATATATAGGCCAAGATGCACCTGTTGTATGTGCTGACATAGACAGTGGGTTTCTGTCTGTCTTGAAGCTTATGTTGACATGTGAACTGACCACAATATTAAATAACACTTCTACTGTGTTAAATTTGGTGCAGTAGGTACAGAATTAGAGAGGAAACATGATATTTTTCTCATTAAGACAAGCAGAGTGGAAAATGTGTCTCATTAGTAAGCACATGAGGAGCAGGGCTGCAGTGAACAAGTGGATGGATGCATATGAGTAAGAAGGTGAGCCAGGCTTTTTGTGTAAGGAAACCCAGACCCTGTCTCTCAATGAGCTATCACTGTCATCATCTCTGCAACTTTAAATGTACAACTCCTGTTTTACAACCAAATGGCTTTTTGAGAAAGACTGAAAATTAACTTCTGGTGCAGGTTTTTCAGGTGTGGCCAGGAGGAGACTTGCTATAGAAGCAGCAGTGAGCTGTTGAGAACAGGAAGAACTGTGCTGCAGGGACTAGCTTATCAGCTGCCAGCATTCCTGGTAGACTGTGACAGAAAGGCTCGTTCATCTCTCCTTTGCTAGAAGGAAGGTAGAAGCAGTACAAGTAGTAGTAGTAGCAAGTAGTACAAACTTCCTTACAAAGCTTGTAAGGAAAAAGGCAGGAGGGAAGAAAATGAGGCTGCAGGAGATAAAGTCATAGGTATATTGGAGTGTCTTAACCCATGTTGTACTGGGGACTCTCATCAGTGACTCAGAGGGGTACTTCGAGTCACCTGGCACAGAAGAGAACCTTGCCCTGTCTTCAGTTCTTGGTAACTGTACCTTGGAAAGAGAGGGAGAAAATGGAGCCTGAAAATGCCAGAACTTGAACATGCTGACTGGAGAGGAAAAGTAACTGAATTCCATTATCTTTCTTTCTACAGGCCTCTCTGGGTAGAGTTTCCAGGAAAAACAGAAACTTTTGATGTGGAGTATGAGTACATGCTGGGTAAGCAGGTGTCTTATTCTCTGGAATACTTTTGAGGTGGTAAAGTTTTGCATAACAAAAAGAAAACATAAAAATTCTGCTCAAGACTTTAAAAAATTATATTGTAGTTGAATATAGAACTTGAGACCTCTTTAAGGGACTTGGTTTTAACAGCACTTTGAAAATAAGGGTCATATGAGATGCAAAAATTGAGTTTTATCTAACTAGTCACTTTGAAAAAAACATAGTTGGATTTGACCTGAAACTTGAAAGTTCACTGTAGCAGCTAAGACCAGAGTCTGTTCAAAAATGGCAGTAGCAAACAACTACCACCCAAACATGATTGTTTTTCACTCCGGTATGGCTGGTTGCTGAAGTCAGGTAGCCATCAGCTCCTTACAAATGCCTTTTTTTCCAGTAGAAAGTGAACCCTAAGCATATAGCATGCCCAAGCAAGTTCCTGAAATAGTTATGGGAGGCTGAAAACCCCAGAGCACACAGTTTCTGCTCTGGTGAGATGCAGCCTTGAGGACCACAGCCATGTTCATGTTTTTCTCCAGGAAATGCTTTGTTGGTGCATCCAGTCACAGAGAAAGAGGCCAAGACAGTGAGTGTTCTGCTTCCAGGGTCAAAGGAGGTAAGGATGAAAATGAACAGCTCAACTGTTCATAAGAAATGAAATTCTGCCCAGAGAAATATTTTATGCAGGAACCTTCCAGCTCACCATCTTGTAACTGCTGAGCGCTGCTGCCATGCCAAGTGCTGGCCAGCCACCCTGAGCCATTCTGAACCCTTCCTTCCACCTTCATACCTTGCGTTCTTGGCTCACAGGAAATGTACTTTCTTGCTTTTCTAAGAGCTGCTGCACAAATCTCAGATCCCCTATAGTTTAAATGTTCCTTCAAGGCTTGCTGCTACTCACCAGACACCATAAAACAGCTTCACTGAATTGTCAATTTCCTTTTTTCATGTATTTCTCTTTGGTTCAAGCTTCACTTTTTATGTGAAAAAAAGGAACTTTGAAGAAAGGTCATAAGGAAATCAGAGGGAAGCTATGGGGAGGAAAAATTTTTACAAGGAAATACAAGTCTCAGTAGCCTGGGACACGTGTAACAAAGACTGACATTTACAGAGATCAGTTCCTCTCTGAAGTAAAAGTATTTATCCACAGGATGGCACAGTCGTCCACTCCTACAAAGAGCGTTTGGCTACAGCAGCTGAGAGGTGGAGGAAGGGAAATAATTTGGGCAAAGTAGTTCCTAAGGGAAAGCCTGAGACTCTAGAGGGTAAGCAACAAAGGGAGTGTGTGAGACCATGCAGAGCCTTGTGACTCCATTAGGGCACCTGAGGACATGTAGAATTTTTGTCAGGATGGGGAGAAAAACAGACTAGGCTCTCCAAACAAGTTAAGAACAATATTTTTATCAAGATCTCAGTGGGAATTGACTGCTTGGCACACTTAAAGCAGTTAAACCCGCTGGCACGTGTGTGTGGGAAGTTCAAGTGCAGCTGGTTTTTGTCACCTGTTATTAGCAACTTTGTTGTTAATTTTCACTTCAATATAAATATACTTTTTCAGGAACTAGATTAAAAAAAAAAGTGTTTCTTTTTTTTGCACTTTCAGATGCTTTAAGGCATACAAGATGTTATGCAAACTGTAGAAAAGATCAAATTATCTTTGTGCTTCAGGAATGAGAATTGATTCTTTTCACCCAAAAGGTCATTTAATTGAAAAAGTGAATGCTGCTTCTTGCACATCAAATAGGTTCTTAAGAATAGTGACAGGTTAAGCAGGAGAGTAACTGCATCTGCAGAGGGAACAAATCTTGCCATAGATGTCATGCTCATTCTTTTTTCATTTTTTCTAGGTTTGGTATGATTTCAGAAAATTTAAACGAATGGAAGATGCAGGCACTCTGAAGATTCCAGTAACACTAGAGAATGTATGTTTTTGTTTTAACATGCTACTTCCTTTGAGCAGAAAAAACACTTTAGCTTTTGTTTTGTCAGTAATCAGAATCAGAAAAGTGACATTTCAATTTCCTTGTAGAAATGTAATCTAAAATAGCTGTTTTAGAAAAGTCCCACCTCCTTTACTGCTAAATGGAATACTACTGTGTTGTGGTGGTAAAGTGATGTAAAGGAGGTGATGTGAGGGTGACTCTTCCAAGCAAAATTATTTTGCTTATACACATACAGAAAGTTACTACAATTCCCATTGTTTATTGAACCATTGTCTTTATATATTTGTGGTAGAAGTTCACTTCTGAATTTTGATAAGAGCAGACTTCAGCTATTCCTGATCCATATTAAAATTACATATCAGAGTATATGAACCTTTCTACCCTGGCTTTGTTTTTCTCAGCTTCCCGTATTCCAGCGGGGGGGCACTGTGATCCCTCTGAAGACCACAGCTGGGAAATCCACTGAATGGATGATAGATATTTCTTATGAACTCCACGTGGCCTTGGACACAGAGGTACTTCGAGATAGCGTTCCCTCTTTACAAAGATGTCTTACACTTCATCTGACCTTTGTAGGCCCTTGCTGCCAATTTGGTCAGCACAATGGTACCTACATCTGTATGCCCCAATGGCTCTTCTCCTCTTCTGCTATTTGAGGGGACTTCCACCTCTCCTGCACTGTTCCTTCAAAGTGAGGCTATCTGAGTATAGCAGAGGCAGAACATTTTTCAAACCTTTCTTAGCCCTCATCTAGTCCCTTGGAGGAAGAAGCAGAGAATGAGCAGGCCACAAACTTCCTCTTGGACATATATAGAGAGAGATTCCTACAATGTCTTTTCTAATAAGTGAGGTGACACCTGACACCCACATCCATTTACAATACCAGGATGTCCAGCACTCTCAGAGCTGGACTACCTGAGCCTTCCAGGGATACAAGTTGCTAAACAAAAACAAACACACATCTTCAATATGAAGCATAACATATAGTGAGACATTTTTAGTTTCATTGTTTAGCACTAGAAACTGCTGTTAATTTGTGCTCTGTCTGGTGTGTTTCACAGGCCTGTGCCGTAGGTGAGCTCTATGTAGATGATGGGCATTCATTTCAGTACCTCCACAAGAAGCAGTTCCTGTATCGGAAGTTCACTTTCCACAAGAACATTCTCACTTCCAGGTAACAACAGTTGTGGACAAAAGCCACCTATATGTTGTCACTGGAAATGCCTTTTCTAGTTCATGAGGCCTTCTTGCAAATGTAGCAGTTTAAGTATCATCTGCTTCTTAGTGAAGTCCTGGAGTGTGCAGAATCTGTCATAAAACTGCAGAGGTAAACAATGTTCTGCATAAGTCTAAGGGCAGCAATACATGAAATATTGAGCTGTCTCATTTTGTTTCAGTCTAGTCAAATTAGGGATTCTGCAGATTTACTCAAGTACAAAGAAAGTCATTAGAAAGGTTAAAGCCCATCAGAGAGGCAAAGAAGGTAAACCAGGAGATTTGCAAATAGGCAACACCTGGAGTGGTTTTTTTTCCAAGATGTATTTTTCTAACATAATATGCACTGAGAGAGTAGTTGGTTACTGGAACATGTTTCTCAGGAAGTGGTCAAGGCATTAAGCCTGTCACAGTTCAAGACACATCTGGATGATGCTCTTAGTGATATGAGTTAATTTTAGGTAGTCCTGGAAGGAGCAGGGAGTTGGGCTTAAATCTTATATGTCACTTCTAACTTGAGATATTCAGTGCTTCTGTCTGGGCACCACAAACACACGCCATTGTAGTCTCCAAAAGCAATCAACAAATTTCACCATGTATATTAGCATGAAGAAAAGCACTTAAAAGGAGGCACAAGCAGATACATCCTGCAAAGGCTGAGTGACAAAACCTAAAAGCCAAAAGGATCCTTAGCTGCTTGTAAGGAATGAGATAATAGATACATACATCACTGTAACACTTTTACTATTGAAGTATGTTGCCATTGGGGCTGTGCAGTGCATAAATGGTGATTCTGCTGACATTCTTTAGTCCTTCAGGGTTCAAATGTATGCAGGCAATGGTCCTAAAGCTAAAAATATAACACAGAGCAAAACTGTAGTCTAGTTTGGATAATGTAGTTAAAAGTGTAATTCAAATCTCTTGATCTGGAATATGAAATCTGAAGATCTTAAAAATACAGGATGGGAAAGAAAAATTTTGCTAAATTGCTAGCAAATCTAGAAGATGGAAAAAAGTAGTTTTCAGATGAATTATATGATATTTGTTCACTACAAGAAGTGTCATTTTGATTTGAGTTTTTTTGAGCTTTTTAATAAAAATTAAATTAGTTACAAAATGAAAGATAATTTTGCCTCAGATTGAAACATCTTGCTTGAAAAGGTGTTAAAAATTAGCTTTACATTTATTCTTAGGAGTTTTAACTACCATTTTGTGAAAATCCAGAACTTTTCTGGTTGTCAAAGACATACGTTTTGCCATAAAATACCTTCTCAAACTTCTTCTATATTGTTAAATCTGATATATGGTTAAAAATTAGGTGACAGTGGGGAAAGGTTTTACTTGTTTTTAGGAGAAAGGTAAATAGAGGAAAGGAAAGCAGTATAGGGAACTTTCAGGATGAGACCAAAGTAGTACTTTCTCTGTATGATACTGAACCTCTACTGTTGGCCAAAAACTAATGTATATTAAATAATTTTCTTTTCTCAGCTGCGCAGATGAAAGCGGACAATACCAAACCTCATGTGTGGTTGAGCGGGTGATAGTTCTGGGATTTGGAAAGCAACCCACTTTTGTGAGAGCCAGTTCCAAGGGTAATGAACTGAATTCTATTTTACTGCAATTCTTTGAAATCCTGTTGCTCTTCAGCCATTCACTTGAGGTGTCAAACTGACAGCTCTATAATGGAAATGTTACAGCATACAAAGCCTCTTTGTTTAGTGTTCTTTGCTACTTTTTTGATATCAAGGACAGAATTCAGTGAAAGGAGGCAGCAGCTATTCACTACTGTTATTACATGTAGAACTGAAGCACACTGGCTTTGTAAGGCAATAGATACATCAGTAAAAGTGGGTTGGAATTAACAAATTCAGACAATGTTGCCCTGCACAGATGAGCAGAGATAGCATTTCAAACAAAGGCCCATTTGCTCAGATCTGTAAACCTGTCTAGTCTAGAAAAGGAAACTTCGAGACTAAACCAGATTTCTTGCTCATTCAAAAGCTCTGGAGTTCTTGATTATGTGGAGATCTCTAGAAGTTGTGAGGGATCCCATATGGGTAGGCAGTGGCATTTACAAGAAAGGGCTTATAATTTCTCATTGATTTCCAAGCACGTCCCTTCACCGTGGGAGTCATGGGGAAATGGACTTTCTGCCTCTACCTGTCAAGGGTGTTTGTACGAAAACCTATGCAGAAAAAAGGGTTATTTTTTTCTGAAAAATCCTTTAGTAGTACCACAGTTTGATGTACCATAGTTTGAAAGATCAGAAAAATAGTTATTTTCCAGTTCAGCTGCATTCTTGTGTGTATGCTAGGCAGATTTGACTTCTATTTCTTTTTTAGTCCTTTCCACCAGTGGCAGAGTCAGTCAGAATTAAGAACTGGAGAGAGTCATATGTAACTGTGTTTCAGAAGAGTTCTTCTTAAATCAAATAGTAAACTCTCTTGTCCTGTTCAGGTGGGAAAGAAAAGGAAGTGATTTTCACATACGATACGAAGACCTCTGCGCTGACACTGGGAAACTTAGCCCTGAGTATTGATGCTGACTGGGAGATTTGTATCAACTGAGACACAAGTTCTTCAGAGAAGCAATTCATTGGGAGGTTGAGGAGAAATAAACTGGAAACTGAAAAAAACATTCACTTGAATCCAATCAAATCAACAAATGTTTTTTTCCACTGACACCCCCCAACGTAACATTTCCTACAATTTTTCTTTTAAAGCACTAATTTAAACTCAGATAGCTCTTCTATTCAGCAAAAGTAATAGCACTAGGATTGTATCTTTGGGGAAATAAGCTAAATACCATTTGCTCCAGGCTAGCTTAAGTTAGGCATTAAGCTTTAGTTCTGCCTTCACTTTCACTAAAAAATCATGAACTGATGGGGTGAGACTGGAGCTTGTTGGTACAGGGCTTAATGTAAGTATTTGAAAATCCCATTATTCAGAGACTGGAGCACTTGAGATCTGGACCAGTTTGACAAGCAGCATCAGTAGATCCGCCAGACGCAGAGGTTATCACCAGAGTTCTGCCTGCAAGCTGCCTTGGGAAAACAGACACAGAAGGAGCTGCCCTGTGTGATTACAGACACTTCCCTTTTCCAGTCCTTATGACAACACAGAATTAGCCGGTCTGTACAGGAAAGTAAACAACGGGCTCACTGAACATTTCAATCACTGGAGGTGAAGTTTGAGCAGGTTGTGCCAGTCAGTTGTGCAACAGCAGAAGACAGGGACATGACAGTGCAGAAGGCTGTCCCACAGCTGCCTTGGAAACTTGGATTTCGAAAAGGCACAGGTCCTCATTAACTGCAGTACTGGCTTAGGATAGCAGCTATACTCACATGGAAACATTTTCCATGTTATTGCTCCCCTCTATCTGCAAGTACTACTTAAAAAAAAAAGAAAAAAGTCTTTTTTAGGAAAGAATTGACAGTGATGATTGAGTGTCATTGATCAAAGCCAGCCCAGTGAAGCAGCTATACTTCTCCACATCTTGCAGCTCCTGCCAAGGTTTGGCTTCCTTTACACATGTTTTAGTACTGTCTTGATCAGTTTTTAGTATCTGGCTGAGATTTGAGCTTGGCATTTGTGGAGCAGTTTAATGTTAATGGGATTAATTCTACATTTAGCCATCCCACTTCATGCTTATTCTCCCATTCTGTTACAACTGCAGCCTAATGTTCCCCTGCTTCCTTTTCCCACCATCTCTGCAAACAGATCTGGTGTGTCCTGATGCTTCCCTTGCAAAATTAGGGGACATCCTGAGTCCCACATCCACTACATCTTGCCTGTTCCTTCAGGCCTTTCCATACTAGGCATCTCTTTTCACAGGCTACCATTGCTCTACGGTTTGTTTGCCCTTTCCATTTGCTACATTTGTAAACTACATTATTTTAAAACCAGTTTGCTTTGAGTCAAACCTGAACGTGCCATTAGTTGGGTTTCTGAATATAAAAGGACATAGTTTACTTAATTTGTTTCAGTAAGATAAAGGAGTATTCTCTAAAAACATCAGTAAAATAACTCGTAGGAAACAGAAAGGGATAGTCTCCATTTTTGCCAACATAACATTACATTAAGTTCCCTGTGCTTAGTCAGTCATTCCCACCTGCTGCTGTTTGTCCTCTGCAGGGCAGATTTCTGGGAATAGCAAGTGTGAGAGCAAACTGAGTGTTCCGCTCTTGACGACTCAAGCGGAGCTTGTTCCCCACCAGACCCTTAAGTTCTTTCTTTCTTTTAATTCTGCAGAGCTGTTTGTCAGCACCTTCTAGGAGACCGTGTGAGCCTCCGCTCCAGGAACTGGCAACATAAATACTGTTGTGCTTAATGCAGATGAGTTAATCCAGGTAGAACAGTAGCAAATACATCTTTTGTGTCTGTGAAAAGAGAGACAAACTCTATTTTTCTATCAGCTTCTAAGCTTTAATTGATGAAATATGTTTTAAGTGTAGCAGTGCTTCTAACAGGATATAATTAGTGTCTGGAGCATTTTAATGAAATATTTTAACTGCTATTTCTCAAGTTGGAAAGTAAAATAAAGTCAAAACAAAGCTAGTTACATGCTTTATTCCGTCCAATTTTCTTTCTGCTGTTGAGAATCACTACTGAGTCTTCTTCCAGTGGTATCTGGTTAAAGTGAATGCTAAAGTGACTAACTTTTATACTCTGGCCCTCAGTATGATATCTGCACCATGATAAGTACTCATGGGTCAAATTTTCACTGATGTGAAGTGCCTAACTTCTAGGGATTTGAATAGGAATGAGTTCCTGAAAATCATAGCAGTCACATCTTTAGATCTGAGGAAATAAATGTCAAAGAATATAATTTACATTGCTCTTTGTAGTGACTCAAATACTTATCCACGTATTTATGCCATAATTGAAGAAATAAATTTTCATATATCTTTACAAAAGAAATAATTCAAATAAATTAGTGAAAACAACTGGAGAGAAAACTTCATTAAAATTAACTAGCAATATTAATATCGTAGATTAGTCCACTAAAGATTAGTTCATTTTTGCTCTGTCTGAACAGGTCAGCTATTTGGGTACTTCTGCTTGCAGTAAATTCCATCACATACATGGTTTAATTTCTGAGAATTTATTTTGCTGTTTGCAGCAGACAGCACATCCATTCTCCTTTATGGAAAACTGTGTTTATTTAAAGACACTGTTTGTCTTTTACTAGCAACTACTGTTTCTTACAAAAAAAAGGACTCCATAACAAAACCACCTGTCCAGTAACAAATAAGAAAAGGAGAAATTGTATTTTGAACAAGTATAACTCCTGAACATACCTAAAGAGCAACATTGGCTTAGAATTGAGAAGTGCATGTCCACCTGCACTCACTTTCTGAACTCTTAGCTATAGCAGTAGCAGCAGGTCATACCCTGACTCTTGCTGACCATCCCAACAGAAAAAAAAAACCAAACAAAACCCACTGTTAATCATTCACTTTATGCTCCCCAGTTCCCACAGGAGTTTGTCAAATGTCAGACCTCTCCCACTGACAATTCTTCCGGAAACAGAGCTCTGTATATGAGAATAAATAGATGTCTTGTTATAGTGGTCAGAAAGGGAGAATATGAAAGAACGAACATATGCACAGGCTGCAAAATGAGCATCTTTGCTGAAGCTGTGCAGTGAAAGGCCCTTGCATCTCACTACTTGCAGAGTCAGATGTCTCCTGTAACCTTATCCTAACACACAGAGAACAGCCCAGTTTCCACACTAGGCCCTTTATAAACATTTCTGCCCTTACACAAAGAGATGCCTTTTATATGGGAGGTAGCTATTACCAGGTGAATTTTAGTGCTGCCAAGCTGCTCTCTAGGGGAACCAAACCCAGTAGGCACTTATTGACCTGGCCTCAGTAGCATCAAATTACCACCTTTTTTACCATTAGCAGTATGTCTTCAGATAATCCTCTCTAATAGTAAATATTTGTCTATATCTTTTCTGGAACAAGGTGTAGAAACAAGTAGAGTACAACAATTCCTTCACGAGTGTCAAGACTAGATTATTGCCTGGAAGTACCTCATAAATAACGTTCCCAGACCAGCAGGAGTGTAGCTTCCAGTTTCACTGTTATCTAGTTAAGGAAAATATGAACTGCTTCCACCAGGTGTCGGCCCACACACAAGGCCTGTCCCAGGAACATGCCTGGCCTCAGCACAAGCTGCACAGATGATTGACATCATCTCACTAACCCCCTCCCTCTCATTTTCCCTCTCTCTTTGCCTGTAGTTATTTTTAGATTTCATGGGTTAAAGCTTGTCCCTTCTGGACACTTACACGCACAGGGCAGGCACACACACATGCTGTAGATACTACAACTCAGACACGGGACTTAGCCAACAGATCATCTTGTCCCACATCAAGGAATAAAGTCCAATTTCTTATGACAAACTACTATCCATCGAGAAGATGAAAAGTCACATGGAATTTTCTGGTTTGCGGATTTGACTAGAAGACTTTCAACAGATAGAAAAGACGGTTTATATAGCAACTTCCTCTTTTCTGAAATTTCCTTCCAGTTTGCAAGATCTTGCTTGCTTTCAACATTTGCTTTACGCCTGATTCCCATGCCGTCCGCCATAAATGCAGCGGTGGCTCAGCAAACAGCTGCGGGGTCGATTCCCAGCCCGACTTTCAGCACCACAACCGAAGGGGCAGGTGGGGGCACAGGGGGGATTTATTCCGCCATTATAAGTCGCAACCAGCCCATTATCAGCGTAAAGGAGAAGACCTATGAAGAGCTTCACAAGAAGTGCCTGGAGAAGAACATTCTCTATGAAGACCCCGATTTTCCACCAAATGACTCCTCCCTCTTCTATAGCCAGAAAAGCCCTGTCAAGTTCGAATGGAAAAGACCTTATGTAAGTAACATGTTTGCTGAGTGCCTTTTTCTGTAAAATTTTTCTGTAAATTGAACCCTGAGCTTACATTTTTGCAATAAAGTGGTGTTGGAGGAGGCAGGCAGAATAAACTGAAGATGTATTTCCTTAGAGCTCTCCTGGAAGATAACTAGCTAGGGCTGTGAAAGCTCAGAGGATGTGAATATAATGACTAAAATACAATAAACCAGAATGAAACAACAACAACAACAACAAAAAGAGATGGAGTGAAATATGTAGAAAGAGATATAGGGAATTTAATTTTCTTTCTTGCATGGTTTGCCTGGGATTTTTTTTCTGAAGCTACCAAAGAAAAACTCTCCTCATTCTGCAAGAAGTTACTGGATTTACTCAAGCTTAATTTTTTTAACGCTACCTTGTTTCACTTACAACTTTATTTTAGCATTCTGCTGTTTTCCTAATGTGTGAAAGGACAACTTATGATCTAATAAATGCTATTATTCAGTTGTTCCCAGCATTACTTATCCAGCTTGTATTGTTGGTTAGCATTTCACCCACTTAACGTGAATCTGGGTGTTCTAATCACTATGAAGACTCACTCTTGGTTACTAATCCCATTCATATAATTCCCATAATCTCGTGGGTATTCCCCAGGCAGCCTTCCTCTTCTTTTTCTTCTTTTTTTTTTTTACCTGTCTCTCTCACAGGCAGAGGACTAATTCCTCAATTTCCAGTTGATTCCCTGTCCTACCACAGGAGGAGTGTCATATCTGCTGGGCAGATGTCATACTGTCATATCTGCTGGGCAGCTGCTTCCCTCCAGCCAGTCAGCCCCTGGGACACTGCCTTGGCCCCTGCCAGCCCCTGTCTAAAAGTGAGGGTCCTGAGGAGCTTCCACAGCTCCCTCTCCCTGGCAGTTTTTGGCCACCTCTTCTGGATTTGTCATTCTTCCCCTACACCCAAATGTGTGCCTCAACACAGTGGTAATAGATAAAACTGATCAGGAAAATAGATAAAACTGATTAGAAGCCTAACTAAATAGCAAAAGACCAGGAGCTCTTGTGGGTGGCTCTTACAGCTGTGGAGGAAGGCTGCATGCTGCTATCACAACAACAACAATGTGCAGGGATCAAAATGAGTCCCCTATCTGCTATGCCCTGTGCATGTGTGCCCTGTTATTTCTTTACCATCACCATGGCTGCATCAGCCCCTGGAAGTGTGTGTGAATGAGTTAAATGCAGCACAAGTCACTCATCTTAAAAAGGATGGGATTTTCCCTGTTTCTAGAGGGGGAAGTGATACAGCACTACAATGCATGACTGCCAGCACTTGCAGACAGGCTGCAAGTGTGTGTATCAGAAAGCATCAAAACAAAACAAAAAAAAATGCACAATATAACTTCAGACTTGCCTAATATAACTGTGCATGCACAGATCAATCCTTTGATACTGGGAAGGTTCAGATGTTGGGGTCTTTAAGCCAAAGACATTTAAGTCACTCATCAACACGTAAGCTTGGAAGCTCTGTAGTTATTATTCATTTAGAAGCAACAAACTGGGGACTGTTTAAGACTTAAAACACAACCTAAACATCAAAACCAAAGTTACCAATGTTCTTGCCACAAATGTTCAGGCACCTGACGTATCTATGGTGCCAGCTGCAGGTAGAGCAGAGGCAGGAAATCAAGAAATCTCTAGTCTGTGCCTGCTGAGTACTATCATGCTTTGAGATTATGCAGTCAGTCCTGACCCTGACAGAGACAGCTGTCCCTGCTGGGGACACACCAGGCCTGATTTGTAGAGATGCCTGTGCCTTCTCTGGCAAGTGTGTTTGTTTTAAAACAAACCCTGTAATTCATGTCACTGCTGTACCTAGCAGGTGCCCAAAGAAGAGAGACTCACTCACCTGTAACATTTTCTCCTTTTATAATGTGTCCCCTTTCTTGTCATTCATACCACAACCACAATGTGAGACTGGGTGCTGATCTATTGGTGCTGGTCTCTGACTGTCCCCAGGCTTTGAAAGTGTAGGTTACATAGCACTGGTAGGAGGACTTGTCTGATAATATGTACACACAAATAGATACGATAGACACGTTAAGAGACCTTCATAAAGTCAAATGAACATAAAGTATTATGTTCATATACTGGACTAAAGAGTATTTTGCTAAGAGATGAAAGTATTATGTTCATATAGTGGACTAAAGAGTATTTTGCTAAGAGATGAAAGCAATCAGTGAAGCACTCAGTTGCACAGGCCATGTTTTGTAATAGTCTGTAAAGATATAGACAACTTCTATTCTTACTCAGTTGTGATGGCTTTTTTTTTTTTTCTGGCAAAGAAAGAAACTAGCTTATAAACTATAGTCTTATAAAGTGTTAATTTCAATAACTTTGAAATTCAGGTCAATAGTTGAATAAAAATGAGCTGAGATGCCAACTGAGCCCAGTGTAAGCAACTCCCCCTCCCACACATGGGCTGTGGGGACCTGGGCCCTCTCTGCTTTCCCTGGCAATGGCTGTGCTGTGACTTGACTTTTTCCTGCAATTCATTACTAGAGCGGTGAGAGGTGTCCAGCATCCCAGCCCCAGAGCTACCCCTTGCTCTCATGCATCTGGCCCTACAGACGGTTCTCTTTGCAGTCAGTGCTACCCAGAGGTCAGGTCCTCCTCTCCCACCCCCCAAAACGATTGGCCTCTGCTGCTGCAAGGGCAGCAAGCGCATGAGGACTGGTCTTGTCTGTCACTGACAGAAGGGCAGCTGCCATGCGGGGCAGCTGTGAGCCTTGGCATGAGGGTGGTGAGAAGGCCTCTGTAATTCTACCCAGCTAGTGACTGCCATGCCACGACATGAATGCACAGAGAAGATCTCCTAATACTCAATTCAGGCAAAAGCCAAGTGACAGCCCTGAAAGTTTCCCCGAGTAAAGACTAGAAGATCCATCTCTGCAGTATTTCTGCTCAGAGTACCTGTGAGCGTGGTTTAGGTACGCAGAGGGGAAATAGAACCGTTCTAACCTGCACCAGGTGATATCCAGCTCAGTGATGGGTTGTGCTCCATTTTCTTAAGGACCTCAGCCTCCCACAACTATGTTGCCCATGGGAATTTCTTACAGTTGAGAGCAGGGAAGAGGTTAACAATCTTTAAGAGCTGAGAAAAAGTCTGTATTATAACATAATGCAGAGTATTAAGAGGTCCTGCTGCAGTCCTGTTTGGATCTAATGACATTAGATGTTGATAGGAAGCTCTGCCACGACACTGTGCTTTCAAATGCACCATTGTCATTCTCCTTCCTCACAGCCAAGTCACAGCATTAACTGCCGGATTCAATGACTTCCTTATGGTGATTCTCTCTGCAGCCAAGAAAACCACCAGGAGGAGCTTTCTTTTCACAATGAATACAATAAAATTAAGTCAACAAACTACTACATTTTGCTTAGAATGAAAATTAATCAGTAAGATCTGCTGACTGGACACATGTGAACCTGTTTGAATTTATTAATCACAAAACGTGGGCCTGTGCAGGTAGCACTACAAGTGCTACATTTAGTGCCACCAAGGCAGGGCTTTCAGAGGAGGGTAATCTGACTCAAAAGCTCTAAAACCAGCTTGCTGTCTGACAATGTTGAGTTCCACCTTGAAGTCTGTAGCATAGCCCTTTAATAGCATGGTCTAGACCACAATTGACCAAGGGAGAAGAATGAGGCTACAAAGTGTCTTAGGCAGGCTTCCTCTCTTTGGTGGGATCAGTTCAGGGAATTTATTCGTAATACCATAGTTTATTAACAGCATATTTGAAGGAATGAATGCCTTTTGCTGCAACAGTATTCCTGGCAGATTTTTTTTCCTGTTGCAGAAGAAAAGGTAATGAAAATATAACAAAGGTCAAATGCCATTTTTAGTTGCATGCTGACTTTGCATTTTCCAGTGCTCCCTTCCAACTGGCCAGAAAGCAGCATGCACCACTAATTGGTTCTTCCTGAGATTCTTTGTTTTCCTTGCTGTAACTTTGCCTCTTTGTAATGAAATTTCAGTCTGAACTGAATCAACCCAGTGCAACACAAAGGTCCTTTGGATAATACTAGGGCAGTCAGAGGCACTCAGATCAGAGGAGACTCTTTTAAATGAATCATTGCATCAGTGAAGTGCACCCTGTTGGCATTCTCTATGATAGCTTGACCTAAAAGATGAAGAGCAATCCCTTGCTCAGCCAGGAAGACTGGAAGGACAGACCTGCCACCTGCGTCTTGGACACCAGTTTGTCTTGCTCTGCTGACTGAGTACTTCAGCCTTGAAAGACCTTGGAACCTTTCTCTGCAACTTCAAGTGTACTCAGCACAGCTAGCACACCTGGAGATCAGCTAAAGAAATACACTATTAAAATCATACCCACAGTGAACTAAACACACCTGGCCACCATAAAGAAATGAAACAAAAGCATTTCTGTCATAACTTAAACCAGTCCGTATGACAGTTGCACGATTCCCTCCTTTGCATTCCTTTGTATCCTACAAAGCACATGACCCCAAGATGCAATAAATGGCCCTGAGTAACAATCATCACTGTACATTTAATATTTGGAAACACCTAGGCACCATCTGACTACTTTTAACTAAAACACAGCATGCTGTATTTCAGAACTTGTTACAATAGGAGCAGGATCAAGCCAAAAAATACAATAATAGAGTTGGAAAAAAATGCAAACCAGAAACCTGGCATCTCACAGTTGGTTTCAGCAGAATCTCACAGCAACGTGAGGAAGAATATTTTCAGCAAGGCAGAGAAAAGCATGAAGGCATCTCAAACAGCTGCCTTGACAGAACTGGAGCCCAGGACAGCTGACCAAGGCCCAAAATAACAGGACAATCCCTACATTCTCTCCCTTGGGGAGAATGAAGTGACGTGGAAGTTGGTCTCTCTATCTGGCTATATGACTAATCTAAATATTTACATCAAAGCTGATTACTGTGAAGCAGAAAAAAAGTGGGCTTAAGCCAAAGGAAATTACTAGACCTGAAACATGAGTCTGGGAAAAGCCATGGCTACCCTGATGACATGAGTAAAAACCCTTGGACTGCAGAGGTAGCATCAGCTGCCTGTGCTGCCACACAGGCAAATGGCAGTTTTTTCTTCTTTCTCCTTCTCACTCTAGTTCCAACATCTTTCAGTAGATTCGGTTCTTGTACTATACTTCGTCTTCTGCACTGTTTGCAGCTGCTCAGGGCAGTGGTCCTCAGCTTGCAATATCTTTCTTTCCTTACACTCATAAGAGATGGGGCCAAAAGTTGTGTCTTTTTATTCTTCCCCATACCAAGTATTTGAATCAGAGATGGGATAAAGCAGGGGCTTTTTTTGATCTGTAGGAGAGGTTTCCCTTGGTTTTCCTATACTCTGCAGTTCTTTGTCCCGTATAGAAAAGGGCTTTGTAACCTTGCAATAGTCCCACCTCATTTGCTGGTAGTTCCTACATAGTCCTTCCCTCCCCACAGAAATTTCATAATTATTTATGCCTGTACAGCATCTTGTACCCATTCTGTACTAGTATAAATACTGACAAATCCAATACATTTTGCTATGTGCAGGACAAAAGAAGACTTTCCTGTCCTCAGAGACAGAGAATATCTGTAGACATTTTTTAATGCAGCATTGTCAATTAAATACTTCAACGTAAGAAAAAGAATAAAATCTCTTAACTAGCAACTAGTTATTTCTGGTAATTACATCTGGTCCTGGGAAATTTTTCAGGACGAGTACTACTGGGGTTCATTCCTGATGAAATGCATTCTTCAACCCTTTTAATGCCCCAGCATATTATTTACTGCAAATTGGACACCATAAACCTGCAGTCATTTTAAAAGAATTTAAGCTGGTCCCCTGATATTTTTTTTCCAGCTACCCTCTCTCCTGTCTCTTCCAGTGTTTTGGTTTTTTCATTACTGTGGAGAAAAAATATTTTTCCCTATTCTCATTTTAATGTGTTTGCACCCTGTACAAAGGGGGCCCTCCAGGCTAGTTAATAGACCCTGTAGGTACATGAAGAAAACTCTGTCTGAAGTCTGGAACATCCAGTTTCCAAAACATTTTCATAGTGAAACTCTGCAGATGAAAACTGTGCAAGAGATTTTGATATCCACAAGCTATCCCACAGGAAAACGTTCTAACACTGCCTTTATTTCTGTGCTAAACAGGCATCATAATGCATGCTTTTCCTGCTCATCCATCTGTTTCTGTTTTGCAGGAAATCTGTGAGAATCCACGGTTTATTATCGGTGGAGCCAACAGAACAGATATCTGCCAAGGAGAATTAGGTATGAAATTCTTACTTCAGCTCTGCACTTCTAAAAGTCTGCAGCGTGGTTTAGCTCTCAGATAATTTTCTTTTTCTTCCACAATGATATTGGAAATCCTCTGTCTCAGTGCACCACTACACAGCTACTGATTCCTTCCTATAGACAATCATTGATACCTGCTTAGTAGCAGTCTAGGCAAGAACTTTCAGTGAAAGATGCTTTGCAAGGTGTTTTGCTTTTCATTAACTAATGTCATAAATTTGGCCCTTCTTTTGGACTTTGAGGAGGGACAAAAACAGTTAAGACAAGAATAAAAGATAAAGAGGAGTTATTTGACTGAGAGAAAAATCTAATCAATTACTGTTGTATCTCTTCAGGTATTTAGTCCTGTCATTTCCTTTATAGGAGTTTCTAAAGGCCTTTAGCTAAATGTGCATTTTACTCATGAACAACCACTATATTGAATACTTTAAGCTCAGATGCTCAAAGATACTTTGTTATATAGAGGCACTACTTAGATACAAGTGATGCCTCTACAGCAGTCATGCACGCAGTGCTCACCTGCACCGCTTTGTGAAGTCCTTCCCCACTCAGCTTTCCCACGACTTTCATGGTTCTATAACTCCTCCTGTGATCTTTTTCCTAAGCTAACACACCCTAATATGTCCTCATCACCTTCCCAGTACTTTTTCTTTTTTAAATTTAATTAAAACTGCCTTTCTTTTTGAGGTGACCAGAACTTCACAGATGCCAATGTGTGTATGCAAATGAACTTACATGCATAATATATTCTTTTTTTTGTCTTCCATTCCTTCCCTAACTACTCATAGCATTGTTTACTTTTTTGACATCTGCAGGACACTGGATAGTTTAGAAAACTCCTGGTCAAAGTGGACCCCCATCCTTCATAAGGGGAAATAGATAACTTAGAAGAGTTACCATATAGCACTGCTATATATAGAGAGCTGGCTTTCCAAAACATATCCACATTATGTATTTCTGTATGTCTTATCACTCTACCAGATTCATATTTCTTTTACAACTCCCTGTAATCAGGTTAAGTTTTCACTATCTCATACAATTCTCTCTTTCACACTGCCCAGGCAAGCTTACCCTAGAGCCTCTCTTAAAATAGCAACTCAGTTTTAGTTTAGGGTAGAGTCCCCCTCTGCTGAACACAGAAGTACTATGGGAGAAAACCACTTTGCCAGAGCTCCCACAGAGGCAGCAAACTGTACAAGAGTCTGGAGGAGGAACTGAAAAGTGTTAAAGGGAACAGTGTTTACAACAGTGCAGACACTTCAAATAGAAGAAAAGAGCAAGAAAAACCCCCATAGAATGATGATTGGAACAATGGGTTATCTTGAGAGCAGAAAATGAGTCTAAACCTCAGCAGTAGGGAGCCCCACCTGCAAGTGAGTTATCTCTCAGCTGGTCTCTGTCCTAAGCTTGAAAAGAGAATTAATGCAGGAAGTCAGACAGGCAGCTACATGAGACAGAGAAATCTTAACACAGGTAAGAGTGCTCATCAGATTTTAGGCTTTTCCTAAATTACAGGGAACGTGATCTGTGTAACGTATGTACCCAGCCATGAACAATGCCCATGAGCATTTCTAAAGCACAAATAGATAAAGTGCTAAAGTACTGCAGAGCACGTGGAGAATCATGCTCCACTGAGAATTAACAAGTCACTTTGCAGTATCTCAGATTTTCCCTTTGATTCTTGTTGCTCTGTCCCTTCATTTTCTCTGCTGCTTCTGCTTGTTTACAGGTAACTGCTGGTTTCTGGCTGCCATTGCTTGCCTGACACTGAATAAAAAACTACTCTGTAGAGTCATACCTCATGACCAGTCCTTTATACAAAACTATGCTGGCATCTTTCACTTCCAGGTGAGTCCCTCTGTCTAGTGGTAAGCAGATGTATTTACCCAAGACGGAGCTCAGCTCTTCTTGGCACACTCTTCCCTCTAGCTTCTCCTCTCTTTGGAAGCATGAGTGACAGCAGGGAGGAAAAGGGATTGAATTGCCTTACGCCAAATGCTTCCATTAGAGCAGCCACGGAAGGACCAGCCCATACAAGTAATTAGGGAGCATTAACCCACCAAGGAGGCATTTGCAGATTGCTGTGTCCTGTGCATAAGGAATAGGAACAGGTGCCCAGCCCTGCCTCACTCTTCAGATGCAGCACTAGAGCCAGCACAGACACATGGGTAGGTGGCAAGAGCATCTATTTTTAGGCCCACAAACAGCTGATCTGCCAAAACAAGTTATCGAAGAACTTATTCAAAAAAGATTGACTGCTTTTCACATTTCCCTTGATTCTCTTAAGGGACCTCTCGCTGTCCTGCACGCATTGCCCAGGGGAATTCAGTACAGCTGCCTCCCTTCCATTAGTTTTGGCCACATTACAAAGCAGTGATCTTCACATTTCCCTTCTCTCCCCCTCCCTGCACTAAGTCAACCCAGGGTGTTTTTCTGTTTGCCTTTATTCAGTTCTGGCGCTATGGAGACTGGGTGGACGTCGTCATCGATGACCGCTTACCCACGTACAACAACCATCTGGTCTTTACCAAATCCTCCCAGCGCAACGAATTCTGGAGTGCCCTCCTGGAAAAGGCCTATGCAAAGTAAAATAAAATGCATGACTGTGACGGGCTCCCCCAAAAGGCTCAGGCTGGGGAGGTGGTTAAACCACTGCACACAGTGTTTAAAACAAGCACATAGAGAGGCTCTGAACATACAAATCCCTTTTTCCATAGCTTCTCATGCCTCAGAATTGGGGATGGGCTAAAGCATAATTTCTAGGAAGTTTTGCTACTCATTCAAAAATCTACATTTGGTTTTCAGTGTGTTTTTTTTTTTACCTATCTGTGCAGGTGGCATGCTTTAAAACTTTTAACTTGAGAGTTACCAAACAGCTGTAATTTTACACACACAAGACAGATATAAATATATAGGTAGGTATCTCTATCTGTGTAAAAGAAAATCTTTTTCTTTTCTTTAAGAGTCCATGGGTCATACGAAGCTTTGAAGGGAGGCAACACCACCGAAGCCATGGAGGACTTCACTGGAGGGGTCACTGAGTTCTACGAAATAAAGGATGCCCCTAAAGATATTTATAAAATCATGAAACATGCCATTGACAGAGGATCCCTCATGGCCAGCTCCATTGATGTGAGTCCATATGAATTTTGCAGATAAGCCATAAGAAACGGTAGAGGAGAGGGACCTCTCCATTCATAACCAAATATATGCCATCTTTGGAACTGCTTGGTTTAGGCCACATAGAAAATCAGCCAAACCAGCACCCCTTGCCCCCTCAGTGCCCTCACCGAGTGAAATGAGATTAGTAGGGAGCGCTGCAACTCTGTTAAGACACAAATCTTCACGTCAAAGATGCTAAGTGTGCAAATACTTAGGAAATGAACCTTTTATTGCCAACGTGGCCTCAGATTGCCTTGATTTACTGTGGTAATTTTAAAAGTTACTAAATTAACACTTCATGAAATGTGATGTTGCAGTAAAGGTGGGAGAACAAATGCTGCTATTGACCACTGTAGAGAAGTATGGACATAATGAGGAAGAAGAGAAGTAATCTGAGCTATCTTTTACCACTCATCTTTCTTCTACCCTTTCTCTTCTCTCTCCCTGCCTCATCTTACTGCATGATACTTTTCTCCCCTTCTCTGTGCCAGGATAACCTGGGCTTTTCCTATGGATCAGCTCCTCGGAGCGACATTGGGGAACTCATTGCTCGCATGGTGAAGAATCTAGAAAACGCACAGATGGCTCATTCCACTGCAGACTACCAGGGGATAGATGAGAGGCCAGCCTGGGTTCGTATGTCTTCTAAGCAGTTGACTTCACAGTGCTTTTATTTACAAACCGTTAGAGAAACTTATAACCTATGCTTTTAAAACCTTGTGTGGCTTCCCAGAATTGTCCCAGCATTAAAGAAATGTCCGTTTGACATATGTGTTAAAAGACCTCAGTGCTTTCACACACAGTGACTGATATTAAAGGCCTTCACTGATAATGAAGCAAAGGGCTGTTGACTCATGGCAATGACTTATAATTTCCAGAAAAAGAAAATTATTCGTGGATTTTATCAAGTCCCCCTCTTGCACAGGGGCAAGAGAACAAAAATGTAAAGTACTAGAATAGAACAAGACTCCTGTGTGTAGAATATGAAAGAAAGAACAAGATCCCTGAGAGTGCATGGAATGTGAAAGAGACCAAAAGCAAGCTCTGCACAACTCTCACTCCAGGCACAAAAGCACTTGGTGAACTTATTTTGAGTGCTCTGCCCACAAATGGAGGAGAATGCTTTAGGGATGCTCCTTTTACATTACTGCCATTAAAGTCCTCATTTAAAATGCCCAACAAGGAAGAGGGAAAACATGTTGAGTTTTGTATGTGTGATGGAATACAAAGTTACTCCAGCATACCTAAGTATCTTGCAAAAGTTAAAACCATTTAAGAAAAATCCCTTATCAGGAAACTTAGAAGCTTTCAAATCTGTAGAGTCCTTCTCCTTCTCTGTCATACCTTGCCCTTTAGGGAGCTGCATTTCCATGATAATGAAATTACATCTCTTGCGTTAGAGCGGGGCGGAGGGGAACCAAACAAAAATCCTCCACAATTACATCACCTAAAATTTTTGGTTGTGCAAACTTTCTTCTGAATTTACAGCTGAAATAGCTGATTTTTCCTCTTTTCACATCCATATTTAGTTCTTCCTAAAAAAACTGAAATGCTGTAATTCTTCAGGAAAGCCCAGTATGACTATCTGGTTTTGCAAGCATGGCTGTCCAAACCACCCAAGTCTGGGGGGAGAACTTCCTCCCCAGTGACTGCCTACTGAAAGAAGATTGCAAAACTCTTTCTATACTTGCTGCCCCAGAAGCTGTTGTGCTGCTGGTTATTACATATTCCTGAACCACTACCAGAAAAAAAATCATGATTCTTGATGGAAAAAGGCAGATAAAGCCTGCTCTTTGAGAAGTGATCCAGGACATCAGAAGTTAATGTTCTCAAACAGAAAGAAGAGAAAGGGGTTCTGACAAGTAATGATGGCACCAACATGATAGAAATGAAGAAAAAAGGAAATAGAATTGAGGCTATAGGCATAAAAAGTATGCAAACAGGATCAAGGGAAAGAAAAAAAAACAGAAGCAGAACTGAAATAATGGAAAATAATTGCAACAGCCAGGAAATATTTGGATGAGATCCTCCCTGTGCAAGCTGAGAAGGTATCTGTGTGACCTTACTAATTCTTCCTCTATTTCCAGCCCTGCCTTTCTCATGCCATCACATGTGTAAAGAAGAGATGGCAGAGTTACTGGCAGGGCCTTGCAGTCATGTGTCAGCAACAGACACAACAGAGGAGCGGGACGTTTTGCACGTGTTCCACGTGTGCGTAGTAGGGCCTTCCCCTCCAACTGATACCAGTGATCTCTCCTACAAGTACAGCAACCTGTGTGCATCTGCCATCTTGCTCTCTCTATCTCCCAGATAAACAGCATTCTGAGATTTGCAAGTAAAAATCTATCAGACACACTAAAAGTTGATTACTAAGACAACAAATGTATTTACGCCTGAGCAACACATTGCTATGCCCTTTCTGAATGTCAGATGGAAAAAAAATTAAATCATGAGGATTTTAAAAGTTATGGAATAAAGTGGCCACTTCCACAGGAAATTAAGTAAAAGAATAGTGTCAGTTAGTAGGAATAGTGTATTAAATAGGGTGTTTAAATGTCATAGTGATAAGATAGCCACATGTAAAGATGAAAGCATTCTAGATGTTGATTTGCTCTGATGTTTCCAGTTCATATGTAATAACCTTAATGAGCTGTACAAGAACATACTATACTAGAAAAGGCCAAATAGTCCTACTAACAGGAAAATCTAATTACTTTGATTAAGCATGCTATATACTATCACGTTCTGAGTGCAAAAAGCAATAGTCTACAGAAAAGGGAAATTAACCACAAAATGTCCTTTCCAATCAATATTAACTTTTTCCATTTGTAGTTCACGCTTCATTGCTTTCTAACCAACAACATGAATTCTATGGGCACTAAGCTTGACCACCTTGACAAACACAGAGAGGAGAATAAGCCAAAAGGTCCTGTCATCTGAACAGTGTCACCCTCCCTGCAAAAGCCCTAGGTGGCAGTATCTGCCTTAGAGCAGCCAACTGAGCTTTGCATGACTCCCACAAGTTTTTATCTTGTGTCCAACAGACCATAGTGCCAATGCAGTATGAAACCCGGATGTCTTGCGGGCTCGTCAAAGGTCATGCCTACTCTGTGACAGCTCTGGACGAGGTACGTACAGTCCCTTTCCTCCAGCTGTGGGGAGCTGTAATCTGCACTGGCCTAGCACTGTGCATGTCAGCTAAGCTGTGAGAGGCGTAAAAAGCAAAACAAATTATGAGCGAAGGAAAAAAAAATTATATTCAAATAAGTGAATGCCTTACGGAGAAACAAACCTATCTAAGTTTTTGCTTTCTGGGGAAATGGATATTGCACCGCTTGGGCAAAGGTGGTCACAGCCGCCACCTCCTGATCTTACAGCCTTCCTGCACTCACCAAGCAGGTCAGGCTGGGCTATGGCCCAGGAAAGCACCATCACTGGAGAAGCTGGTGTAAGCAATTTGAAAGGCAGAATATTTTTTTTTTTTAACCTCTCAGTCTATTCTTGTTGCATTCTCTTTTCAAATAGACAGTATTTAAAGGGGAAAAATTGCGTCTGGTACGGCTGAGAAACCCCTGGGGACAGGTCGAATGGAACGGACCTTGGAGCGACAAGTGAGTAAAAAGGAGCTTCATGTGGTTTGAAAAAAAAGTTGCAGCTTTATTTGCTCTTGAGCTTGTGCATGACCCTAACATAGATAAGGTATCTAAATTTTTTTTGTTGTCATTTTGGCACATGCACTTTGAAGTCGATTTTAGTTGAGTGCTTAGCTGAAGCTGAAAAAAGAGTACCTAAACAAGGTGTTAAGAGGGGCTTTAAGAATGGAAATGAAGCGAGAGCCCTTCATAATGACACATTAAATCTGATTTTACTGTCTATCAAGTTCAGTAATGTCTATTTTCAAAACAAGATGTGACAATAGAAAAATCTTTTAAGTTATGAAAGAACTGAATGAAGCAAGATGTCAGTGTATTTTACTAAAAGGTATTTCAATAGCTACCTCAGCAATGATAGTCTGGAAACACCTTTTCCTACAAGCTAAATAAAATTGGCACAGTTCAGCAGATATTTGAGAGCTGTTAAGAGGAAGACTGAAGAGAAGGCAGAGAGAAATTGCTTTTTTTATTTGGGCATGTGGACAGGGGTGTTGCATTGAGAACAAGCAGTTGCAAAGCTCACAATTTAAAAAATTATATGGATGTAGCAAGGTGACTCTTGTCTTTCCCCTCTATGATGTTTAGAGTGAAGTGTAGAAATTTTAATGAGAGCTGTATTTATAATGAAAGCAAATCACAGCTTAACTTGTTTACTCCTTTGAAGGTCAGAGGAGTGGAACTCTGTTAACGAAGCAGAAAAGATCCGCCTGCAGCACAAGGTTGTGGAGGATGGGGAGTTCTGGTGAGAATATCAGTCAAAAACCTGTGCTTCTCTAGGAGAAATGAATCACATTGCAGTACTACAAATCTGCTAAAATTACTACAAAACCATTGCAGTTATCCCTGTTCCCCTTCATATTCCCAATAAGCCCTGCTCTGTGATTCCCTCATTCTCCCACCAGGGATTATTCAATGCCACCAGCACAGTTTAATTATTCTATACTTCCACAAACCCTCCATCACCCTTCCTACATACCATCCTCTCAGCTCAGTTTCCCTGAGTTTGGAGCTATACTTGTGTTAATTGACCAACCAGCAGACCAAAAGTATTTGGAAAACATGGCACTCCAAACTTGTCGGAATACTGACAGTACTGTTGGTCACCCTCCTCCAGGTGGGTCTTTCAGACAACTGCCCACCATGTAAATTTATTTGGGTTCAATTTCCCCTCAATTCCTACAGGATGCCATTTCAAGATTTCTTGAGGCACTTCACAAAGCTTGAGATCTGTAACCTCACACCAGATACCCTGGAAAAGGATAAATTCCAAACCTGGACTGTATCAGTCAATGAAGGGCGCTGGGTGAGAGGCTGCTCAGCTGGAGGTTGCCGCAATTATCCAGGTGAGAAAAGGGTTTTGAGAGACAGAGCCTCTTTGATGGGGACTACGTTAGATCCTAAAGGCTAAGTCATATCACAGCCTGATCAGTACTTGGCCACAGAAAAAGCCTTGCTTCCTCAGTGGACAAGGCGTGCAACTGGTAGCTGGAAATCTTCTGTCACTATGTTGTGACAGAACATCATAAGAGCCCAAAAGGCAACCCTGACGAAGATAAATCATTGTTCCAACACTTCACGGTGCCCCAGGTAAAAGAGATAAATTTCACTTTAACAGATTTCACTTGGGAAATCCACTGTAGCAGATTAGCGATAGTTTTAGGGGCTTTGGAAATTTATCAGATGACAGTTCTTCATATACCCTCCTTTGCTTTGCAGTTTTGTTAGAACTGAGTAAAAGCCATAACATGTAAAAAAAACCCATCCATGTCTTAGCCCATTTTTAATCTTTCCCTCAGGAGCCACAGGCAGGAAACTTAAAAGTTTTATTTGATTGTGAGTATCATTAGAAACCTGTTTTCTTGGGGTTGTTGGTGGGATTTCACAGATACATTTTGGACCAATCCCCAGTATCGCTTGAAGCTCCTGGAGGAAGATGATGATCCTGAGGATGAAGAGGTTATCTGCAGCTTCCTTGTTGCACTGATGCAGAAAAACAGGAGGAAAGAGCGCAAGCTGGGAGCCAACCTGTACACCATTGGCTTTGCCATCTATGAGGTACCAGCCCTGTTGGTCACACTGTGGTCACAAATCCTGACAGTATGCATTTACCAACAGAGTCACTGAATCATTCAGGCTTATTACAAAAATTGCAATTTTTGCTTTGCAAGGAAGTCAAGGAAAACCTGGAAGTAAGGAAGGAAATTCAAGTCTTTGTAACTCTTTGTACCATAGTAACCTCAGGGTTTACCCCATCTATTAAGTAACATACTTTATAGGCTCTTATGCCTATATGCCTATATCTTATACCTGATGCCAGATTTTAACATGCCCTTTCCCATTTATTCTTCAATCTTCCTTTCGTCCTTTCTGAAACTAAACATTTTATTGGCAGGCGAGTGTAAAAAAGGAAACAGACAGCCAAGGTTCATACATAGCAATTAACCTGTCCCTACTACTGACCTGATGAAAAGGTCAGTTTGTCCCTTGCACAAACATATTTAGTTCAGATCTTAGCTGATCTCATGTACACTCCAAGAAACCTAAAATGAAAGAGGGAAATTCCTTATCTAACTAGGGGTATTTTGATTACTGTCTATGTCCCCAGAAATCTATGTGAATGCCTTTCTGTATGATCTATAAACAAGAGGACTCACCCAGCAGCTCTGACTGTTTCTTTTCTTTGTTTCTCCCTAAGGTGCCCAAAGAGGTATGCGCAGAATGGAGGCAGATTGACATCTTGGTGTATATTCACAGCTAGTGTTACTGTAGTGCCTCTCTGTAAGTCAGCAGGAGACTGTCCAGTCAAGTTTGTTTTCAGGGATGTAACAGCAGTGGAACTGCTAACCTCTCTGCTTTGAGTGTTTATCAGTAACATTTTGTGAGTAATTTTTACTTCTTTCTCACTTGCACCCCATTTTCACTTGCACCTCTTCCTCAGCTCTTTTCTACTCTGTGGAGATCTGCCCATTGCTTGCACAGTCAGTCAGTGAGCATGGGCTGCAGGAAGCAGTGCCAGCGAGCATTTTGCCTCTCTGCACTCCATGCAGAACTACCCTAAACCACTTCCATTTCCTCTTAAAAATAAAGCCAATGTCCTATATACTGCAGTCACAATGTTTTCTCTATAGTCTTAGAATTCCTTTAGAAAATTAATGGTATTGTCAGCCATTGAAGAAAGCTTATTAAAAGTACACAGACTACATTTTTTATGAGCCTGACAGTAGCTGAATAATTGGCATCACAAGTTTTGCTAACAAGCTCAACTGAAGGCTCTGTTACCCGGAAAACATGAAAATAACAGTCTGAATGTTGTCTTTACTGACTATCTTATAGATGGTTATTTCTGCAGAAAATATCCTGCAAGCGTTCTTAACGCACAATTCTTGAACCTAATTTTCATATTTGAACCAATGCAATGTTTGATTGTCATGTTTGTTTAGCAGATACAGAATTCATGTTTTGTCCAGACAAGGACATGCTTCCAGTGAAAGCACCTTCACTTTACCACTCTGCATATAAGAGTTTGCATACACCATTCCTTGCCATACCACCCTCCCAGGAAAGTAGCTGAACTTTGGTTACACACAACTCAGCATCCAACAGAACAGTCAAATAAAAGTGCCTACACAGCAGAAGTCAGCCATACACTCTGCAGGTGGGCCCTGGAGCAGCCCTCAGAAGCCAACTTGACTCAGTCAGTAGCAACTTAAAGGTGACAGACTCTGTATCTGCCACCAGCTATCACCACTCATCAGCTCCCTGCTTGCTAAGCTGCTGCTTCCTTTGTTTCCTGTCCCAGCCATGTACTGCCCACATGGCAAGCCATCTGGGGAATGGGCAAGACTTCCTTGAAGACAAATTGACTCGTTTGTTCTGCAGATGCATGGTACTAAGCACCACCTGCAGAAGGATTTTTTCCTCTACAATGCCTCCAAAGCCAGAAGTAAGACCTACATAAATATGCGAGAAATCTCTGAGCGCTTCCGGTTACCTCCCAGTGAGTACGTCATCATCCCATCTACATACGAACCCCACCAGGAGGGAGAATTCATCCTGAGGGTCTTCTCAGAGAAAAGAAGTCTTTCAGAGTAAGTTGCACATCCATTTATCTGGTCATGCAGGTGGAGGTCAGCTCGCTATTTTCTAAAGTCACGTTACCAGTTTGCTGCACCCTGCTTTTTATATTCTTAACCTCATTAGAAACTCTAAGCTACAAACTTATTTCCCCAAGCTTCCCTTATAGTCTAACAGGAACCTGCTTTGAATTGTCTTTGGAGAAGCTTACTAGTTGCAGGATGTCCTTTGTAAACAAACCATTAGCCATTAACTAAGATCAAAAAACTTCTGTTTTACTTCCAGTTCAGTGTAATCAAGGCTCTTTACAGGAGTGTATCAGGCAGCAGCTGCCCTCCTGGAAATGGTGTTTGGGATGTGCAACTTAAACTGGGAAAAAGCTACAGCTTGAGCCTGGAGATGTAATGCTTGAAGCCAGCCCACACCACTGGCTGTTCAAAAAGTTCAAGTGGCTACTTACAAACCACCTACAAGCAACACTGGGAACAGTCTCTTTTCTGATTTATTTACTTTCTGCTTTCTACTAGGGAGGTTGAAAACATGATTGAAGCAGAGCGTCCACTGGTAAGTACTGTCCTGGTCCTCCTTCGTGTATGAACAGGGGTAGGGAGAGGAGGAGCACCATATCTAGGGAAATCTGCAGCAGGAAACCATTTGCAGCCACATGACAGCTCCTTTGTCATCAAGATACTTTTATTGACAGTTGCTTTGTATACACTATTTTCTGATTTGGTCAGACCAAAATTGAATTGCCACTTCAGATAGCATTGATCTGTGAGCACAGAAGTTGGGGAAAAGAAAAGGAATAGTCAGAGCTCAAGGTAGAGTAGAGATTTTATTCAAGTGGACAAAGCCCCAGATGAGATGTGACGTGGTTTTGCTATGGTTTTTGCAATGTCTGTCCTGCCATTTCTTGGTGGGTGACTGTTCCCTCATTTTTGGTGATTTGAAAGCTGTCTGAACATAGGAAATGGTAAAACTTGTATGAATATAGGAATGGGAAAGATTAATACGAGAAAGGGAAAGATAAAAAAAATACAGCTTTACCATCAGCTCTGCATAATCTGATCAAACTCTTTTTGATTTTGTCTCTTTTCCTACAGAAGAAAAAGGGCAAGGTAGGTACTTGTACAATGTGCTAAGTGCCAGCAAGGCAAAGAGCACACTCAATGCATGCAGCAGGAGCAGAGTTCCTTGGTATCGTAATTCCTCTGCATCTGGAACCTGATCTAGTTATTGAAGGGCACTGGATATGAGGCTCTTTGCATGCAGCAAAGATTTTGTCTTCCTACACTGGATTCTAATAAAATAGCATTAGCATCATATACCCCTCTCATTCAAAGAGGTGGTAAAAGGATAACAGAAACTTTTCAGCTTTATCAGCCTGATCCTCTGTGTTGCTCGAACTGCCCTTCCTTCCCTCCCCTCCAGAGGCACCCTGAAACCCCTTGCTAGTGAAAAGCACCCCTTCTTCAGACTTGTGCCCTCACAATTTGCTTTCTATTGCCTAATGCAGCTACTCCCTTTTCCTGAAGTTTCTGCTCACCAAAGCCCAGGATTCTATTTTTGATTCTACACAACACATTTAGGACCTTGAAAATGTAATCAGACATTTCAGTCTGAATACAGGTTGATTTTAATTAACACTCTAGAGTACTCTACATTCACATCTTTTAGCAGTTTTCTTGCTTTAAGTGCACTAAACCAGGACAATTGTACGTGGCTGCTTACAGCTGAGTGCTTCAAGAATCAATACATGAAAGAGAAAAAACATGCTTCACATAACTAACAAGCTCCTACACAAAAACTCCTTTTCTGCATAAGATTCATATTCTGTTTGTTTTCAGTATTACTGTCCTTCAAAGAGATGGGCAAGCTCATCAGTTTAACTGATGAGAATCTGGGAAGCTTATTTTGCTTAAAAAAATGGAAAAAACCCCCACAAACCCAAATACATTCAAATGGTTACTGGCTTTCTGAAAAGAAAAGCCAGAAACCAGAAATTGCACTATTTGGCAAAAAGACTTTTGCAGCTTTTTTTAGCATGAGGAGAGCAGTAACTTCAGAGATTCCTCCACCTTTTTTTTTTTTCTTTCTTTCTTTTTTTTTCATCCTGAGATCTGGCTTCTCTGATCATGTGCTCAGGAGTGGGAGCTGTTGCTGCATGCACTTTACCACGGAATGGTTGTCACCAAATATTTTCCCTTCCACTACTTCTTGTGTAATTTCTATTTCTCTTTTGCTTTGTTCCTTCTTCCAGCCTATCATCTTTGTTTCCGACAGAGCGAACAGCAATAAGGAGCTGAGAGCAGATGAAGATGCTGGCAAAGATGGTGAAAAAAACAAAGAGATGAGAAAAAGGTTTCTGCAGCAAAAAGCAAAGGGAGAAATAGGGCTTAGTCTGGCTAGCATGAAAGAGTGGCTGGGGAGAGCACAGGAATGGGTCAAAGAAGTGTCCTAAGATACTAAACAGCTTTTCATCAAATCTTAGCATAACTTGCATCTGGTTTATGTGGATTTCCCTCTGCATTTAGACAAACAAAAACAAGAACTAAGCCAAGAAATTACCTTTGTTACATATAATTTCCTTCTTTCCTTTCTTAGTCTCAGCTTCAGAGTTCTGGCTTGCCCTTTGCGTGTGTCTGAGAAAGCTTCATGTTCATTGTTTTCTTCTGCCTCACATGCTATATGCTTCCAGCAACGGGCCCCCACACTATAGAGAGCTCTCATCTGGTTGTTTATAGCCTACAGGGTGGCAATAAGGCAGATATTGTGTCCCTGCCCTTGGCAGGGGGGTTTGAACTAGATAATCTTTAAGGTCCCTTTCCAACCCAAACCATTCTGTGATTCTATGATATGGCTCTTCTGCTCCAAACTTCTCATTTGCAATGTTTTGAAAGAAAAAATTAGAAGATAACTGCCAGTGAAAAGAGAACAATGGGATGAAGCTAAGTACTTGACAGTTTTAACAGAATTAACCAAAAAATAGGGATAGGAAGAGGAGGACAACCCATTCCTCCAAAGGGCTCCAGATTCACTAGGATGATGCCCCATGTGAGGGCAAGTGAGCCTTCCAGGCCCTTTCTCTTCCCCACTGGGTTAAGGAAGTATCTCTTCTTTGCTTGGCTTTTTTCAGCGTTCTTCAGCAAAACGTCATGAGGAGAGTGAAGAGCAAAAACAGTTCAGGAATATTTTCCGACAGATTGCAGGGGATGTGAGTATGCAACCGATCCCTGTCCGCCACCAAAGCAGCCTAGCCACAACAGCACCTAAATCAATTGTTTCATGGATTCAAATCACTGAATATTAAAATTTGCTTTGAATTTCCTTCCATTAAATTCTCTTTGAGATTTGAGGATAAGTAAAATCAAATAAAACTTTCCATAACCATACAGCTATTCTCATATGTAGGTATAAACTATTCCCATTGTGTATGAGGGAGCCTCATTTAAATTCAGCCTTTTTCTTCTATCCCTACTACAAGATGCTATTTTGCACAGCAAGTATAAACAAGGTAGAAATGCAATGCCCTCCAGTATATGCTTAACAAGGAAAGTTAAAGGTAAAAACAGATGAAAAAACTGCATAAATCAATACGCTGCAAGTAGGATACAAAGATTTTTGGATTTCACTGTTTGTCTTATACACTGAAATTACTGCTCATTCTTCTAGTTGTACTTTGATAAGCATTATATGGTAACTTCAGACCTACCTTGTACTGCAGCCTCAAGAAAGATTTGGACTAATGTTTATATGAACTAGAACGCTCTCTAGTTTGAAACATGTATGTGCCATACTGAAAAGTGACCAAAGACTTCATACTTTTAGCATATTCATCCCTAAAACCATCTGATAAGTAAAGAACATTGTAATCAATTATATCTCATCACATTTCCATCAGGACATGGAGATCAATGCTGAAGAACTTAGGAATGTTCTCAATAACGTCGTAAAAAAACGTGAGTTTGAGCATGTTTTTTACTAACCCTCAACAAAAAAAAAATCTGTGTTATACCATAACCCCCCACCTCTGAGTTTCACTCTAAAAATTATTTATGTTTTCAAACTCAGAAATTTCCTAGTTACACTTCCATGGACATTGCATCCATGACTTTAGCAAGCTGAACTTTTCACAGAGATGATCTCTACAGGTGATCAAGTACTGATAATTCAAAAATGAGCAAGTGTTCATTGGAAGTACCTCACAGAACAATACAACATTTCTAGCAGTCTGCAAATTCCCTTTAAAAAATTTCTAATGGAGAGACAGACCTTTCTCCCTGTTCAGAAAACTTTAGCCTACAGACCCTGGACTTGCTTAGTAACCTGGAAGTCAGTTTAGAGTCTTCCAGAGGTTTTTATTGTATGTAACAAGTCAAGAAAGATATCTCCAATTCACAGGCAGTAACATTACTTAAGAGTCTTTTCACATTTTTCTACACTCGTTTCTTACTGGATGAAGGAAATAGGTTTGGCTTTTACTCTGATTAGAGTTGCACCTGAGAGGAAAATCACTTGCTAATTTGCATGACCTATATTCATCTGGGATCATTTATTTCAGATAAGGACCTAAGGTCAGAAGGCTTTGAATTGGAATCCTGCCGCAGCATGATTGCATTAATGGATGTATCCTTTTCTGGTGAAAAAGGAGTGCTTGAAACCACACTAGTCCACTATTTCTCACCAACACACACAACTTAGTAAGCCAGGAAAGCAAAACAGAACATTGTAGTCTGTAGCCAGATAACACAGCATTCCTGGTTGGGCTACATTTTAATTCCAGTCATCTCAACATTAATGTAGTTGGCAAAGAAATGTATTCCAAAACCGAAAACTACAGAATAAATAAGGCAGTATGATACTCTTCCTTAGGTATCAGGGACTAGCCAGCTTATGTACTAAAGCATGATTTTTTTTTTTTAAACAAACCCAACATAATTATAGTTCTTGCCAACAAACTTACTATATTTCTCTCCTTGAGTTTATAATGTATTACATATTCTACTGTACGCTCAACGTGCAATGCATATAGAAATTGTCTTGGAACAAGTGTAATAAAACACACTACAACATGCCACATGGGGTTACCTCTGCTACAACATCATTCCATTTTCCAGTTTGACATAACACATGATTTTGGGAGACATAGGCACATTCAAAAATAACCAAAACAAACTTGTAACGACAAGCCAGAGCCATAATGATTGGAGCCTAAACACATTTTTGTAAATAGCTTTACTCAACCTTTTGCTTAGTCCTCAGTTCATTTGAAAGTGTGGCAAAAAGAGCTACACTTCAGGGTAAAGCTCAGTTGTCTTAAAAAATATTGGGTGAGCTTCACATTTGGAGGTATTTCAGAAGAGCCCACTAAAACATCCTACTCATATACTTTTATAATAGCTCCAGGAGCAAGGCTGGAGTTTGCTTCTACACAAAGTACAAGTAGTACTTCATACTCCTGAAACAATATGCTATACACAATAACCAAAATGTTACAAATATTTTACTACACAGCTCAGCCAGCTCTTAATGCTGAGGAGATATGAAAATCAGTTTCACATTCATCCCTTCACCAGTAGTTGCAGACTTAAAATTAATTTTATCTTAAAAAATATTGTGGGTTTTTTACCTGAATATTTGCATCACAGACAGATGGCTCGGGAAGATAAACTTTGATGAATTTCAACATCTCTGGGACAAGATTAAAAGCTGGCAGGTATTGCTGGTATTCACACCATTCTTCTTCACAGCTTCTGCAGTGCAAACGTTGTGTAGGAAAAACAGAACTCTCTACATACACTACAGCAAAAAGAAAGGCTAAAAGAATATTGTGAATTAGCTTCTAAAATGAAAAGTAATGTCTCTCTTCATCCTACTTCACAGCCTAAGCAAACAGCCTGACTTTCTGAAGCTCCTGCACTTGAGGAGAGACTTCCCCCCTAGGAATAGCACAGAGCCTTACAAATTGAAGGAGGAGAATGATGGGAACTAGAATCAGGCCTCAAAAATAACTTAATTAGGACAATCAGGAGAAAGGATTAACAGCATAAACTCAAGTCAAACAAGGAAAGTCTCCAGGGGAGGGCTTTTTTCTTCCCACAGATTGGATCTAAATTATTTTACTTTGTGGCTGAGAGGAGCTCTGTGCTAACAATCCAGGCTGCCCAGCAGCAGGAATAGAAGGCATATTCTAAGTGCCTGAGGCACACATCCCATATCCAGTCAGTGGCTACATACAAGAGAAGTAGAAGTTTTTATTACTACTGTGTATTTATTTTTTTCTTTTCCCAGAAAATTTTCAAGCGTTATGACACGGATCATTCAGGAACCATTAACAGCTACGAGATGCGCAATGCAGTCAAGGATGCAGGTATTTATCAATGCACGGTGTCCAAACCCTTGTTTTGTTTGATGTATCACAGGGTGACATCAGAAACACAGTGCTGCCTTTTAAAGCCAGACCCTGGAGAAATTATAAAATACTCTTTTCCACTGACAGAGCTTTTCAAATATCCAGATGGCAAGCCTTGTATGTCTTGCCAGCCAAACAGCTGCTTCTCCTGGAGAACTGGCCTCCCTCTGCAAATGTCTTTACCATGTCTCTAAGAGAGCAAGATGACCTCTTTAATCTGAAAATCCGTAGTATCATTATAAAATTAGATGAGATGATGACAGTGACACTTTGTATTCAGTAGTATTTTGGCACATCAAGGAACAGAAAGACATGGCTACCTTGTACTTTACAAAACATCAGTGATTATCCTGTCCTAAAGACAAAACTAATCTGGATCTGGATTCCTGCAGTAGAAATATGGGTAATTTTTATTTCCCAGGTTTCCATTCTCACCAGGAAAGTTGTCAATGTAAAAAAAAAGAAAGTATTTAAATACTTCATGCCCTGACTTTAGAACTAAGATGACATTTTACAGTAAACATTTCAGATCTTACAGCACAGAAGCCGTGCATGACCTTGCATTTAGCCAAGAAGCAGCTGTACCCAAATTGTGACAGACCCTTTTGAGGCATGGTCACATGCTGCAGCATTCAGTGCCACAATTCAGTCACACCACACCCAGGGGTTACCCCTTGTCTATTTTTTTACCGTGGTGTAATTGTGTTTTCATAGAAACTTCCTCCTGTGCTTCTGTCACCCAGTTTTTGTTGATTTGCTCTCAACCAGACCCAGCTGAGCAGCAGTCTTTGGTGTCTGCTGCTCTCCTTTTCATGCTTACAGCCTGAGGTAACTCACGTGCTACTGGCCCTCCCAAATCATAATTTCAAAATGTTACCCTTGTTTTAAGAAAGCAGCTGCACACAGTGAAGCTCCTTTTAGCTTCACTTCATTTTGTTTAGCAGCTGCAGCAGGACCATCCAGCCCCAGCCTCAGCTGGGCCTGGGAAGCACCTATGGCCAAACCACTCCCAGACCAGCATTTCCCCCAGCCACGATCCACCTGTGCCCTGTTTTTGCTCCTCTGCAGGGTTTCGGCTGAACAACCAGCTCTACGACATCATCACCATGCGCTATGCAGACAAGAACATGAACATTGACTTTGACAGCTTCATCTGCTGCTTCGTGCGCCTGGACGCCATGTTCAGTGAGTGGCTGCCCCAGTTCTGCTGCGCCACCTCCCCTCCTCCCCCAGACACAGGCACAGAATCAGGGGTTCATGCAGTGGCTTGGGTTGAAAAAGACCTTTAAGGCAATCTTGTCCCAGCCCCCCTGCTGTGGGCAGGGACACCTTGCACTAGACCGGGCTGCTCAGGGCCCCATCATCTTCTCTGCAAAGCTTTTCAAAGAACTAGTGCCTGTGCAGGGTATTATTAAAGATGTGTGCTTAGGGAATCGAAAATATTACAGGTGTCTCATACAGGCACAAAAGAAACTCTGTGTTTCTCCTTGAACGAGCTAAGGAAAAACACAGCAGGAACACTTGCTGACCATGTAAGTAAATATCCGTGCAAGTTCACGTATCACAACAGGAGCACCATTTGGTTTGCTGTCTGGGAATCATCTTTACACACACAGTAATTTAATGTACTCCATATATTTTTGTTTCCTTGTTTTAGGGGCATTCCACGCCTTTGATAAAGACGGAGATGGCATTATTAAGCTCAATGTCCTGGAGGTAAACTGCTTTATGCCAGTATTTCTAACACTGTGTCACAATACTAAGTTTTGATTTTATTGTTAATTGTACATGCTCTCTAGAGAGTTTGTCTGGTCATCCAATTGATAAGAGGCTGCAAAACCTCCCCAAAATTTTGCTACCAATTTTACACAAAAAACATTCATGATCTGCCAGCAGCAGCTGCCCTGTAAGACCCCAGCTGGTGCTGGAGATCACAGCTGCAGACCCTTTGTATTATCTTTAAAGCCCTTCAAAAAGCTTTTGAGATTTTTTTATGAGGCAATTTAAATCAAATACAGTGATAGGGTGTTAAATGATAATGGAGTTCAACAGTTCTTTACCTTTCAAAAATCTTATTAAGAAGAATTTTTAGAAAGTTTCAAATAGAAAGTTTAGAAATAAAAAAGTTAGAAAGTTTCAAAATAAAAGCATGTTCTCTGCTACAGAGACCATTTAAAAAACCCTTTACTTTTTGCAAGAGAAGGAGAAATACGAGCAAGGGACTCATGAAAAAATTCTCCACTGCCACTGTGCGTCATACTAAGTGACAGCAAGCGGCCCACTTCAAGCTAGAAGAGGGTGGTGTCTCAATACAATTTTTTTGGAGGATGCCAACAACTCTTCCATCCTTTAACTCTTCTTTCAGTGGCTGCAGCTCACGATGTACGCATAACACCGGAGCCAGTGGTCACCTTCATCAAGAACACGCTCAAGACTTCTGAGTAATGAGCACCATTCATCTCAAGGGCAAACAGGAGCACTTCCTAATGATGGGATTCGCTCGCCACGATAAACAGTGCATGGGAATAAGCGCTTGGAAAAAGAGACAGCCATGCACTAGCAGGCACAACAGCGTGCTCATTCTGTAACTACTTCTATAGCATCCCGACATTTTTCTTTTGGGCAACAAGGATTAATTTATTGATGACTGAATTAAGCTTTCTCTGCATGGTAAATACATGGAGCATACACTGTTATTCTGCTTGTGCTGACAACTAGAAAGGTTTTCCCTCAAGACAGGTGAAACTGGAGCTGTATCTAACTATGAAAGTCAGAGGTGTTTACTGCCACCTTGTAATTAGTCAGTCTCTGTGCTCTGCTTTTGGTATTATCCTTTCAGTCTCTTTCTAACATGTACTGAATATTTCACATGAGATTATGCTAATTACATTATTAGTATGCATCCTAATCACACTGTTACAGATGAGGCTGTGCCAGCTGCATCTCTGCTATGCTAAAAATGTGACAGTAAGAATGACAGACTGCAATATCATAGTACAGCTCGATCTAATGCCTCAGCAAAACTATCAGAACAGAGAAATTTGCTCTCATTTTTAGTACCCCCAGGAGACATTAATTACACATTTGGACATTCTAAGTGTTTTTCATTGTAACTGCATTCTCCATAACTTTGAGAAACTTGTTTCCCATTCAAGGTAGAAAAACCTCTTATACATACAAATCTATTTATCTACACACACATACACACATTTCCCCCAGCCCTCAGTGTCCTATTTCCCAAGAGTACTCTGTGTTTCTTTATTTAAAAGAGGTGATTTGTTGCAGAATCAGATACAATATCAGCATGATCACTTTGAAAATATTATTACAATGTGCAAGTGGAATTACTTTAATTGAACCAAAAATAAAAACAACTGGATTTTGGCCTAAGGTTTTTTGGTTGTATTTTGAAAGAAGAGATGAAGATGAAACATTGAACACTCTTCCATCATTCTCCTGAATATACAGCAGCTTTTTGAGTTTTATGGCAAGTGTGAAATCAGCTTAATATCTCAAACACTTGCCAGTTTAATCCTTGAAAGCATTAAAAAAAAAAAAAGAAAAGGCAAGCATTTGAAAAGTTGAGAAGTTCCCATGTTACCAGCTTAAAGGATGACAGGCTTTCAGAAGTGGCCAACTTTTTTTCAATAAAAAAAAAATTGAAGAAAAACCAAAACGTGCAAAAGGGACCACATTTTGTCAGAAGAACCTTCTACTTAGTTGTCTAGTGGTGAAAAGTAGCAAAGCAATTGACTAAAGCAAAATTTTAAAAACAAATCATAGCATCCACTCAGAGTTATTCTGTTGAGTAGCACGTTAACTGAAAGGTCACTAAAACAAAAAATGTTTTGACTATAAAGTTCTTAATGTTGTCTTGCACTGTAACGTACTCTGAAAGAGTAAGAAAATCCTATCGTTTTCTAAAGACCAGTTTTATTCTCCTTTAAATTCTACTTTTGTTTCAACCCAAATAATTTTTAAGATGACTGGAACACTTGGAGCCCTGGCTTCCAGCCATGCATTATCTCCACTAAGCTACTATTACAAAAAGGATGGCAGAGATGCTCTGAGTTGGGATGGTCAGAGAAAAACCAAAATCTATCAGTCAATAGATCAAAATCAGGATTTTTAATTGGCAATTCAAATCTGGTCCTTAAAGTCCTGGTGAGTGAACTACCAAATTTCCTTGCATCTGGCCATGAAGCAAGGCAGTCAGTACATCATGGAGGCACCAGCTGGGTGGACTGTTTCCATTTCCCTGCCAAATGACCAGGTCTGAGATTCCTGCACACTCACAGCATTCCTGCCAGTGCTGGAGCTTCAAAGTCACCTGTCTGATTTTATCCAGACCTCTTAAAATGGGAAAAAAATCCAGAACAAAGTCAAGTTCTACTAAATCCTATGAAAGAATCATTCTATTTAAAATAAATGAGAATCAGACTGACAAACCACAACAATATAAAGAACTTTATTTTTTTTCTTTTCTTTTTTTGTCTTGTAAAGTTTCATTATTACACTCACAGCTTTGTACCAAAGTGAGAGAAGAAAACCAGGGTCAATCTGTGCACATGTTCTACACAGCTTAAATCACTAAATATTTAATCAAGTTGTTTTATTCCATTTCCATTCTTCAAAAAGACTGTTTAACATTACAGCAAAATTATATTTGAGAAGCTGGTAGGTGCATATAACAGAATATATATACCTACACAGTTTACTCTTTGAAGATTAATTATTTTACAAACAGTAGCTGAAACCGTTTCCTTATCCTTCCTCACATATTCTGCAGCTCTGGACACTAAGACTGTTTAAATTATAGTACCATACAAGCCTGAAAAAAAAGATTCACCTGTACCTGTGTCTTAATTCAACAGAAGGGAAAATAAAAATATTTTCCCAACAGAAACATTTTCCCTGGCATTTATTGCGAGTTTGCAGTTATCATTTATCTTGATCCGGCACGATTGAACAGTTTGAAAATGTGCACTAAGAACTGCACTACTTCAAACACACCACACAGCCAAGCTCCTGCTGGTTTGCAGAAGTCAACTTATGTGCTGACAATATGTTTAAAGTCTGTAATCCACACATAAGTGACACAAGGCAAGCAGAAGCTGGGATATTTAATGCATCTTTGTACCAATGGATGCAGCACTTTCCCCTCCATCCCCCTCCATGCACAGAAGCAGCAGCATTAGGCCACGGAGTATCCTGCACTGCCAGACAGCTGTATTTTCCTCTGTATTTGAAAGAGAAAGGAGAAACAAATATGGACCAATGCCACAAGGCCCTACCATATGTAATCAGCCCTATAACAAGTCCAGAACTCATTACTTAATATTTGACTAATAAAAAAACCTCCCACAGCTAATCACAAAATAAACCTTCGCTCTACTCACTCTTTCACCCACAACTTCTTACTTCCATAAAAAACCAAACCAAAACAAAAAATAAATAGTCCTGAAACTGGCTTCAGACATGCAATACTGCTTTTCATGCAAATGTTACTCTGTTAAATTTCACCAATAGTCCACCTTCCCAAAGTCATTACACTCTTAGACTGGAGGTATATCAGGAGTCAAAACTCTAAGTTTCAAGACCAGAGAGAATCTCATTAATGAATACTGTGCCAATACATTAGTTTGGCATCTCTCTTCTGCAATTGCCTCCAGAAGAAGTGAATGGCCAACAGGAAATCTGCTCCGAATTCCACCCGAACAAATAGGAAACCTCTCCACAGAACTCCAGAAAACCCTGGAGATTTTTACGGCTGCACAGCTTCATAGCAAATCCTTTCAACATTTCCTCTTGACAAAGCAGTGCAGCATTTTCCTCTGAACCCCTAAAGATTTTAAAAAATTGTTTATAAAATGAAGCAGAATTTTCCACTCATGCAGCTCTGCTATTTTCACATCTCTTATCCCTTTTAAGATTCTTAAAATATATCTGAAATGACCTACAAACTAGCAAAAGACACTACTGCTAAAGCTGGACTTCAGAAGCCCAGACTTCTCAGGAGGACTGTTTTCGAGGACAGATTAGGAAATATAATGGACTACAAGAAAAGCAAGACTGCTTCCACCAACTAGAAAAGATAAACCCAGCAAGCAATCAGGAATGCAAATAAAGTGTAATAACTGTGTTTGCTGCAACAGCGAGTGAGGAATATCTTTACGTGTTCCTGAAAACAGCTAAAAGAATGTGAAGAATCACAATGAGGAAGTAACAAAATCTACTCTCACACAGCCTTTTTCAGAATGCTACTATTGCCCCACTTGCTTGTCCTTGGGACACACCTCCACATCTTCACTTCAAGCACAGTCCACGAAGAACAGCTTGAGATATCCACATTGTTTACGTCACGCTTACATGCTCCCTCCTTGTTGTTAAAAAACTCCCAGAAGAACTCTTGAATATCAACGCTTTTGGAAATGGTTTAAGTATTATGCAGTCTTCTGCTTTTAGGTCATGAAAAAAAACCAAACACTCTCAGAGACTTTAGAGCATTAAAGTCTCCATCAGAAAACATTTACACTGCTTAAAGATTTCCCTCAACCAGATTCTCATTGAATTGCTTCATCCACAGGCCACAGAAAGAAAGAAAGAAAGATAAAAAGCCCAACACCACAAACACACATCCCCCCAAACCAAAACAAGAACACTCTCAAAACAGCCTGAAGTCTGAGCCACATATTGGGGCTTTTTCGTATCCATAAACATAATAAAAAAAAACAACCAAAAAACCAGAAACAAATCACCACAGGAACACTGGAACCTCAGAGATTCCCATGTCTCTGAAGTAGGATGCTACTGCATCTCCTTCATATTTTATTCCTGTCTCACAAAAAATATCATCAATGTCAAGCAATTAACAGAGAAATGCTTGTCCACTAAGATAATACAAAACCAGTGTACTTCAGAGAAGGCCCTGAAGTTCCTCTGTTTGATGGCAGTGGAACATCCATGGGCTTCCCTCACTTTCTTGGCCTAAAAAGGCTTCTTTACAGTCAAAGAATGAGGCTATAAAACTTACTTGGTCTATGGCTGGCAAGTCTCAAAGTAGTGGTGAAAGAGATGCCTCATAAAAATAGTACATTAAATTTTCTTGAAAAGCCCTGGATTCATTTATAAAGCAGCTCAGTTTGACACTGGTCTGTCTTCACCTTCTGTTACAGTTTAAGGAAACTGTGCTTACTTTATCCTGAGCAGCAAGTTAGGCAAAAGTGAACACTAAGTTCCTTGCTGGATTAGTCTCAAAATTAAGAGGGTTCTTTGCCAAATTAGTGTCATTACGGGAGAGAGGATCTCAAGTGCAAGAAGTACATTTCACTGAACTTCACAGGTGAAGCGTTTGCCCATCAAGGGACACCTGCAGAGGAATCACGATAAGTAGAAGCAGCCTCCCCTTCTGCACTGGCCTCTCTGTGGTACTTTCTGTGCATTAGTAGAAACAAGACTTTCACATGTGATATGCATTTTGTATCCTCAGCTTCTGCTTGAGTACTTTAGATGTTAAAATCCTGCTCCATCCTTTCCAGCTGAGATTTTGCGAACTTGACATGCCCAAGCTCATGAAGACAGTTAACAACAGAAACAAAACACTGCCTAAGTGGATGCACTTGGACAGGCAGTGCCTTTGCGTTTCTCTTAGTCTGCTGTGCCATGAAGATATGGGGCTGCAAAGCTCAGTCACTAAGATTCCAAATAAAATCAGGAATCCGACTGTGGTGTTGTATCAAGACGGTAGTGGTTATGTTGGTCTTTAACTAAAACAAAGCAGACACCACTTACTTCTTTCCTGTACGTAAAGACCTCTATTGAAAAAGACTAAGATTGCAAAGCACATGATTAGAGCCACTGTTCTGGCTGTTTTGCTGCTACTGGCATAATTCTCAAGAAATAACTGCTTTCCCACAAGTAAACAAAATACATCAGGAGGTATGGTATCTATCGCTGCATATATTGTGCCAGTTATAGCAATTTCTACACAAGGAATAAAAAATAAGTTACAATTAACATTAAAAAAATTAATTTATTCCAGTCTCCATAAAATACCTTTTCATTTTATGAAGAAAGTAAAAATGTACAGCGGATATGCAGGTTACATTTAGAATTTGTGATATTCTGGTTTGCAGAATTTTATCAAAATCGGCTAAAAAATTGGATACAACATAAAAACAGACATGTCTTAAGACACTAAACAGGCTTCAAGCTGAGTTTGCAAACATCAGCACCTATTGGAATCTAAGTTTTCAACACCCCTCTGGATTTCCCAAAGACTATACATCTTAAAACAAACAACCAAAAAAAAAAAAACAAAAACAAACCACAAACCAAACCAAACCAAACAAAAAACAACAACAAAAAACCACCACCACCACCACAACAAAAAACAAATCAAAAACAAAACAAACAAAACAAAACAAAACCCCAAAAACAAACAAACAAAAAAAAACCCGAGGCAGACAAGAAGAGGCAATATTCTTGTCTGTCAATGAATTAAAAAGTTGCAAGAATTTGGGCTAAATCTTAATTGACCAGCCTTGTTTCTACAGGGTGCAACGCAACCTGCAATCTCCATAGCAATGAATTTCAGCCCCACTCAGTTTTTGCATTCCAAGTGGGAAAAGAAAGAGGAAAGACTGGAGTAAGAAACAGATGTTATTTGGAATAGTTCTGACATATAAAATTACTTCCCAATGTGGGAGGTGAAAAGCTTCATGAGTCAATCCTGCTGTCATCCTCAGCATGTCTTTCAATGTGTCCTACAGCATCCTAGAAAAGAACCAAGAAAGTCAATTAAAAAAAATCAACATCATCACAAAAAAACCCACAAAAAACTTTGCAAAAGATTCTTGAAGCCTCTGTGAAAGTGGCATTCTAAATAATATACATTTGTTTGGCTTAAAGCTTCTAAGAAGATAAATATCAATGTCAAGCTATTATATCACATATAAAAAGTATTTCACATACCACATAATTTAAGGCAATAAAACCCAGTTTCCTTCCTGACTAGAAGAGCAAACCAAATAAACACATCATTTCCAAAGCCAGTGCCTAAAGAGAAATTAAGGATTCTACTTTGATTTCTTAGTTCTCAAAGAAACTTTCTTCCTTCTCCATATTTTGGAAAGCATTCCAACGAAGGTAGTTTATACTGCCAAGGAGTAAAATGTGTATTTTACCAATCAGCCTGTAAGTAACAGCCCTCCTCACACCCACCACCCAACCCTTTCCACATCACTTAGCCCAACTTATCATTAATTTTTTTCACAATCTGTGCTTACCTTTGCTCAGAAATTTATCCACTATTTATTTAAAAATGCTAACGTGAAAAATCTACAGCATCATCATCCAGAACAATGAAAGGGGTAGCGATGGATAAAGAATTAAAGGGATAAAAACCTGTTTTCAAGGCTCATGTTTGTTCATCTTAAAAATACCTTTTTCCTACAGAAACTTACTAATATCTTGAGTAGAATTTCTTTAATATTTTAAGAATCTTACCAATTCCACAAAATATTTTACAATCAAACTGTTTCAAACTGACTAAACTCTTTTAAATGGACCATATCTCCCGTTATTGTAGCTGCACTTTTCATCTGTCACAGGCTGAAGTAAATGCTGCAAGCCCTGTAGGACTGTAAGTGTATACAGTTAAACCTGTCAAGACTAGAAAAATTTAACCCTTTTTAAAAGAAATAGGATCAAGTCTCACAATTGTGGTGATATAAAGTACTCTGTATTATCAAATACAACCATGTTATTTCATCCACATACCTGCTTGGAACCTTTCCTGGAAGTAAAGAAAGCGTCACAATTCTTCCAACGACATTTCAGGGTCTGAAAATTTGGGTTGGTGTGGTCAGTTAGCAGGTGTTGTTTCAGATGGTCCACAACTCCAAAGATCAATGAACATCCATGCCACTGATAGAAAAAACATACCAGAATAAGCCAGGGAAATAGAATTTTAGGTAATGCTTTTCTTCTTGCAACTTCACAATATTCTTCCAAAGCTGTTAGCACACATGCTGCCTCCTGTAAGTTTCTTATCTTCTTATTCCATTTCTACTGTCAGTGGTCTCTATTCCTTTAATTACAGCTTTACAGAAATTCTTCCTGCCTCTATCCAAGCCTAGACCATCAGCAGGGATGACAAGAGGAAAACAGGAAACTAAGCCTTTACAAGATTGAAGCTTACCTGTGACAGAGTAATTTGGAATTTAATTAAACTTATTTAGCAGAACAAAGCAGCTTTTCTACATCACTCAACTGAAGTTTTTGGTTTTAAACAGTTACATTTCACTATCTAAAAACTGCCAGAAAGAAAAATAACAAACTATCAACTTCTTCCACTGCATATATATATATACACAAAGAGAGCGAAAAACTGAATTAGTGATATATACCTACATTTAAAAAGTACATCCACATTTTTTAAAGAATAATGAATAATAATAAATTAAATGTCAAGCTACCCAAAACTAAATGAGTAGAGACAACCCCCAGGAAATTCTATAATAAAGGAAGGTTAAACATTTTCCTTCTTACCCAGCAACGATAATTTTGCATGAGATTAAGCCTCACAGCTCTGACACTGCCATCATAGCATCCAGTGTAGATCTGTAAAAGAAACATTTTTGGATAAGCAAGCTGGGAATAAAATAAAAAAAAAATGAAGTAAAATTTTGAAGGAGGCCTCAGAGTAGAGGGTATTAGGTGAAAAACAATAAATATCAACAGGCAAGGCTTCTATATTTAAAAAATGGGTATAACCTAATTCTTTTAAGATTTGCATTCATAGTTTACAAAAACCTACTAGTGAATAAGAAATGTTTCCGTAACCTCTATTGCTGATAGTGTCATGTGGATAACAGTTTAGAAAACTTTAAAGTATGTTTTATGTTACTATGCAGTAGAACCAAAAAAAAAAATTAGGTGTGTCAAGTTGAATATATTTCCATGTTTTAACCAGTTATATGTATATCAAAAAAGGATGAAAAGGAAGGTTGAAGAAGAACATCAGAAATTCAAAAGGACTGATGCAGATTCTGAAAAGGAAGGCAAAATGACATCTTAAATGCCATTTTTGTTAAGACAGATGCTCCACACAAAATTATCCTTTTGAAAGAAAAGGATGCCAGACACTTATAATCCCATAACAATGATTCATTGTTAAAAAAACTCCTTGCATAATACAGAAAACTCTTCAAGGTAAAGATTCCATTTGTTATTTTTATTCAAATCTTTTCATCTCTTGTAAATTCTCCACTAGGGTGCAACAGCCAATCTGTTGTGTGTAAGAGACTGCACTTTACTACAAAGACTACTACAGAAAATTATAATCTTTCTCTTGTCACTAAACTTCTCACCTGAACACTTCTTTGATTTGAGGATGCCCACAACAGACTACTGGTGGGGGACAGTTCAAGCCTCAGATTCTATTCAGGTGAGATGTGATGCTTGGGTAGTATATATTCCAATTAGTAGGAAATCGGTTCTGTTGGGCTTCATTTTTCTGTTATTAGAGATCACTACTTTGCCTTTTATTTTACAATCTCAAAGAAACTTTGCAAATAAATTCCTACACATTCAGACAAATAAGTGCTTTAACAACTATTTTAAGAAATGTTTATCCAGAAGTGCTCCTGAAACTTATCTTGCAGGGCAGATGCATGAAGAAACCTGTGCACCTAAATCAACTGCATCTCTTTGTTCAGGTTCTATCAAAGGTTACTAGAGGTTTGACTGTGGGTCAAGTTTTTCTCTAGTATCGGTGTGATTCCCTTGAGTAAAAGTCAAACAGGATTGACACTCAAAAAAGAGGAAGTATTTTACTACTTCTGGACGCTTCATTGTAGTCATCACTGTAAAAAGAGCTATTGTTTTAAGACTACAGTAAGCTAAAAGGTAATTTTTCCCCAGACAATAATATTACATAAATATAAGGCTGTTACAGCAACTTGACTTGTTGGCTGCATTTCCAAGTCGTTCTTAGTCAAACAACAGGTTGATTTCTTTATCCGAAAAAATTAAACTGTCTTGTATATGCCCATGACACTTACAACCTTCTGTTTCAGAGCAGTAAAAAGAAGGAAGTTACCATGCTCTTATGGATGGTCATACACATGATCATATCTGTGTGGCCTCCATAGACTTGCAAGCGGTCGTGCGACTTGAAAGAAACAGAAAGAGACATTTAAAGCAGGACATTCAATCGCCATTTTTCACAGACATGCAAAGAATAATGCTTACAAAAGCAGTTTCCTTGGTAGCAACTAAAGTCCTCTGGTGGATTCCAAAATTAATAGCCACCTCGAAAGCTCACTGTTGCTTACATTGCTTCTGTGAGTCTTTTTGTCCAACTAAGCACTTGGTCTTTCAGCAGACAAAACTAACATTTCCACCTTCTTCAGAGCTGTCATTGTCTTAGAATAATTCAGGTTCTAAAGAAATGGTTTAGATTATATTCTTTAAAACCCATGTATTTTGGCTGATGAGACAACTATATATTCTGAGTGACAGCAAAGAGAGGGATGGGCCAGAGACCAGTAAGCACAAAGATAACTTCTATTTGACTTCAAAATAATTAATTAACGCATTTTAGGTAAATGCCATTAGTAACCATCTATTTTCTTACCTGTAGTTCATAAACACGAACAAATTTATCCAGACATGCTGTCACCATCACTTTCCCGAGAATGTTCACAACCGTCACTGCATGGTTATGGCCCTTATAGATTCGTACCAGCTCTCCAGTCTGCATCAAGAAAAAACAAAGGTTGACAGGTGTTTGTTTTCTCTTAAACAGCGAAACAGCTTTACCTAACCCAGCTAGGGTAGCTAGCTTCAATGTTCAATACTCAAAAATGGAAAACCCCTCTATTACACTTCCATTTCCTATGAAGGCACTTCTAGATTATGATCAAATATCCTTTTGTTTGCCCCTCTTAACACAGAGCCATTCCAGCACAACAGAAATGCATAAGTCTCTGAAAAGTTTTCTCTTATCTTCCTCTGCTTCTCTTTCCATCTTTAGTTATATATTCCCATTCACCTTGCATCTAGTACCGTGCTATTTGTACCAGCAGTATTTAGTTAGCCACGAGGATCAGTGAGCAAATCTAGCTAAATACACAGAAATATATTTTTTTGTCAATTAAAATTTATCCCTGATAAATTTCTTAATTTAACTTACTGCATAGCTACATGAATGCTTTTCCTAGGACTGTGGAAAAATGGTGTAAAAGAGGGAAAGAGTGGCAGGCTAGAGAGAGCTTTTGAACCTTCTAGTTTGGAACACTGTTCCTCAAGTTCTTCCTGTAATAAAGAAACTCTTCCCCCAGCACAGTATCTCACATGGGTTTACTTTGAATACTTTCCATATTATCAGCCCATTTTTTAGTAATATTTGCAAAAGCAAGATGCCCAGATAAATAGGCATTGCATACCATGTGACAAGAGTCAGCATGTTTATACTCTTCACACATCTTTAGTTAGCTACAATGCATAGTCACATTAACAAAATCACGAGATTTCCTTTTCTGGAAGCAGTTTGCTCCACCAGACAGTGAAAAATTCTGAAAATACTGACTTTATAGTATAGGAATTCACTACCTTAATATCAAAAGTCATTCTACATATGAGACTTACATGAATGTTGTGGGCATGGACAGACTGATCACTGGAGCCACTGAATACCAGATCATTCACAACCTTACAAAAAAAAAAAAAAAGTTTTATTTTTTGTAACAAATATGGAAATGGGCAAGTGAAATACTAAGATGCTGTTCAGTTCAGAGTTGTACTGTAGTACTTCCTAAATTTGACAGACTTCAAATCAGTGGAGAACGTGAAGAAAAAGCATGCACTGAGTTCTTTACCTACGAGCTATCAAATGTATTATAACAGCCTAACTATGGCTTTTGAGACTTTGCAACTGACATATGAAGCTGTTAACTTATAATCCACCAAGCTAACTCATCCTACCTACGGACAATTCTCAGGCACAGGTCAGCAGTAAATCAGGGACCAAGCAAACTGAAGGCAGAATGCTGCTCTGCACGTGCACAGTAAAGTTTGCTGAAATTTTGGATATGCTGTGTATTTATATTCTGCTCATGTAAGAAAAAATGCTCCTGAACTAGTACTATTCTAGGAAGAAAGCTCACCAGATCCATCATGGATCAAGAAGGGACCACAATATGCTGCCATTGAAGAAGGACTAGGACAGTCTGCAGGACAAAAAAGGCTGTGCCACCACACTACAATAAATAAAGTGACAAACACAATTTATGGAAGTTATCCCCTATCTGTTACATGATAGTGGTCACAGCAGAACAGTCAGACAAGCATATGTTCCACCTCATAATTTCAGGAGCCAGAAACCTGGGATTAACTTAGTGATTCTTCTTTTTAAAAGAATACTTGTTGAGTTAACTTTTTTCAGTTTCCTCTGAGATTTGTACTATCAGGGTACATGAAGACTAGCATCACCTTTTCCCCAACTTTCCTTCTGTTGGCAAACTCACATTTAAAGATCCTCTAAATCCTCTAAGAACATGAAACAAACATGCTTTTTCTACATAGGTCTTGCCCTTGGATCACAACAACCCCATGCACCCTTTGGGATGGGTGGATGGAAAGCTGACCAGAGGAAAAGGACCTGGGGATGCTGGTTGACAGTGGCTGAACATAAGCCAGCAGTGTGACCAGGCATTCTGGCCTGTATCAGAAGTAGTGTGGCCAGCACGAGCAGGATAGTGATTGTCTTCCTGTACTCAGCACTGCTGAGGCCACACCTTGAATGTTGTGTTCAGTTTTAGAAGGACACTGAGGTGCTGGAATGTGTCCAAAGGTAGGCAACAAAGCTGGTGAAGGGTTTAGAGCACAAGTCTTATGAGGAACGGCTGAAAGAGCTTGGGATATTTAGCCTGGAGAAAAGAAGGCTCAGAGGAGACCTTACTGCTCTCTGTAACTACCTGAAAGCAGTTGTAGTGAGTTGGGGGTCAGCCCCTTCTCCTAGGAAAAAAGTGACAGGACAAGAGGAACCAGCCTTAAATTGCACCAGGGGAGGTTTAGAATAAATATCAGGAAAAATTTCTTTACTGAAAGGATGGTCACACATTAGAACAGGCTGCCCAAGGAAGTGGTGAAATCACCATCCCTGAGTATTCAAAAAACATATGTAGATGTGGCAACTACATGTGGGACATGTGATATGGTAGCCATACAATTTTCCTACCAGATTACTCAGTTTTTATAATTTAAAACAGAGAAATCCTCCATTTCCTCTTGCAATCTGCTCACTAGTAGAAGAAAATATACATAATTTTAAGCATTCTTTGTCAAAAACATTGTTTTCAGAGACACTTGCCTTCATGCAGAGTATAGTCTTGCTGTGACCTTCCAGGGTTCTGAGAAGCAGTCCGTTCCGTGCATCTCGCACGCTGATGGTGCAGTCATAGGAACCCACTACCAACAACTTGCGTGCTCCTTCCTGAGCTGTGGCCAGACAGCTCACTGCTCTAGGGCCATGGCATTCAAAGGTATCAACCTGTTTATTATTCTGTTGGGGGAAGAAAAAAATGGTATTGAAGAATTAAAACTTTGCTATGACACTGACTAGATCATTGAGTCCTTTTTCTCTTGTTAAAGCATCTGATTTCACTTTAGTAACACACAATTTCAGCAGTAGTAAGAGTTGCATCTTAACAACTAAGTTTTCAAATCAAGGAAATAACTCTTTACATTAGGCCTCAATTTCCTGTCATTAAAAAAAATACTTAATAAGTAATTAAGTATTTTTTTAACAAAGGTCCAGTAAATTCTCTTGCAGAGTCAGAACAGTAAAAAGAAACAGTGTTATGAGAAAAATGCAAAACAGGATAAATTTATAAGGATAAATCTGAGTAATTAAGTATAGAATCCATGAAAAGAATAATCAGAAAAAATAGTTTATTTAAATAATAATTTTTATTCCCTTTTAAACATCATAGGGACTGCTGATGAAACCTCTTTGCCAGAAGAACATGTGAAAGAGTCTCTTTTGTAACTGCAAATGGAGTAGGCAAAACCAGCAACACATTAAAGTCTCTCACACTACTTTGAAGGGCAAGAAAGGAGGATTCACAAATAATCAGCTGTGTCAGAAATGACATAGGGCTGGTAGACCAGCAGGAACCTTAAGGAACAACATAACAACATAGCAGCTAATAGAAAGGTAACCAAAGGGACAGGGGATAGGATAGCTTCATGCACAGACAAAATAAAGGAGCAAAAGGGGCCAACGGTGACCACTTATACCAAAATATTTTCATTACAAGTACGTTTACTACTCTAGAGAAAGAATGGAAAGAAACACCAAGTGGAGAGAAAAAGTATCACGACAGGCTTTTAGGTGCCAAATATTTAAACTAACCTTTATGTTGAAAGTAACCACAGTGCCATTTGCAAGGCCTGCATAAAGGATCCGCCATCTACTGTGTAAACAGAGCACTCTATCTTCCAATTTAAATTGTTCCATACACTCTTTGGTCTGGTAATAGAAAGAAGTATTTAAAGCTTTTCATTAACCAAAAACAATTCAAGGAAAAATGCCCAAAGTGAATGATGGTTTTCACCTACAAGCTGCATTTCTTAAACCAACAGAGCTGGAAAAAAACATCTGACAGTCTGGTGTCACATGGCAGTTTGATCCTGGTTTTAATCAGGAACATTTCTCAGACTTGACTGTACTTCAGCAACCACTTATAACCCTAAATGCTTTATTCTATTAATGACCTCTAATATATATAGAAATTCAGACTACAGACTATATATGTATATATGAAACCCACCCTGTACATAGTTGAAGATTCCTCATAGGAAACTTAAGAGTTTAAAACCTCTGGCAATTTGCTCCCTGAAGCAGATATTTGCTTTCTAGTCCTTCAAGACACAGGTTGGACAAGTCTTCTTATCATTTACCCTCAAACATCCAGCTTCAGGAAGTCTCAGCCTGTTAATTCATCTGCCCTTGAAATAACAGACATCTGTTCTCTCTGAAGTTGCTCTACAGCTAGAGATGGAGAGCAGAGAGCAGTACCTTCCACAAACAATGGAATCAGAAATATTCCATAAGCAATAAAGTTAGAAATACAGCAAGACAAGTATGATATTCGTGGCCAAACAACCATCCTGCACTTTGGTGTTCCCAACATTTGGGATTGTGTCATGCTGTTTCGGCAAAAACTCTACTGACAAGCAAGCCAAAAGATTAGGGCATTTAATCAGTTAATAATTTGCTGTTTGGTTTGTGTGGGGAGGGGTTTCTGCTCTATCTATGGTGGTATGAAGTGGGGCTTATGTCCAGCTTATATGGGTTTAAAAGGCTTTTTGAATTTATATTTGTAAATAACTGCTTGCATAAAAATGCGATATATGTTAATCAACACAGAGTTTGGGTACCTTGATATTGTAACAGTTGATAGTGTGGTCGCTTGAGCCAGTGTAGAGTGCAGCATTCTTCCCATTTGTCTGAGTGACCAGAAGGCAGTTCACTTTTGAAGTATGTCCTTCAAAGATGGCCACACACTTCCTGCTCTAAAAAGGAAAGCACAGTGTCAGCGTAAAGGCCCATAATACCTCTCAGGATACGTGCCTAACAGAGTAAGGCAGGACACCAAAAAAAAAGCAGGACACATAGAGCAATCTATGTCCCCTTGCCTCTCTCATAGGGGTTGGGGAGGGGGAAAAGAGAGTGTGGAAGAGAAGCATAGTATAAAATAAATTATGTGCTTGAAAAAGCAGTTGCTTCCTTAGCTACATAGTGAGGCTTTACGAAAAACAACCTTTTGATTGCAATTCATTGAACACTATTCCCATAACCTTACTTACAACGAGATTGTAGGCACAAACAGTTTTGTCTGCTGAGCAGGTATACAACAAATTCCCAAAAATCTGAATAGCATTCACTGCAGCCAGGTGTCCCTCAAAGGTTCCCTCTGTAGGTTCTTCATCCTCACCTGGCTCCGAAGACACTTCTGTAGGACAGAGATAAAAGTACTTTGATTATGGGAACACATTTAAGCAAACACTATTGTTTATATTGCCAACCAGCAGAACTATTGTGTGGGCTCAGCACCTTGAACTCAAATTTACTTGTGGGTCCCAGCTGGAGTGCGAAAGTGACAGAAGGCAACATAAAATGCCAAAAAGACCTTATATGACATTAAGTCGAGAAATATCTTTAAAATAGAAAAATGATTGTATTATTGTTTTTCCTACAGCTCTACAGAGACTGTGGAACAGAAGTGTTTGTGTGGGAGGGGGCAGAGGGCTGTGGAGGAGTCAAGGCGCAAAGCATTCAATGAAAGATGATGTGAGTACACGTCACTTCCCACTTCAGTTTTGAGTGCAGGCTTTTACCTTCAGGGCAAAATTCCCCTCTGGAAGCAGTTTGATCAAGACTTAACTCAAAAGTCCTGCAAGATACCACATATTAAGTATGAGCAGGAAAGCAAAAAAGATATACCTGAGGAGTTCTTTGATCCTCTGAGTGATGATATGGAAGTCTGTGTCTCAGCCACACTGCAACAAAAATAAAAATTACCAAGATTGAACTTTGCATGTTTATTTTCAGACAAAATACTGGTGTAAGTAATATTCCAAAACACAAGACTGCACTTGGTACAAAACATGCTGTGACAGATAAGCTCAAACACAAACTTTCTATGAAGTGCAGCCTTGTTCTTGTATTAAGAGAAAATAATAGGTAACAAAACACATTCATTTGTTGAACCAAAAAGCCAAGTCAGTTTTTATTTTCGCTCTTATTTCACTCCTGAATGAAACAAAGTCACTGATTTTGTCCTCATCAATACTGTATAAAAATACTTTTATTTTTGAGAGGTCTACAATAATCTCACCTTCTTTTTCCATCATTCCTATAATTTGTGCCAATTTCACTGGTGGAGCTCACTTCATCATAACCAGAGCAAGATGCCTCTAGGAGTGCTTGATCTACAGAGCTGCGTGAATCCCTCTTTGATGGACTGTCTGGTTTCTCATCTCCTGACTCTGATGAACCAACATCAACCACCTCACACTGAGGTGCTGAAAATTCCACTACTTCCAGAGAAGCATCACTGTCATTCTTATCTTTGTTTTTTGCTTTCTGAGCAGTAGCTCCATCCTCCTCTCTTGGAGGAGTAGATGTAGTAACTTTTTCTACTTTAGGAACCTTTCCACCCTTGACTTTCCGGACAGGTTTGGAGTCCATCATATCCTGTTCTGTATCGCTGTTCTCTGGCACATGGGCTGCCCTCAGAGTTTTCTTCTTCCTCAACCTTCTCCTCCTCCTGTTCCCTTTTTCTGCTGGGACTACAGTGGCTGCCAAGTGTTGCTCAGATGGTTCTGCTGACAATTTGGGTGTTTTATCCATTGGCATTTCTAGGGCGACTGAATGCTTTGAAAGAGAAGTGCTACACTGATGTAGTAAAAATCCTTCAGGTGCTGTATCATTTGCCTCGCTTTTGCTGAAAACAGATAGTGAATGAGGAGAAGGGTTCTCAGGGAGTCCAGAATTTCCTCTGTCTGCAGCAGGCTTGTGGACATCTTGATTAGTGTGTTGGAAACAAGATATCAGCTCTGATAGGGATATGGTTGCAGAGATAACTGGATACACTGAAGTTTTCTGGTTGGTCTCTTCTGAAGAAAACAGACGAGTGTTACATTCAATCTGTACAGCAATAAATATTTATGCAAAATGGCTCTCCCTGCATTTTTCCATTTACACTTAATTGTGCATGTAAAGTACACATTCCTACATGTTGAAAACTATATGCACATGCAGATCTGCTATTTCAGTCAGCTATCCAGCCTTTAAAAAACATAGCTGGGGAATAAAATGTTTATCTGTGTAGCCAGAAGCAAAGGAATGGGGCACATAATTCAAGCTGCTGGTAGACTATAAGCTTTTAAAGTTGTGACAATCTTTGGTGAATCCTACATTGTTGGCTTAAGATGCTACCACCCCTCTCTGTGTGCTCCCTTACCAGCTGTCACAACTGCTGCAGTAATGGTGCATGCCAAGCACCACTCAGCTGTTCAGGGACACAGAATGAAGACCTTGTGCCCAACCCATCTGAATCAGTTATTTCTACCAAGTTACTTGGACCTAATTCTAGGCTGATGAGTCGTGCACAACCCACTCTGCAGCACTGTACCATATCCAGGGAATGGCAGCACTATAAGCCATGAGGGTAGGCTTTAGTAAGGTGGTTTACTTAACTTAGGTAATCTGTGGTGGACTATGCAATGGGGCAAACATACTCTCCCTGTCATTTATTTTAATTAGTATGAACCAAAGAATGCAATCCCTCAACTGCCCTTTGTAAGGGCAGCATCTAACAGCTGCTTCCTACACCCTAAAATTCCCGGTTGCATTTACAATAACTACAATCCAGAACAGGATGATTCAAGATCACTGCATTTATTGGGTGGGATCACACAATGTGAATGGGAAGCTGGCAGCATTTGAAACATTTCCCTGTTTCACTCTCTCAGAAATCACCAAACTAAGCCTATAGTAATGCTTAGCCAAAAGCACATTACACATCACGGTACAAATGGGACACTTTGGAATTACACATCCAACTAGAAACAGCCAAAATGAGAATATCTCACCCACACCTTCCTAAGAGGGGAAATTCCAAGATAAAACTAGAACTTGCTGACAGCCCATAGGGTATGTTGCATTTAAAATAAACCAATGGAAAGCTGGACACATAACTGTCATACACAGCTGCAAAATTTGATAGAAAACTCTCTATATGAAAGAAATGAATGCTTAAATGAAGTCTGAACAATTAATGTGTTGAATTATACTCGTAAGAAGGCACACAAAATCTGAAATTGTGAATATGACTCTAATATCATGTGTCCCTCATGGCCCATTTGAAGGGGCAAGGAAGGAATTTGGCCACTTTAGAACATGAAAATAGTAGTAATCTGTAAACTTAAACTGAAATTTCTGAACTTGGAGTATTGCGGGTGTTAAGAAAGAAAGTAAAACAATCACCATAGTAGTGTAAGAAAGAGAATCACTCAGTTCTGCAGGTGGGAGAGATTGCTGGCAATTAGGGGAAACCAAATGCAATCAGCTCCTTCAAAGCAAGGCTGAGCTAACCTCCTAGGGAAGCTAACCAGCTAAATGTTAAGCCCCAAAGAAGTAAACAGTCTGCCCCAGAGAGAACTGGGGCATTTGCCTGATGGTAAATGCTTATTTTCCCTCCAAATTACTAAATTCATCTGATGGCAGACCCATTTTAAATGTAGTACATATAGAAGTTCATCAATACCAAAACTATGTTCACTTGACAAACACCAAAGAATATTCTTGCTTTTAACATGTCAAAAATAAGTTTGTAGGAAACTGAAAAATACACTAATGTGATTAAGAGATTTGTAGTAATTATTGAAGTAATAAATATAGCTATACAGTGAAAGATCATCTTCATAAGAAAAAAATAAAAAACCTTTTCAGCTTCTGTGTTGTAAAGTCTGAAGACTCTGCAAGCAAGACACTGCATGCCACTGCAGAGAGTGATCAGTAAATCTTTATTCTCAGTTTTCCAACTCTAACATACCAATAAAAACAAGAAAGTGAAGAAAAGGTAGTGGCTTCCTAAAAGCTGAGCTTTACCAGTGGAAACAAAACACAAAAGCTGATTCTCCCCCTGCCCTGAGTTTACTCAAGTGTAAAGCCCAAAGCTTCACAGTCCCTGTCAAATCCTCCAAAAAGAGATGAAGCAAAATTCACAATACTACATTAATATAGTGTAATGGAGTGGAAGACGGGAAATGCAATGGGGACTAAAAAAGCACAAAGAACACTATTTATACATAATTCTACATCCTAAGCAAACTGCAATAAGCAAAAAAAAAAATCAAATTCTTGTATTTAAAGTCTAAGTTTCAATTCAGCCAACATTTATGTTGTGCTTGAGAAAAAATGTGCTTATAGAAGTAGGATGTGTTTTTTTCCAACAGTCTTTTCCACTTCAGTTGAAGGGAAAAAAAATGTGTTGGCTATCTTCAACAAGGATTGATCTAATGAATCTTTATCTCAAATTATCAAAGTTAAGGGTCTGGGTAAGTGACATTGTTATGGCAGACAAACAACTATTAGAGTCACCCTGATTGACTTCACAGACTCTTAGGAAAGTAAGGGATGATTAAGCTTTTAATCTCAGTTTCTACCTTCAGTCATAGTACCAAGTTGCAGTGAAAACTACCAGTAGCATTTAAGCCTTTGACCACAGACTACAGCACACGGGTTTTATGGGTTTTAAACTGTCTAAATAAAGAGTTAGCTATTTCATCTATAGCCATTAGGATATTATTTTCCTAAGGCAGTAGCTCTCCCATTAGTGGATAATTCACCTGTTTCTCCTCCAGACAAAAGTAAACCCATACTTTCATTGCTAGCCCTCCCCTCTTCACTCCCACTCCTCTCACAAAAGTGAACAATGTCTAACATCCAGTTAGGAGAAGATGGAGTGTTATTTTTTAATACTGCAAACTATACGCTCTGTGCTTATCCAGCAGGGCCCAATTAAAACACAGAATGCTCTCAATGTCATAATTTTTTTTCCTTTGTAGGCAGATTTTTTAGCTATCAATGCTCATTAAACAATGCAGAGGAGAGGACAAAAAATTATAGAGGAGATGTTAAGGTTTGTTGGGGATTTTTTGTCTTTTTTTTTTTCTTCTTTTTTAGTTAACTAAATTATTCTAAGAGGATATAACCTTCAAATTCATGTTTGTTCTATTTTTAAAGCAAAACTCGTATGTCCTACACAAGTTAATGGGAGTTCACCCCTGCATGACAGACATAACTTACATTCTTTCGGGGAAAAAAATAATTTCCTTATTTTCTTAAAGCTACTTTTCTTACAACACAGCAAAGCTACACATACCATCCTTCCGCTCTGTTTCTTCTGCTCGTGAAGCACATGGAGAGCTCTGGAGTACAGAATTCGCGTTTTCCTTGGTGCCTTTTGGAGACATAGGTTCTCGTTTAATTTGTACTGAGGAGTCAGGAGTATTGGCAGGTGTGCTGCCAGTGGACTGGAATGGTGACGGCGTGTTTACATGAACAGAAGATCCTACTGGAGGCACAGAAGAATACAAAGGGTCCAAAAGGGGCTGGAGAGGGCCTGCAGGAATTAAGTCAGTTGCTGTCTGAGATTTGCTGTTTCTTCTCTCACTTAAGACACTGCAGGAAAGTTGCTCTGAGAGTTCAGAAGGTTCATATGTTTCTAAGGACAAGAGACAAAATAAATTAATAAAAAAAAACCAGATAGAACTAAAGTGTTCATATTTTACCATAAAATTTAGTGGTGCCAAGAGCTCATTTCTTGCAGACACACAGTCAAGGAAGAGAAAAATTGACAAAAAGCCACCAGATGGCACTACCAAAACCGACAGAACACACTTGAAATAAAGACCTCATTTTGAAAGTCTACAATTTTTTTGCACAGTTTAAAGGAGAAGATTCAAGAATATGAAAGTCAGCATTCTGTTGCAGTTTTATGGTATCTCGTACCTTGTAGCCCCTGCAAGATCTCGATTCTCTGACTTCTCAGCGTGCTCATTTCCATTGTTATCTGTAAAACAGTTGTAGTTTTTATCAGTTCTACTGATTTAACAGGCAGTTTGTCAGGCTGCTAACTTGTAGTTCAGACAGGTTCACAAGTCCTCTGTTACCTGTTGCTTTAATACAAGGAACCGTTGAACCTCGACATAGGCAGCCTGCAGGGCAGCCCTAGCCTGCAAGAGACTGGTGTCCACACTCTGCAGGGACTTGCTTAATTCTTCTTCTCTCAGTGAAATAGCCAACAACTGGTCTACCTGAGAACGTTCTGAAAAACAAACACAATGTAGAGTGATAGCACTGAACAATACATTAAGATACGTTACATATGATATAAAATAAATACTACCACCTCAGAATGTAAAAATCACATGAATTAGGTCAAACATTAATAATCACACAAGAAGCTGAAACTGAGTATTTATGCACAGGAATAGCCATGTCTACACGAAAGAAGATCACAGTTGAGTATTCCTCTTTACAGGATCTCCACCTTGACTCTAGTAACTACTTCCATCAAAGTTTGCCAGCAATGATTTAGTTTAGTTAAACAAAGTATTTCTCTTCCATAAAGACCTCTTCTTGAAGTACATATGTACATGGAATACAAATATACACTTGCCATTAAAGTAATCAAAAGGCAAAGGCAAATTCAAGTTAAAGAAGACAAATTATTCAGTTAATCCAGAAGCCAAGGAAAGGTTGCTTAAGAGAAAAAGAACCCAACAATAAAAAATTAGTTTACTATTCAGGATCATTTTGGGCCATAAGACTCATGTTTGCAATCTCTTCAGAAAGAGTCTCTGAGCACTGTACTCAGTAAAAGCTCCTTCTATACCTCCTAAAGACCTCAGGCATTACAGATATTCTCTAAATAAATGGAGTTTCAGCTTGGGCACTGCCTAGTTGCAGATTTAAAGCAAACTATGCGTAATGTTAAAGTAAACTAATGGGAAATAGACATTTTACTAAGTAGAATGTGTTATTAGTCTCTGTAATAGACACTAGTCATTGAAGAGAGATGCTTATAAATGACCCCACCTTTTCAAGTAGTGAAATATTAGTTCCCACAAGAAAATCCATTAATTGCTCTGCATTCCAAACAACTGTTAATATAAATAAATAAATAACAAAAGGAGGATAAATGGAACATTTGAAAGCCATCTTCTGGACCCCAAAGTTCCCAGACGGTGTTGCAATGGTTTAGTTCCCAAAGAAAATATTTGGCTTAAAACACAGAAGGTTTATTTTGATACATGGTGATGTGGATGTGTTAGGTATGTTTGAGAAAGATCTGCCTAACGTCTAAGAAAAAGAGTTTTCTTCACTCAGGAGAAGGAAGAAGCAAAGCATTCCACAATCATTTCCATTAAGGACAGGGAATGAGGAGAAAATTAGAAAGTATTGCCAGAAACGTCAAAAACAGAACACAGAGCAAATTTTGCAGAGTAAAAATTTTCTGAATTAGAAAGAGAAAGGTGCATGGCAAATTAGAACAGAGCAATTTGGGCTTCTCCCTTCAGAACTTCCACCTAAAGAGGCAACAAACCTCACTTCTCTGAGCAGGGTAAAGCAAAGGTCCCACCTGTACAATCAGGAACATGAACTGCAGGCAGAAATGATGCACATAGCCTTTTCTTATAAATAACTTCTGACAAATTAAGATACAAGTCCACAGAGAAGAATGTGTTGCAGACTTGTGAGCAGTCTACCCTATGAGCTTCATTAAGTGTCCAAGAAACACCAAAGTAACATTAAGGAACTAGTATTTTAGCCAAGTCAAAATACTGCTGTGTGTTTAACCTCTACACCAGATGCATACACATATGAGATATTCACTCACCTTTTTTACCTTTGATTTTTCTTCTCTTATTCTTTCTTTCTAGACTAGGGATTTCAGGAGATGATCCCTCCTGCAAGTAAAATCATATATTAACAAGTTACAAGAACAATTTTGTCTAAATGAAAAAGCCAAACATCCATTGTCTTTTCAACCATTACTTGTACCCACAGAGAAGAACACACAATTTATTTTGCCCATTCTTGTAGAACTAATCCTTTGCTTTGCTCGTAAAAGAAGGAGAACAAAGTGAGTGCCACATTTTAATCTCAACTAGGAAGAAATATTAAATAAGACGATAGCCTTCTCACTCAAATGTTCAAGACCACAATTGAGTCAGATTTTTTGCTCTACAGTTTTAGTTGAGGGTCTAGAGGATTAAAAAGTGAGGAATTAAAATTACTGTTTTCTGCACATAGCAAAGCCATCTTGAGAATTTGATCAGAAACATTATTTTTACCTTTTGTTTGAGTCCAAGACAGGACTGTGAAATAAATTTAGATTTAAGAATATTATTCTAAGTATATAATTTTGTAAAAAGGTTTGTCTTTCCTTGCTTAACCACAAAATCAGGAACATCTAAGGAAAACAAATTTCTACTACGATCTAGCTTCCATTTAAATTGGGAAACATGGAGATTCTTGCTAAACCAAGTAGTTCCACAGAAATATTTTGACAGCTTTTGTTTACCAACATAGAGTGCCAGGTACCAAATTGAATAAACAGCATTTGTCACTCCTACTAATTAAGGAAATATTATCGGAAGTCCTACACTAGGAAGCACAATGGAAAAGATTCTTAAAGAAATTTAAGTCAAACAAGTAAATTAGCTTGTTATTATCAATATAGAAGGCAATGAAATGGAGAAAGTCCTCCTTGCAAAGACCGTTCCAAGGCTGAATGACCACTGAAGGGGAAAATACATTTTTAGGGCACCAAAGCTGGACAGAATTGCACACTTACTCCAGTTGCTCTCCGCTTCTTTCCGATTCCTTGGCTGTCATTCTGTTCAGCTCCAGATGTGCAGCTACTATCTGTAGCTGCATCTATGTTATTAGACACTGCAAGAAGTGAAGCACTATTTGAAGCTGGACGATTTTCTTCTGAGATCTCTAGTACATTTTGTTTTTCAAGAAGAGGTGTTCTCTTTTCTGTGCTCTCCTGCTCTTGTTTTGTGAGGCCTGTGATCTCAGAGGCAGCCTCTAGGCTGTGACTTCTTCCAGTAGTCTCAGTTCTTTCAGACATAAAAGGTGACAAAGTAAGAGATGATGCATCTGTCTCCTGTTTCTGGTCAGCCTCAATGTCAGTGTTTGCCTCATATCCAGATGTTATGTGATGTGAGTGGCTGGCTGCAATTATTTGCCTTTGCCCATGTCCTTTTATTTTGGCTTGTCCACTGAAAAAGCTATAAGCAGAAGGATTTCTGTCTGCTATGACACTGCTTTCAGAAAAGCTACGTTTTCTGGCTGAGCCAGGCACCGCTAAGGAAATCCCTTCCCACTGGAATCCTTCTAGAGTAGACAGATCAGAATCTTCACTGAGTTCTAGACCTTCTTGCTCATTTTGAACAAGAGGCACCATTTCTATGCCAAACCTTTAGCAAGAAAAAAAGAAAAATAAATGCACAGGTTACAAACCAGCTAAATGTAGAAAGAAGCCTCTCCCTTCCCCAAATGCACAGTAGTGTGTTAAGTGATCTGGCAAGTCATCACACTGGTATTCTGTGCTTTCCATCTCATCTGGCAATGGAATATCTTTTGTATATCACACAACCAGATTTAGTGGCTAAGAACTGACAGCATGATTTTCAAGTCAGAAATCATGTTGTTATAATTATTCCAAACCAGGTTTAGAGCCTGTTCAAGGCGCTTCAAAAAACTTCAGGTTTAAAGAAACTTTCAAGTATTATATAAATGCTTCCTCTAAATACAAAAGCAATCTGTGTATCGAAATAAAAGATTAACAAATGAAGAGGGAGCATTTATACTGCCTGCAGCAATGCAAGTATTTTTTATAGCCCTGAATGAAAAAAGAAATAAACAACTGTCACAGCATTGTTCCCATCCTGATGGAATTTTTACATTCTTCCAATTACCAGAACTAGAAAAACAGACATATTGTTACCATTCATATTCAGATATTAAAGCAAACATTATGAACTGATCAGAATCTATTAATCAGATTACTATTACTTATCTATGGGTAGACATTCACAGCAGCAATGATAAATATACTATATTATTTGTATATGTAAAAGATCACGGTATAACAAGACTTCATTATGAAGCCTTAGTTTTAAGATTTTGGAGTTCATTTCAGATATGGAGAAAAACAACCCTTCCCCCTCAACATGCCCAGAGAGGAATGACAGAGGAAAGCTACCAACCTTGGTAAACCTTTGCCAAGTTCCTGTTTTTTCTTGGTTACCTGCTGGATGACCTGATCCCAGTTTACATTTCGCCGGGAAGCACTAAGGATCTGCCTGAGGGTGGGTTTAAGCCCCGACTCCTTCTCTGCCTCACTTTTCCGATGGCCACTCACATTCCGAATGCGCCGTGCGTTATTGAGGTTGGGCTCTGGGAGATGTGTCCCGACTTTGCTTTTCAGACTAATATGCCGTGTCAGATCTCTTTGCAGAGAAGCAGGGAGGCCAAGTTTGCTTAAATCAGGAAGAAGGCCTCCTGACTGGCTTCCTCCTTTTTGAAGCTCATTATCTGAAGGATTTTCAAAACCTTCCATTTCAAATTGATCATGTGACTTGACACACTCTTCATTCCCTTCTCCATCCTGCGAGGTTTTCAAACTCACATGCAAACCGTCCTGACTGCTTGATGAAGAAACTGTGGATTCTATCCGAAACGTAAAATTTTTTAGTTCAGCAGAAGCAATACTTGAAGCAGCTATCTTTTCATCATCTTTCTTTTCAAAGGTGGCGAGTCTACCTTCAGGAGTGTCACAGGGTAAATAAGACCTAACAGAAGAACCCAACTTGTCAACACTTGCTTCTGACTTCTCACTTCCCATTAAGTCATCACCATTCACATCGTCTAATGAATCTAGTCTGAATTCCTTCTTTGGCAATGCTTTCCCAGCTTCTTCACTTGTATCCTTGCAAGAGTTTAAGGGAGCATTATGCAAGGAATGGTTGGACTGAACATCTTCAGGATTTTGTTCTGCTTCACTGAAATTATTAACAGGCCCTCCAAGACTGCTACGAAGCACATCTTTGTTGTCTTGTATGTTATCAGCACAAACACCATGCAGTTTCGATGAATAAGAGGAGAAACCATTTGTTTCCAAGTTCACTGCGTTCAAATGATTCTGCTCTTTACTGCCAGTTGAGGATAAAAGAAGCTTGACATTTTTTAAGAGACTGTTTGTGTCTTGCTTTGTCAAGGATAACTTTGTATCTGTGATATTCAGAAGAGGGGATTTCAGTGATGGCATCTTATTACTTCTGCTATCATCTTTGTTAGGCTTTTCACCATTGGAACAGTCTTGCTTTACCTTGCAAGAATCAAGGTGATCTGAGGTTACATTAGAAGAGGAAGATGCTTCCTGTTCTTTAAGTTTTGAAAGGCTAACACTGGCTTCACAAGTTTTTCCTGTCATTGATGAATCAGTAGAAGCCGTAAGTACAGAATCCATTTTATCCGGAGTTTTAGAAACATTATCTTCAGACCATGGTTGCTGCTCTGCAGTTTTCTGTGATGGGTAGGGACTCCAGCGATATGTTTTATCTCTGGAAGGACTGACACTTTTTCCACTGGGTCTTGAAGTTTTGCTTTCTGGTTGCTTTGACATAGTGAAATCCAACGCCCCCTCAGAAGGAAGCTTATCGCTAGTAAAATCAAGCAAGTCGCTCCTCTTTCTTTGATTCCTGTATGGCAGAACATCCTCTTTCTCCGGCCGCTGCCATGGATACCTCTCCTTATTGTATTTAATTGGCTCTGATGAATAGGACTCTCCTGAGCTTCCAAAATTCCAGCCATTTGCACCATGAGGACTCGATTTCCAGTTTCCTCCATAACTCTTAGAATTCCAGCTAGAAAAATGACCTGTTTCCTCTGAGTGCCAAGTAGAATTTCTTTCCCTGGCACTGTGATGCCAATTTGACGTTCCTCCTCCCCGCCCACTCGGATGCCGGACACTTCCAGAATTCCCATAGTTATGCCAATTTGAAGAGCTTCCTGAAACATTCTGGTGCCACCCAGAGCGCCCCCTTGGGCCACCTGAATGTCTGTTTATATTGAGGTTCCTCTGAGAGTGTGAAAATTTGCCTTGTCTAGGACTAATATAATCATCCTTTTCCCACTTCCAGTCCCTTTGCGGTGCATTGTGACGATGCCACGATGACTGATCATAAGCTTCTCTTTCTTTGTAAGTAGCTCTTTCTTCTTTCCTTCTCTGTGATCTCCTGTCATCACATTCTAATTCTTGGTTTGCACAACTTGGTTCAGCTTCCCTGCAAAACAATTGAGAAAAACCTAAACTCTGATGCTATTCTACTGAAATCCAACAGCCCACAGGCCTCATGTATTTTATTGCACGGGGAAGAAAACATTTTTTTTTTATTATTAACTATAAAAAGAGAGATGACTTACTGAGCTGCTTTGCTGTTCAGGTTTCTGCAGTATTTGACTTTCAAAACTAATGTTGTACCTTTACTAAAATATGGTAATTTCAAAATTGCTCTTACAAGAGCAACTGATTTAGCACAGGGACAGTTCAATAGATTAATTCTTAAATATTCTTCTTTACCTTGAAAGATAATAGTCCTTTCTATTTACTAGTTATTGGACTAATAAAAAAAATACAAAAAAAGTTTCTTCATATTGTATAATCTTTGCAAGTTGGACAATCTTCACAGGTGAAAAATTCATTACCAGTGAAATAATTATTTTTTCTGAAGACTATTTGACTTGAGGTAGATGGTGTAATTAGAGTGAACTGAACAGAAAAAAAAGCTAAGGTGGAAAAGCAGTTATTCTACCTACTGGAGAGAACAACTGACACGATGGCTCAGTTTATAAAGTTTAAGTTAAAACACAGATATAAAACATCTACAAAAGTTGTTGCTGAGATATAAAAATATATCCTGTTTTAAACAACAGTCCACAGCATGCAATGAGTTTGTATGAGCCTTCCAGCAGCACTACCTCCTGCCACTTGGACAGTACTTGTGCTTGGCAACTTACCATGAACACATGGCAAACTATCACATGTGCATTTAAAGACAAATGCTACCTTCACAGAGACAGTTATTCCCAGGGTCAGCAGTCTAAACGTTCAAAGTATTTATTCTACCAAATGAGGTAATCAAAAGGTTTTTTCAGAAACTGATTACAGAAATGCTTCACTCTGACTTTACAGGAATACTTCCATTCGAGATCCCTGGACAAGAAAGAAAAATTTCACACCACTTCTAAAAATCTATTGATTTGAGTAAACTCAAAATTCATATTGCATCACCCTTTTAGTTTTCAATACATTCTGGTTCTGCTAAAAGATTACTAAATAACTATTCTCTAATGGGAAACGCTCTACTGTGTAAAATAACCTGAGCTCTAAGACAAAAACCAGTGTTTAAGTGACACTGTAAATTTTAAGAGCTGACTCAACTAGATTATGATCTAATGGAAACAATTCTGCCGAATTAGTAACTTAATCCTTGTACTTTCTGTTTTTCCCCTTCTCCAAAGAGCACCCAACAGACAGAGATTTTCTAAGATTTTAGTTGCCTCAGAACAACACTGTACTGACAGCATTGCTCCTTTACCATAAAACCAGGAAAAGTGACATTTTTGCTATCTACACTGACTAACTGTGCAGTACAGAGACACAGAGTTTGACAGAGTGGTGTCAAAACCAAATAATCTCCACAGATTTCAACACTCACAAACACTAATTCAAATTTCTAGCCACAGCAAGCAAGAGCTTCTTTCAAAAATCATACACCCCTTTAATACTATTGCCATGCCATAAATCTACTCAAATAATATATTCCCACCGGAACATCATACAAGCAATGCAGAGCCACGTGGAAAATAAAAGGCAATACTTATTATGCTCTGCAGCCTTCTATTTCATAGTGAGCCAATAGACTATGTTTAACTCACGGTAAGCAGCAAGGTAAAACAGGTTAAGAAATTTCATTCAAGGATTATAGAAACTTACTGTGATATTGACAGAACAATCCAATTAATTTTGAAAATAGATTAACGTTTCATAACAAAACATGTTCAGCAACAGTTTCTAAAATGCCAGGTTCCTACAGACACCCTCCACCCTAAACAATATTAGCATTACTGTCACATTTATTAAACTTTTCAGTCAAAAGGTTGTAAAATATTAAAATAAAAACATTAGGGCTCTCAAAACACAGGATACAACACTGGGGACTCTTTTTACCCATAATGGAAAATACTGGTACTTCTTTACTAGTGGATCAACAGAACAAGAACATTCAGCAGAATCACACTGAGGTGTTTAAACTATGATATCCACGCAGGTCTCTCTGATTGTTCTCACAACAAGAACACTGCCTACACGCAGTTTACACTTCATGAACACCTAAGCCTTAGAGTGTATCTTCGCTGTATTAAAAGCAATTCTATGACCTAAGAGGAGAAAGGAAAACTCACCGTTCCTTCTTTTGCTTGATTAGTTGAATGAGTTCTTTGTCAAGGTATTCTTCTTCTGCCTCTTCCTTCTCTTCCTCTTTTCTGTCATGGGCATTAACATTGTCTTTGTGCAACTGGCTGGAGATGTGCTTGGCATATGCTGACAAACCCACCAGTGTCACCCTGCACACCCGGCATTCATGGTTGCTTTCCCTAGGAAGAGAGGCAGAGGGTGGACTTTGAACTCTGCCAACAGGCATGGCAAGTACCTCTGGTCTTACTGTGTTTCCTCTGAATGTCCTTGAGTTCACGGCAACGAGGTTTTGTTCAGTGTATTTAAGTTACTTGAATTCTCTAGCTTTTTCTTTCAAGGTTTAGTTTCTTGATGGCCAATTTTTAAAAGATTTTTTTCCAACAATCAAGAGGTAAAAGACTTGGTAATGAAGCTGCGTTAACTGGGAGGAGGAATTCTTCTTGAATTGTTGTACTCAAAATCTTTTCAGAGGAAACATAGTGAGCGAGGAGGCAGAGTGGAAGGCTTACAGAGCTAGCAGGAGCTCTGAAGCCCTTCCATGGTGCCAGCTGCACTGGGGAAGCCTGGTGACAGCTTCTACATTTAATCCTTGCCTTGAGCCTTCCCCCAGTGAAATTTAGAAAAGGGAGGAGGCAGTACATGGATACAGCCAATCCTGATACAACATAACCTAAACTGGGACAGCTGAGACTGCTGCCTGGAATCCAAAGACTCCACAGCACAGTGAGTGATAGGAGGGTGTCTTCAGTTCACTGTACTTTATTTGGTTCAAGTGTGCATGAGGTCTACTTTCTACTTTAGAGGACTTATCTTAAAAAATACAGCAATTATTTCAGCTGGAGAAAGTTGACAGCTGTGTCAGACAAATGGTTTTACTCATGTTTCAGTGAATACTGGATTAAGGTTACAAGATTTTTTTTACCTTTTTCTTTTCTTTTTAAGAAATTCATATTTCTAAAAATACCATATTTGTTCATCAAACAAGTCCTTTCAATACTCCAGTGTTAAGGAAATACATTGTTAATAGGAAACCTAAACAAGGAAAATATGTTCACCAGTTTAAAAAAAAAAAAAAATCAGAAAAAAATTAACCAGAGTATAGTCCACTGCAAATAACTCAGGAGGACCAAGTCAGGACTCACTGAATGCCTCCATAATACATTTTTCAATACTGACAGTTAATAAAAGCAGATCTGCATGTCCCCATGGCACTTGAGACCAAATTCTTGGAATGGAAGTTTAATACCAAAACACCGTTCACGACTGAGGTCAAGAAAATGGGATCCATAAAGGAAAAAGACAAATATCTTTTTTAATCCTCATTTTTTTTAGATAACAGTTAAAAATAAAATGAGAAAAACATGAAAAGATGCACCTTTACTCAAGATATTAAGACACCATCCTTATCAGAGTGGTTAATGAAGTGTCAGCAGCTATGTTTTACTTATCATGGCTATTAGTGGTTTTCCTATTAATGTATTTGAGATATTTAAGCAATGCAGTCATTCACACACACCTAGAAAGGACTTTATTTTAAAATAGACTATTAAAAATTAGAATTTTTATATTTAATTATTTTGTATATTGCAGCCTAATTAGTTTCAGATTAAACACCTGAATAAATTTTTTACAAATACAATTTTACAAATTTTCTTTTTACAGTAGCTTCCAAATTTAATCTGTATTTTCCAGAGTTGGGTGTATTTCATTTTGCACACTGCACACTCACTAATAAATATTCAAAGCCCAAATACTCTATATTGTACTTTGGGCTACCTCATTAATCCAACAGAGATAACCAAGTCAGTAAATTTACTGATGCTGTCGGAAGAGTCCTCTCCACACTCATAAATGGCACAGCTATGCATAGCTAGTAAGTCTTATTTTTAACTCAGCTCAGCACGCAAAGCTGAAAACTATATTCTTTTTACGTAATTTCAATCAACACACTTCAACAAGACACATATTTCAATCAACACACTTCAACAAGACACATGGTACTAATTAGGTTTTAGAGAATAATACACATCCTTCATAAGACCAATGTTTCAACTCTTTCATAAAGCTTTTATCACCCTCATTTACAGACTAACTAAATAAATGCAAAGTTGTATTTACTTTGGACAAAGCCAGTGATTTGGCAGCTGGACTGAGGACAAAGAACTTGTTTCTATCACTTCTAACTTGTGAGTTACTAATTACCAAGCTGTGGTTCTTGTACCAACTGACAAGCTGAAAAGATTCAGGTGGTTAATGCCTAGACTTCTCTGACTGCTGTTCATCTACATGAACCCAAAGAAAAAACATTATTTTTTTCTATATGAAGAACTGCTTTAATTGAAAATGAATTGGCTAGGAGTTCACTTATGGGAATTTAGATTTCCTTCAGTTCTTTTCTGTCCTCATCCCCATAAATACCAGCCAGAATTAGCCCACTCCACGATACACACTGATCATGTCTACACATTCCCCTACCAGACAGGAACACCACACAATCTTAGTTGTTCAACAAGGCAGCCAAAAGAAGTTTGAGGTAAACATGACAGAATGTTCTCAACATAAAAGCAGCCAAGAGCTTTATTTTACTGGATGTGTACTTCAGACTGTAGACTCAATGTTCCTCATATAAGAGCATTATTTTACTTTTAATTAAAAGCAAACAAAACCTAAATACGCTACAGCTTTGTACTTGGCATCCAATTCCCCTTATATATCATATGGAATAAGACTTCAAGAAAGGAGAAGAGCCTTGAAATGTCTCAGAAAGCTATTCTAGCCCTTGAGATTACTAAATTAAAACGAAAAAAGCATGAATCAATGTGTGTATTTCCTTTACCTCTCCACACAGGAAGTCTAAAAAGTGACTTCTAGTTGGATGTTGAAATTGAAGGCAGTGAGATGCTGATACTATGCACACTTTAATGGTATTATCCTCTGTTACACAATTCAGCCACACTCATGAGGCTGTTGCTTGTTCTTCACATTTTCTACTTGAAGTAGTTTTTGCTTAACAAGTCTGTAAAAGACTCCTAAGAGACTTCTAACTAAACTTAAATGGGAAGAAGAAGAGGTAGAGGGAAAAACAAGGCTGCTGCTTGCACCGTGAAAAATTAAGATCATTATTTTGAGAACAAGTGTCTTCCTTCCATGCATTCTTCTGAAAAGTAATGAAGACAGATTAGTAGCACAACATGTAATTATGATGAAACAAATTTAACGTAGTATCAGTCTTCTGGAAATGAAAAACCAAAAACTGTCAGATCATTGGCAAGCTACTCTGCACACAATATAACTCCTAGAAACTAATAATACCTTTAAGAGCCATAAACTAAACTTAAAAAAAAAAAAATAATTAAAAAATGCTCTTCAAGTTAGCTGACCAGAAGCCAAAAGGCTTCTAGTGTAGAGAGCATTCTGGTTTCAGAGCAAACTCATCCCAACTGTTACATTAACAGAACAAATCCTTTTCATGCTCAACAGAACAGATCTCAAGTGTTGTGATGCATTTGATCCCAGCCACATTTGCAGAACGTGTCTAGCTCCCAAGACCCAATTGTGTGGGGCAGTGTAGATAAGGAAATAAAATTATCTGGGGTTTTTTTGGTTTTGTTGTATATTCTTTTCAACTAAGTAGCCAAATTCAGAATAAAAACCCACAAGAATTGTAGGGCTAAGCAAGGGATAGCAACAACAGGAGAGAAAAAAAATATATAGGATGGGGAATGTGAGGTATTTATTACTTTTATGCCTTCAATCTTTACAGAAAAAGCGCAATTTTTATTTGAAAAGAAATTAATAACTTCCAAAAAGCTGCTTTCATACATTTTCCTCTGTGATACAAGAACAACTTTGTTAATCTGGACATGAAGATCTTTTGAATCCAACTAAATGAAATTATATTTCAAGAGGAAAAGATTACTTTCCCTTCCCCTATATTTAATCATTTTTACTGTCCACACAACCCCTGCCTAAAGACAGGCCAATGTGGAGATTCTGAAGATGGAAGTTCTTTTCCCAGCTTCCTAACTTGCTAGGAAACCCCAGAGAAACTAATTAGATAATAAAAATAAGTAGAGATTAGACAACAGAGGTTATTTACTGACAGCTAATATGTACTTCAAGGTAAACAGTATTTTTTTACTTACTGTCCTGCAATCAGTTGGGTTTTTTTATTTTAGAGAGCGAATTCGAAAGGTAAGTAGATATAAGAAGGCACACACATATGCTACAGATTTTGCTGCAAGTCTTAACCAAAAAAAAACATTTTAAGGTGTTGATTTAGACAAAATACAGCAATACTTAGAAATTATACACAACAGTAATATAAAATATAAAAAACTTTCTGCAGCTACATATATGCTTTGCACACAAAAAGCTAACGAAGAGAAGGGAGTTTCTAACTTCCTACTCTTGAAACATCATAAAATAAAACAGTTTAAGAGTTTTACTAGAATTCAACCTGGCATATCATATGTACATTGGTGTTAATATCTATCATAGTATAGAATCAGTCTTAAATACACTCAGCCTTTCTTTAACTCCTAAATCTTTAAAAAAAGGACCTGGAGCCCTAACAGCTGTTCTCACCTTACACCAAATAAGAGAAGAAAAGCTACGTGGATGAGAAGTTTGCATGTGAACAGAAGAAATCTACCCTCCCTGGGTATAAGACACATATCATGACACGATGAATCTTCCACACCTTTAAGAGCTGAAAAGAGAATTACTTCTTAGTCCTTTAAAAGGTGTTTAAAACAGATTTACCATTTCCATATAAAGTTTGTGCTGCAAGATGATTAAAAATTAGATCTGTAGATCAAATACTTAGGTATTTGATAGTATTTAATTCTCTCTGGCTATGTCAAAACCCACACACCTGAAAATGCTTTTAAGTATACTCTGGTTGCAACTTGATTCCATATTATTAGGATGATATTTGAATATCCCTTAACTCCCTCTTTCTACTTCCCAAAAGTTGCAAATAAAATCATGGAAACCAGAAAGAAAACACCATCCACCATGGTAAAATCTCTTAACCACGCAACTGGACCAGGACATCAAATGACAAGGCAGTCGTTGAAGCAGATACCAGTCTTCTCACAGTGCTTTAAAAGATTAAAATCTGTTTCTACATCACTGAAAACATAAAAAACCCCACAACATCTTAAAAAGAAAAATACCGGTGTTGATGATTCTGCCAAAGGCAGAATTCTAGTGCTTCCAAGAAACCAAGCATGAAACTGCCTAGAATAAAGTAATTTTATTTCACTACAGTTCAAGAAATGCAGGAGAGCCTTCCTGTTTGCCTCCTGAGTTCTTGGCATTAAGACAATGTGTTCATTGCCAGCTTCATGACAAGGCATCCTATCAAGTGATACATAAACATAAATTGTGCAGTTCTGTCGGTATGGAAAATAGATCTTGAGTTCTTCCAGGGAGTGACATACTAAATGCACAGAGAGGAAGGATGCAAGATTGTTCTCATACCTTCCCTTCAGGTTTTCAAGTTCTCTGTGGTGAAGCATGCTTCTCATGTGTTCTTCCATCTCCTTCAACATGGGAAAAAAATAAAATTGGTCAAAACAAAATGGTAATATTATATGTGAAAAGCTCACTTTTGAGAAGTCTCCTGCCTTTCGCAGAGGTGTACTCTACTCCTACAGGGCTGCAGCAGTTGCCATGTCTGTTTCTGTGACTGTGAAAGCACCAGTAGGCATGCTTTCAGGAACGTTTATGTCACCCTTCCTGAGGAAGGACACACAGGAATCCTTAACATTCAACACAAGCAAAGCAGAATTCCAGAAGAAAGATGAATAACAACACATGTAGTAAAGCTTATTAGACTGATTTTTGACAAATTACTGTTGATAGTAATTTTAATGAAAAGTCTCATTGATACCACTCTTCAGAATCACAACATTTTTCCTGTGCAATCTGAGCATTTTGTCTGTATTTGTAGAATAATACAGCTGTAATTTCATCATCACATACTATTTTGCTCTGCTAGATGCACTTTAGAAACTGAGATGTACAAAACACGTCAGTTTGTTTTTTACAGCAACCTTGATCCATGTACTGCAGTGCTGCTATAATTAATTCCCAACAGGGAGCTGCTGGAAGAGTAAGAACATTCATCATTCAGCAAAAAGAAGCAGTTCAGAACATTTAACTTTCTTTTGGTGTTTGACCCAAAGTGTTTGGAAATCTTCAAAGAACAGATACTAATCACTAATCACAAGGCCTCTTTGGCCCTTGAAGTCCCACCTGCAAAGGGAAAGGAACATCTTTAACCTTGAGGACTTGTGTGAATTAACACTGCCTTTTGTAACATCTCCACGTGCCATGTGGCTAAGCAACACATAAAGGTCCACTAAGAGACACTCAGTTTCAACGCAGACTTTGCACAATATGCAGTACACAGAAGATGCACACCAAACCGATCCATTAATGAAAAATACATGTTGTGATATACAATTCCCCTTTGTCCTTTCATATGGAAACACAGACTTCCCAAAGGGAATTGAAATAAATTGTGTATTACGGTATTCCCAACATATCACAATTTACAGCAAAATGACTGTGTTTTTCACTTTAGTATCTTTATAAAATAATACAAACCTCATCATATTTAGCATTCAGAATCAAGTATATTACACAGCTTATTTCAAGATACTCCAAAGCACATGCAAAGGAATTCTTCACGAGAGCAATATATACCTGGTAGATGGAAACTGCTCTTCGCACAATTTTACAACGGAAGCATTTCTCGTACATGTTTCATATTAGTATCTACTGATACATGCAAAGCACTGATTATTTACCTTTTTTGAGTTGTACACAATGTGACACAATACACATTTTCGTTGCCGAACCATGCTTATTACTCTGGAAAGATCTTATCCCATACCTGCAAATAAAAATAATACAAAAATAACCAGTATTCAGGATGACTTTTGTTATTAATCCATTTTACTAAGGCAAGTAAAAAAGGTTACTGTTCATGAAAACACTTGTGCTGAGCTTCTTTAAGAAAACACACACCTCTCGTGCATAGTCAATATTCTTCAAAAAAGATAAGGCAGTTTTGAATAGTCATCTAAAACATCTATAACAAAAAGTACTTTCCCTTTCATTTTGTTCCTTGTCCTCTAAGATATGGTACTCATTCTACAAGCAGAGATCTGTAGGAATCCTCTCAGCTACTTAAATCAGATTTACAAAGCACTTTTCAACTAGCATGATGACAAGGAGATGAGGAATTGGGGAAACCAAGCAGGGCAAACTCAGATCTTCATTTTGGTATAGAGGAGGGCTCAATGAGGATATTTAAGAAAAATGAAACAAAGGTCGTTCATGTTATCAAAGACCACCAGCCTTCAAGGTTTATCAATCCATTTATTCACCATAAAACCTAACATGATTTAACTCCGTATTTTTCTCATTAGCCTCTGTAAGAACTATGCATCATCATGTACTGAAATACTCGATTTAGACAGCATTTTAAGATACATTCTCTAACACCATGCTCTGCTTGGGTACCCTATGTGTTTGAATCATTACTAAAACCTATTAATTTTCCCAACAGTACAAGATTATTCAAAACTTTGCACCAGATTATTAAGTATTTTAACACTGATCTACTTAAGACTTGCATATATGCAAATGAAAGCAGCAGCAGGTCAAATTAAATGCCATACGTATTTTATCATAGTGTTTAACTCATCAGGAGAGCAATTAAATTAGAGAGATACATAACGGTCTAAGTTATAATACAAAGCCAGGCATGTCTGTTTAAGTAACAGGGTATAATCTTTTCCCTTTTCTTTCTCTTAAAATATAGTAAAATGCAGAATGATTGAGCATTATTGTCAATTTTTATTGACTTGGTAGAGGCAGTTCCTCAGTTCCTAAACTGAAAACAAATGTACCTTTTTCCTACTACATAAAAATACAAATCCTCTTGAGTTTTGCTATCTCATAGTAGGCAACTTCAGAGCTAACTTCGCTAATACCATCAAACTTAAACTGCAAGAGCTTTCTTCAACAGCTCTTCTCCACAGCTGACCCTATAAAGTTAATTCTTATTATTTAACATCGACCTTCTGTATCAGGGGCATCAAAACCTCCAGATCACCAGAAGCTGTGAGCAAAGGCCAAGAACTGGATTCTTACCAAATCCAGATTACCCAGAGTTAAAGCAGCTCTGACATTCAGTGGTACCTTCGGACTGTAAACAAACAAAAATCAGCAAGTAAAACCACACCCCTCTAAGTCCAAATCTTAATTCTTTGACAAGTAACTCTTTACCTCCAGATCTGCATGGCCATTTACAGTTAAGGTTTACACCAGCATCTGTCCAGCTTAAAGGGGAAGGAACTGAGAGGTGCAATAGCCTTTGCACCTTTAGACAACATACAGTTTCCTCCCTAAAAAAATTCCATATCATCATACCAAAACAAACACACTCATAATACAACAGGAGATTCAGTCATCTTATGTTCCCTAACCACCGTTCTTGACCTCAGTGAAATACCTGATAGTGTTTAAATATGCACTTTTTAGCTTCATCACATTGGCACCTGATGTATTTGAATCATTACTAACAGCCATTTATTTTGACAAATCACCCCCAAAAAAGATATAAGATCATTCAGAAGTTTGCACCAGCCTAGGCCATGTAGAACATTAGTATAAATTCATTTGGTATCAGTGATATGCATGTAAAAGCACGTGCCTTCATAGGAGGTCAAGATACAGAAGTACCTTGTTTTGGAACAAGTTATTTTAAAAGCACACATAAAAAGCGTAACTTGGTTTTAAACATATGCCAGCTGACACAGCAGTTAAGGAAAGTTAAAGCTAGTAAGTAAGAGAAAATGAGATACTGAGGCCTCATGATTTTCCATTAAGTTATTAGGTGAGTAAAGCAGCACATCATCAACATACTGTTTACACACAGATCTGTGCAGCTGCAACAGATCTAAGGGAATTGTTACTGATCATACAGAAGTGACAAAGATTTAGATGCCTATCCAACATAGGAAAGCTGTTTTAATGCAATTAGTAAGGATGTACTCATGAAAAGCAAGACTGCTAATCCTTGCACCAATTTCAGACACTTCCTTCTGTATTAAAATATTCTGTACTCCCCCAACATCCTTCACTAGCACTACTTTGTAGTTTAGTGGAATAATGCCCTACATGTGTTCAGGATCTTACTCAAGATTACCCAAGTATTTACAGAATTCATTCTGCACAAGAGCGAAAGCAGCATGGGACTTAAATCAGGAAAAGAGGGCCAGTTAGCACGTAACATTTAAAAGCTTCCACCAGCAGAGCTAACGTTACACCTGTTTTGGCTAATTAAAACATATAGTAACTATACACGATTACAGGAAGAGTTTTTGGCTAACTGCCCAATCAACTGGGTATTACTTATGACAGAGTACTAAAAATACTAATGGAATTCAAATGCTATTGGATGTCACTATGAAAAGGGAACTTTCATCTCTAAAGAGAGAAGCCCTCAGAGGCATGGACTCAAGTAGAGATTCAGTAGATGCTACAGGGACTGGGAGAACATGGACACATCCTATTTCCAGATCACCTCTTGATTTACTGTCTTACATAGGTTTAAGCCACCTCACATCATCCTTAGCCTTCTCTCAAATCCTGCTATAAAACCCATGGCTCACTTTAATCAAGTACTTCAACTTCACTGTAAAAGAACTTCCAATCACATAATAAATCCATGGTATTTCCTCAGTCGCTACGCAAAATCAACAAGAACCAAACAGTTTTTGAGCCATGTAGTCACTGATAGCATTTCATCTCCTCATATACTGCTCTGTCCAACTGCAAAACTTTCACACCGAGAAACTTCAGAAACAGAGCTTTCTCTAGATAATGCAGGCACTTGAATTCTTAGCAGCACCAATGAATCATAATGAATAAACTTTAAATACAAACAACCTTCAGATTGTTTTATCAGATTTTTTTATCAGATTTAACACTTCATGCTTTTGAAATCACCGACTTGCTGTATAACATAGGAAACTACTTTTCAAGGAACTTGAGCAGAAATATGAGCTACTCTAAAAAATGAGACAACTGCAAGCAAAGATAAGGTTTTGCCAAAGAAGACCCCAAAACAACATAGGAGAGAAACACATGTCAACAGCAAAATGTAGAACCTTGAAAACAAATGAGATGTTACAGCAACTTTCTATTTTGAGGGAATGAAACTGTTCAGTGGGTGATTTTTTATGTGTTTGTTTTACAACTTGATATAAATGCAACTTGCCCAACGCCTGCACTTGCACAGAGCTTTGGAAACACCACACAGTTTTAATTAAATTAAGTAAGTCTGCTACAGGGATTTTGGAGAACAATTCTCACAAGTAAAAATAGTCTACAAAGAAAATAAGGCATTAGACCACTTCCTGCAACAACATTCATTTGTCCACAGTTATTCAACCTTACCGGATAACATACATTAAAAATGTACGTCAAGATTAAATCTGCTGCAGATTAGTGACTGAACAGTCTGACTATATAAAGCCACAAGTGCCATGGAGTGGGGCAGGCAGCCTGGCATTCCAGCTGCCTAGAAATCCTCAAGAGGCTTCAAAGAGATCAGCTGGCGTGTCTAAGGGCCTGCCTAAATGCTGCATGTCCTTACAGACAGCAGTGGAAATGCAAGACTTGAGAAGAACAGGAGTCTACAAGTTCACTGTGCAGAACATTCTGTAGCAACATATTCCTCAGCACCTCAAAGAGGTGTCATTCCTATTGCCTTAGTGACTGCAGTAACCAATTGCACACATAACAGCTGAGTTGTAGAATAGTAATACTAATAATACAGAGGCCTTTGCTCAAATTTCATCACCTCAAGCAGAATTTACACAGAATAAAGCAGCAACATTCACACACTATCTTTTCTTCCCAGATTTGTTGCCCTTGAGGCATCTGAATTCACTATGTTAGTATTCCTAATTTTACTAATTACTTTAACCCTACTTCTGGGGCACACGTGGGAGGTGCTTTAACCTTCCTTCCATGATGCTGATCTGTTCAGCCTAACCCAATCAACAGAGAGAAACTTAAGGACTAAAGTTAAGTCATGACTAACAGCATTATTCTTCTCCAACACACTATCATGCACTGTACAAACTACTCTGTAATCACAGGTTTAGTTTTCTTAAAATGTGGCAAAGGAGCTAACTACATTACACACCAGTAATTAGAAGCCAAACTTTTAAGGTAAATTTCTCCCTTCTTTCCAAGATTTAATTTCATCCATGTGACAGACTGAGGGTGCACTAGATGCCTCAGCACTGAAGCAGCACAGTAAACGCTATAACTGGGCAGACGAGTGTTCAGCTGTGTTGACATTGAGTCAGAAGAGCAGACTTAGTTCACAGGTCAAAGTTCTTTAGGTTCCTGTTAAAAGCAATAAAATTTACTCTAGTAACTAGCCTAGAAAACATCTAGCAGAAACTGTTTGAACACTATCCCATGAGTACGGCTGGTTTTTTTCACAACACACAGGGAAGTATGCTGGAGATAAGGACACTGTAGAGAAATACCTTAAACAGACCAGTGCAGGCACAGGAACACCTGACATGAACACGGAGTTTTCACTGACTTCTACTTTTATTTAATGTAAATCTAAGAACAGGATACAGACCAGAAGTATATATACACTTCAAGACACAGTCAAATTGCAATCTTTCTAACTCCCTATACATATGCTCATAATTTCTTAATATCTGAACTAAGTTTTCCTTGCTGGAAATCAAGATTATTTCTCCCTGGTGAAAGTAAATGCCTTATTGCTATCACAACAGCTTTTTACTCACTAGAATATTCAGGAATATACTCTGTCCTAATTGGAATTGAGTGCTGTTCAGCATTACTGTTGTTTGCTGTCACTCAGAACACCTAGAATGCATATACCTGGAAAGGTTGTTTTTCCCTATAGTCCCAGTTTGGTTTAAGGCACATGAAAACTCCTTTTCTTCAAATGTTTTCCTCAGACATCACATTGCTTGAGTCTATTAAAATTGCTGTTCCTCTTTCTAAATTGCCCAAAGCACTTTGAAGAATTCCTAAAACCTGGACATACTACTCCATCTAAGATCCCTACAACCACCCTTTGGAGAGGGGAATTCTCCTACCTCTACCACTGTTACAGCCTCAACCATAATTGAAAATTACTGAGACAAAGTCTTACTAAGAAGCAACACAGTGACCTACAGGATGTGGGAAAAATAACCTAACCGATTTAAATATTTTGCTGACTTACAAGAGAATTCACATTACCAGTTTATTCTGGTAACCTTGAGTCACTTTATAAAGGGTCTTCAACATACAGACACCCTTACAAATGACACAAATACCAGATACTTAATATCTATTGCAGTTCCACAGAAGCAGGTACCTGGCCTTGTCAAAATAACTCAGGCTTCCTAAGGAAGATCTATATTGACACAAAAGAACAAGTAGGGAGAGCATTCAGTCTCTAATTGGGCTTCCTCTATTTCTGCTGTCATTACAGAGTATGAAAAACCACTGGAGAGTGATCTGAGGCACTTGAACCAAGGTAGTCAGGTCACTCTTCAGTATGAAGATCTTTCATGTCAAGAAAATTCAAGTTAAGGATCCCAAACATTAAGATAGCAGTCATTCATGGCCTGGTAATAGAAAGACAGGGATCTGTCTAAATTATTCCATCTCTGTAATGCAGTTTGTCCCAGGGCTGAATAATAGCAGCTCCACCATCTTAGGACTACAATGTAAAATAGTCTAGGACTTGATGAAAAAAATCCAAAACCTTACACTACAAATATGAAAAATACTTTTATAAAAACAAAGAAGTTACTTGCAATGCACAGTATCCTCTTACTTTGATAGAATGAGCTCAACAACACCTCAAATCTTATGACACCATCTGGTGGCAGAGTTCACGGAAGACGATGACCAGATAGATGCTAAGAATAGCTTCAACAATTTAAATGTGATTCCGAACAAATTTAAATTTGATTACCAATATCTTATGAATTTTGCCTTTACAAGATAAAGTGGAAAGAAAAATGATGGAAAAACACCTTCATTTTACCTAGATAAAGTTATCTACAAGTCGTAGAACCTCTATACACAATTTGGATACGTATTTGGAGGATCATGATTGTTGTTATTCCTTTCACTGCATTTACAGTCCTGCATAAAGATGCCTTTACCTGACAGCTCTACAAATGTGTGGCATTTTTGGACATGTGGATGAGAAGGTACCCAAAGACTAGTCACAGCAACCAAACTGACTCAAGTAACAGACAAACACAATTCAGCTAAAACCAAGGACTTGTTCCAAATTGAAAATGCCAGAACATAGCACCCATTTAATTACCTTTACATTCAAAAATCAGCCATTAGTGGAACATACACAGTGGTGCAAATGCAGCTGCCTTGTATAGCCAGCTAAAGTTAAGCAAAGACTTAAAAAAAAAAGCTAATAGAGTTGCCTTCAATGGAAGAGACTTCAGGATAGGAATCTATTTTCCAAGATAAGAAGTTACAGAGCCACATCATATTGGCCCTTAGAGCCTGCAGAAGTAATCCCAAATATTGCAGTGCAGCTTTCAAACTTCAGCAAAGCTATTAACCAAATTTTTAGAAGGCTAAAATGTTTTTTGTTTGTTTTTTTAAGACTAGGATCTATGAGTTCAGCAAAACAGTCAATTAGCTTAATGTAGTAACTGAGACTTTTGGCCATCAGTGTGCTTGTAGCAAGCGTGGGTAGAGCCCTTCTCAAATCTTCATTCGCGAAGCCTAGCCATGATGATGATGAGTAACTGACACTTAACTAAAAGAAGTAGCAAATAACAAAAGAAGAGCAATAACCAGCAAACATATAGGAAATGCAGACCCAGGAACTCATTTTGAAAACAAAGTCCCACAAACCTCAATCCTCTTCGCTCTCAGGTCATGCCTCAGAACCCATTTGTTGATTAAAGCTGGACTTCAGCAAGGAGGGAAGGGGAAAAGGAAAATTTTTACTTGCAAGAGGACATTTTGACCAAACCATTACCAAAGAGGATACTACTATTTATACTGAGATATAAACTTTAATCATCAATGCCACTGCTATCCCACGTTTCATAAACTTTTACAAACTAAGTTCATAAGCAATCCTGAACAGCTCTTAATGTAAGTTTGCATGTGAACTACCCCGCTTGCAAAGATGAATGATCACGATACCTCATGTTTCATCGTACAATTAAGGTTTGTTTCACACTATCAGTCCTAGTCCTTTTAGGCTACTAGATGTTTATCACCACATTCATACATGCTTTTACTTCGACACATTTTTAGCTGCATGCTATGAGGAAGGTAACTAAGCAATTCTACTCAAAGCCACAGTTCATCCCTGGAAACGCTTCTGGCAGGTACGAAGAGACCGCACGGCAGCTCCACATCTGTAACAGAGATTCTGCTCTAACAAAGCTCGCGTTTGGCAGGATAACAAAGTTCAGGGATCACTGCAGCACTACAGGATGCTCACCAGGCAAAACAAGGAGCACGCCCGCCCCAAGGCAGATCCCCGCTGCCGCAGCCTCTCCGGGCCGGACTGGCCACATTGTCCCCCCTTCCCCAGGCCGCCCTCTCCGCCAGAACTGGAGCGAACCCCAGGACCGCCGGCCGCCGCCGCCCCAGCGCTCCCCGAGCACTCTGCCCCGCGCAGCCCCGGTACTCACAGCTCGCACCCCCGGCCAGGGGAGCGGCCCGGCAGCCCATGGCCCTGCGGCCCCGCGGAGGCCCTGCCTGCCCGACCGCCCCGGCCCCGCCGCCCGCGCCGACCCGCGCCGAGACCGCCCCGCCAGACCCGCGCGCGCCGCGGGGCGGGGACACCGCCCGCCCAGCCAATGGGCCGGCGGGACGGCGGCCCCGCTGCACGCCGGGAGGCACGGCTGCGAGCCCGCGGGGCCTGCCGGGAAGTGCAGTCCCGGCGGCGCGGCAGCTCCGCGGCGAGGGCGGCGGCAGCGCGGCCGGCTGCGGGCATTTCGCAACCACAGTGACGCTACTGTGTAAATACAGCGCTGCAAACACGCACGGTGCCACGTGCTGCCGCTCCGAAAAGCAGGCGCCGAAGCCCTCGGTTGCCTCAGCAACAAGAAGCCACGAACACCGTGCTGGGCCGGCCCTGCCAGGGCGTCTGCGTCGGGAAATCTGCTCCAGGGGTGGTTTGGAATACAGGACGACAAATGGGCTTGTGCCCGTGTTGTGCAGCGTACAATAACCTTACTCCACTGGGACTTTCTGTGAAGCCAGAGTCCGCAGGAGTTCAGAGCATCCCGAGATGCTCCGAGAGGGAGAGGAGGGAAACCCAAGGGCCTGAGATCGCAGCAGTTTCACTGGAAAAGGGACCTTGTAGAGGCTGAACGAGCCACGTAGGCTGCTGCGGCCCCGGTGCTGTGAGAGCAGTCGGTAGTGCTGGCAGTGCTTGCAGCCTTACAGCAGGTACGGGATCCGACGGCAACCTGAGCATCCACCCGCGAAAAGGAATACATCTCGGGAAAGGCTGCCCGGTCCAGCCAGAAAAGATGAGGTCTGTGACTGCCAACTGCAGCTTTTCCTTTTCCCTTTCTGCCCTCGTTCCCTCTGCTGGTGACAGAAGAGGGCTGACACGCATCGTCCTAATAGAAAGGAACTTAACTGGAGGAAACCCCCCGCTGATACAACAGGGCTGTTTCTGTACCGCGCTATTTGCTAACGCAGCTCTGCTCAGCGCGGCCGGACCGCGGGGCGCCGCACGGACACCGCGCACACCCCGCACGGCCCATGCCGGGTGTGCCGCGGGGCCGGGCGGTCCCCGCCGCCATGTTTGGAGTGGCGGATGGGCGGTGCCCGCTCCCGCTTCCGGGGGCGGTGGCGGCGCGCGCGGGCCGGCGCTGGGCGGCGGGGGCGGGCGGGACATGGGACCTTAGAGGGGCGGCGGAGCGCGGAGCGGCCCGGCCCGGCTCGGCTCGGCGGGAAGGAGCGGCGGCGGTGCCGGTAGGTATGCGGCGGGGCTGGCTTTGCTAGCTCGCAGCGCCCCGGGCGAGGCGGCAGCCTGGCGGAGCCGGTCTTTGGCAGCTTTCCTGCCGCGTAGCGCCCTGAGCCGGGCGGGCGGGGGCCTCTGTGAGGTGAGGCGGCCCCGGCCCGGCCGCGCTGGCCCCGTGGTTGCCGGCCGGTCTCGGCTGCGCGGGGCAAGGGGGTGGCCGGGATGCGGCGGGGGCGGACCCGGGTCCCCCGAGCCTCAGCCGTGGGCTGCGCCCGTCCCCTCGTGTGCGGGGAGGCCTTGCGGGCTCCCCCGTGCCGGGGGCGGCACTGCCCCGTCCAGGTGGTTTTTATTTGCTTGGCGAGAGACCGTGAATTGAGCTGTTGGTAGGATACAGGAGAAAACCTACCCATTGCTGCCTCGTCTTAAAGCTGTATTGTGCCCGCCTGCCTTTGGACTCAGCGGTAATACGTGGTAGTGGTATGTATTAACCAGAAAACACTGAACGTAACCTGTGTTTTTGTGCTTCCCTCAGCTGTACGTCTCGATGCCCTTGGTGCTTCTGGGAAGCTAATGAAGAGTCAGCTTTGTTTTTCACTTTTTTCCTCCTCTTTTTGCTTTGTTTCACACAACGAAGGTTATCAAATCAATACACGTGATTTGACAACCTAAGTAAATAAGCTTAAGAAACTTTGGAAACTTCTTTATGCAACTTTTCTAGCTATTTACCTTCCTCTTTTTGGTCCCTGAAAAAGGGCAGTAGATGCTCAGCGTTCAGAAATGAGGGTGTTGTTTTACTTCTCCTTCATAAACAAACCTGGTCCTGTGCTGTAGAGAGAACAGCTATGTAGGGAGGTGTATAGGGACAAAGGGATAGCCTCCTATGGTGACGATTGATTGATTGAATTGAGCAGTTAATTGCTCACTGACATTCTAGTAACAAGTGCCTGACCTCTGCTCTGCAGTTTTTGAACTAGGTTATTATACAGCACAGTTTGTGTCATTAGAAGAAATGAAATCTGTTATTGTCTGTATGTGGATCAAAGTTTGACTGTAAATTTCTGTTGGCCCGTAACTAATTTGGAGGAGGTTTCATGAGGCTTTCCGAGGGACAAAAATGAATTGTTGAGACGAGCACAGAACTGGATACACTGCACAGAGGAGGTGGCATTGCTCAGGCCTGTTCTTTGTGCTATCGCCTCTGTGCAGTGTGTTCAGGAAGCTGATAAGAGAAAGCAGGAAGCATGCAGAGTAGTGTCCTGTTCTTGGGCCCTGACCTCTTCCCTCAGGGTCACAGATGCTTTATTCATTTATCTTGTAGGCATAATCATGTGGAGGAGTACATTCTGGTGCTGATACCTTGTGTTACCCTGCTTTATCTGGGCTGAATTTCAGCTAACAAGTAGGATAATTGCTTGCGTTAAGGAGGGGTTTTAAAAAAAAACCACAAAACAATAACTGCATCAGTGATATGATGAATTTGAAAGAACAAAAGCCTCCAGCTCTAAACACAGAGATTTAGGGTTGTAAACTGTTTAATTTTTGATCTGTGCAAGCATGTACAGACATTTCATAATTAACATTCACGTTTCTAAGAATATTGTTTCATGAATTTTTCTGTCTTTTGGTGAAGCCAACAGTTTGCTTTGTAAGTGAAGGCACTGAGAGCATCCACGATCACCTGAATCTGTACCAATTCACTGATGGCTAAAAATGCAACTCATGGGATTCTGGCTTTCAGTCAGTTGGTGCAACAGCAGGGTTGTGTCATCACCTAGCTCCTACTTTTGTGGTAAAAAGGCATAGGATGCATTTCTTAATCATAACTTTAGATGCTACTGGATAGTAGCTATTCTTTTTTTCCCTGGTATGCACGTGAAATGTCTCATGAAAGAATTAGTGAATCGGGAATTGTAGGGGTTTTGGTATTCTTACTAGTGCCTAATGTTAAAAGGGTAGAGTACAAGTACTACTTTCTCTTTCTTCTGAAATGAAGAGATAGTCAAATACTGTTATTTGGAAATAGAAAGGGTAGGATTCTTTGATATCATGAATTTATAAAAATGAGTAACATTAATAAGCCTTATGGTTTTGGTATTAAAGAGATAATCTACGAACTCTCGGTTCTCACAGCTATTGTCTTCCATGGCCAAAAGTATTATGTTAGTTTCTTCTTCTCTCACTTTACTTCCTACTCACAAGAAAATTGTGAAGGCCTTACTTATTCTCCCTTTATGGAACCAAGGCACAGTCTGCTGTGTGTTATTGATGTTACCAAAATATCTTCAGCAGAAAAAAAAAAACCCAAACCCACAACAAGTAAACATTTTTCTTTAGCTTTTAGTTTAGAGTTATCAGTGAAGGAGGAAGAAAATTTTGTGATATTGATTAGAACCATACCTTCCTACCAAAGGGCCTGGGTTCACATAGAGGACCCTCAGATGGGGGAATAAGGGATCAATTTATGATATGTAGGAAATGCGATGGATATATGACAAATTTCTGAAAGATACTCTGCCTGTCAGAGCACAGAACTACTGCTTGTTGCAGATCTCCAGCCAGAGATGCAGGACAACAATCTTATTATTCAAGGTGGGTTTGTGAAAGTGCAAGCAATCAATTTATTGGTCTGATGCAAGTTGACTTGTCACTTTTGACAGCCTGTTCCTGTCCACAGTCTTTTAGAGACAGGGACTGTATAACTGGAGTTGATCAAGCACTTTAACTGCAGTTAATTTACATTCGTAAAGACCAGTAAGGGTTTTGAGTGCTTTGGATAGCACAGTCTGAATGTGCCATGACTATCATAAAGAAAGGAAGTTTTCTTTTTTCCTGGAGCTAATGAGCATTAGAATTGTTTCTCAACTAGTACTGAATTAAAACATGTTCAAACAGCATGTAAATTGTCTAGTATAGTTTATAATACCTTGGAAGTGTCTTATAAGCCTAAGAAGATTATTGATATTGAAAAATTCTTGAAAAGACTGTGCACCTCACTGTTGTAATGGCTTTTGAAACTCATTTACATTGGAAACTGTGTTGGCATAAATAGCTGGCTTCCAGTTTGCAAGTAATTCTGAATGAAAATGAAAACACTTGAAGGAAAACCCTTAGTGGTGCAGAGGACTATCTTAAACCAATGAGAGGGACAACAAAAAAAATTTCATGTTAATTTTTTACTGTGTGATCTGGGAAGGTGAGTGGCAAAGGTGAATTATGTTGTTGCTGACTGCATAAAACAGTAACTTGGATCTTGAAGGTCTGTCAATTCAAAGGCTTTTTCTCCACCCAAAGTTTTTAATTTGCCTATTGTCAGGAAACCCACCCAGTGAGCTGCTGTTGGATGAAGTGATACTGCCTTGGCTTTCTGATCACAGGCAGATATTTAGACTTGAAGATGTGTACATACAGACAGTAGGTCACTCTGGGTAGTGCTAACACTGAATTCACTGCTATTGCACTATGAAAGTTAGGACTTGCAGATGTTAGCTCTCAGTTCAGTAGTTGGAGTTGGGACAGAACTGTCATTCAGCGCTTGTGACTGATCCACCTGAAATGTGGCCACGTGAGCAGTGCTTTTCCCAAGCAAAAATTTGCCCTGTCTTCTCACAAGACCACCCTACTGCTAAAATAGACATAACCATAGCTGACATCACTCTGTGTCACTCTTCAGTTTTTTCAAATTAAACAAAGAACCTACTAAAATGCTTTAGCTGCTATATGGGTGTGTTGATAAACCAAATTAAGATCTATATCTTATATCAGTGATGCTTTAAATGGATCTGGCACCATACTAAAATCAGCCCAAAAGTGCTTGTAATGTCCCTCATTCA